CTGAGGAGCCACCCGCCGAAGAGCCCGCTGCTGCTGAAGAACCTGCTGCTGAGGAGCCACCCGCCGAAGAGCTCGCTCCTGCTGAGGAGGCTCCTACTGAGGAACCTGCTGCTGCTGAAGAGCCCGCCGCCACTGAAGAGCCACCTGCCGAAGAGCCTGCTGCTGCTGAAGAACCTGCTACTGAGGAGCCTGCTGCTGAAGAACCTGCTGCCGAGGAGCCACCCGCCGAAGAGCCCGCTACTGCTGAGGAGGCTCCTATTGAGGAGCCTGCTGCTGCTGAGGAGCCCGCCGCCGCTGAAGAGCCACCTGCTGAGGAGCCTGCTGCTGCTGAAGAGCCCGCCGCCACTGAAGAGCCACCTGCCGAAGAGCCCGCCGCCGCTGAGGAGCCACTTGCTGAGGAGCCTGCTGCTGCCGAAGAGCCTGCTGCTGAGGAGCCACCCGCCGAAGAGCCCGCTACTGCTGAGGAAGCTCCTACTGAGGGACCTGCTGCTGCTGAGGAGCCCGCCGCTGCTGAAGATCTACCTGCTGAGGAGCCTGCTGCTGGGGAGCCTGCTGCTGGGGAACCTGCTGCTGAGGAGCCTGCTGCTGAGGAGCCTGCTGCTGAGGAGCCTGCTGCTGAGGAACCTGCTGCTGAGGAGCCCGCCGCCGCTGAGGAGCCTGCTGCTGAGGAGGCTCCTATTGAGGAACCTGCTGCTGCTGAGGAGCCCGCCGCCGCTGAAGAGCCACCTGCTGAGGAGCCTGCTGCTGCTGAAGAACCTGCTGCTGCCGAAGAACCTGCTGCTGCCGAAGAGCCCGCCGCCACTGAGGAGCCACCTGCTGAGGGGCCTGCCGCTGCTGAGGAACCTGTTGCTGAGCCTGCCACTGAAGAGCCTGTCGTGGAGGAAGCTGCGCCAGCGCCACCTACAGAAGAGACTCCTGCTGAAGAACCAGTTGCCGAGCCTGCTACTAAAGAACCCGCTGCTGAGGAGCCAACTGTAGAAGAAGCACCGTCAGTTGACGAAGTTAAAGCGGGAGATACAACCACAGCTGAGGCTGACCCAGCTCCAGAAGAGCCTATTACAGACAAAGCTATTGTTGAAGAGCCAGAGGAATTGCCTGCTGTTTCAGAAGAGCCTGCACCTGCAGATTCTCCTTCATCCCCCAAATCTGGCAAGCGGAGACATAGGTCATCCAGGCACCCGCACTCTAAAGGGTCGGGCCATCAGAGTAGCAGGGATAAAGACGTACCTAACGAAGAATCACGTCCTCGCCGTCCCCGACGTGATAGTGAAAACTCATTCAAGGCATTCTTCAGTCCCTCCTCTCCAAAGATGCAAAAGCCTATGCGCCATGATAGCGGCTTTAGCATTGGAAGCACGGGGACTCACCAATCTCAGAGCAAGAAATATCGCACGCCGGAGGAGCAGGAAGCTCATGACAAGCGAAAGGCAGAGCGTCGGGCGGCAAAGGCGAAAGCTGCAGAAGAAGAGAAGATGGAAAGTGCTGTGGTTGATGAGCCCGCCGCTGAAGTTCCAATTTCTGCTATCCCGAGACGTTTATCGACAAGGAGATACAGCAGCAAATCAAATCATTCCCATGAAAGCAAAGAGGAGGGCGAAAAACGACCAAAGACATTGGTCACCTTAAAAGGGGAGAGTGAGGTCAAGACCCCGTTCATGGCTAGTAGGAAACCACATTTCAAGGAAATTCGCCCGAAGAAGAAGTCTCCAACCACAGATCGCCTCCGCTTCGAACTCGATGGCGAAAAACCCCAGCCCGATGAGCAGAACGAGCCAAGGGAGGTACAAAAAGATGAGCGGAAATCGCATTCTGGAGAGAGACCGAGGTCAGAGAAACAGGAGGATAAACCACGCTCCAGTCGCAGAAACTCCCACCGCCCTGACAGCGACAGCAGGTACAAGGAAGGCAGGGATCGACACAGAACCGAAGAAGAAAAAGAGGCCCGGAGGGCGAGGAAAGAGGCCGAGAAACAGATGGAACTCGCTAGGATGGAAGTTGCAGAGGAGTCGAAGAAGCAGAAAGAGAAGGATGATGAGGCGAGGAGGATTAGACATGAACGCCGAAAAAGGAGAGCAGAGGAGGAGAAACTCCGTGATGCTGAGGAGGCGAGACGAGCCGCTGAGAGGGAGGGTTCTGACCCGCCTTCTGAACGACCGAGGAAGAAGAGGGTTCATCGTCGTCGACCTATTGTGGAGGAGAAGCCTCATGGTGCGTTGAAGAGTTTGTGGACTGTTACGAAAAAAGTGTTTGGATGATACCTGTGGGATTATGCTTGACGCGCTAGATGGATTTACGAATTTCCTTTTTTCGCTTTCTTATGATGATGACATTATGCGATTACGGATTTTTATTTTGAATGCTGTTCCTGATGGTTTGCTTTTGGGGCCTACATGGAGAAACAGGGTGTAACATATCATGGGCATTCTCTTCTTGTATGTTATGATACCCTATCCTTATTTCTTTATTCATGGTTTGTTTGTTTCAAGACGTATTGGGTGGCATTTATGTATATATTGTCGTTTGCTTGTTCAATCTACATGACCTATCGTTTGCTTTTATATACTGAATGATGCGATTTCCTTCCTTGCGAATACATACTTTGTTCTTGTTACTATACTATGATTGTGCCTTTGTTAAAGTATAACTAATAGCTAGCAATGGTCAATTTGTTCTTTCTCGGGACTTGCTTGCACATAGTGATCATTAAATGAAGCTATTGAATTTTACGAAGTTGGAAATACAACACTTGTACCTGCTGAAGGTACGTAGACGTTCTATATCCTACAATCGGTTAGTGTAAAATAGGTATTGTACCGCCAATGTAAACTACTAACTAGAGTAACTCCACAGTATTGAACAACCAAGTTACTGCAATATCATCGAGCAGATATATCAGAGAGGTGCATAATCATGATTATTACTTAGAACTTAAAAATAGACCTAGCTACCTAGGTAGTGAATAATAGCTGCCCTTTCAAGGCATACAGGGAGATTTATGCGCTCCATTCAATCTCTGTTCTTTTCACAGGAGATATTAGCTACAGTGCTGTTTGTTAATATATTACAGAGCTAGACATGAGATATGGGCATGGGTTTGTCAATGTTGACTTAATATATGAAGTGCGTCAGGATCGGATATCTATCTACTTTTCTAACCCCCAAAGAATGCTATGCTATGAATGCCCATGACCTAAACACCGTCCGCTACTTGAAGATGAATGCGGATGCTCGAAAACCAGCTTCATTACCCATACTCAGAAAAGAGAACCCATCCAGGATCCATTACCGTTATGACCATCCTATCATGACAAATACAAGCCTGCCAACAACGCAACAACAGCGGTCGCTAATACACGATTAACTCCCAAGGCTCGCGGGGCATCACTAGCCGCGACACCACAACACGGCCGCTCCGGAGCATAGGTAACATTATTACACTTAGCAGCAACCTCGAAAACAGTCCCATTACCCACATTATAATAATCCACATTCAAGAACTTTGGAGGATGGTCCCACTTCTCCGTACACTGCTGTGCATTCACGCCCAGACTCCCAAAGCCAGTAACATTATTCGTAATATTCAGCAACGGGATATTCGGCACCAAAATACTGTTTCCCAGTAGGGAGATCTCATAATTGAGGTTATGGTTTATAAGGGCTAAGCGCATTTTCGTTTCGGCGTCAGGCAGGTTTGGCGGTCGTTGAACGACGCAGGGAAAGTTGCGATCTATGGGATCGAAGGGAGTTTCCCACACCTGGGAGAATTCGTCGAGGATCCAGGGGACCAATTTTTGATCGGCTTCGTAGTCCATGAAGAAGATTACTCGTTTTCCGGAGAGGATCATAGAGCCTAGGGTAGGCCAGTCGGTGATGTTCATGGGTATTTTGGGGGGTATATAGGCGTATTGGACGAGACCTGTAGCTTCAAGGAAGGGGACGAATTTCTCGACAGCTGTGTAGTCGCCGTTCCCTAGCAGGATGGTTACAACGTCGTAGGGGTGGGTGGATATCCATTTATAAACCGAGCCTAGGTAGTCGGTGATTGGTCCTGCGTCAAGCATATCACAGGATGAATGGCAGAAGTGAGGCGTGTTGTTCACGAAGTGTATCTGCCCTTGAAGGAGCCGAATCCCGTCATCGAGTTGTGCCTCAACTGGCAGGGCCTGATTTGCAGCTGCAGTTCCTGGCCTGATGAAGGGCGAATTATGTGCTGCTACTTCGGTAATATTGCCATATTTTCGATCGCAGAATAAGGGGTGCCCGTTGCAGGGCGTGACATTTGTTGGCGTTTCGGTGATAGAGGTCGACGTTTGGGTTGAGCTTGTGTTTGAGCTTGTAGTAGTCTCATTGCGGGTGCCAGTCAAGGCGGTAGTTGTATGTTTGGCGGTGCCACTTAAGATGAGATTGCCGTCGGAAGTACTTGTGGGTATAGTTGACTGGCTGGCAGAGCCACTGGAGGTTTGTTGGCTACTTGATATAGAGCCCGAGGCGGCGGTCGAGGCTGAGGCCGAGTTCGACTGCGACTGTGCATTTACTCCAATTGCAACGAGCAAGCCATAGGATATAACTGCTGAGTAGAGCATTTTGCAGCTTTGTGCTTTGTGCTTTGTGCTTTGTGCTTTCCGTTGCGCTTTCGTGGGTCTCTGCGAAGCCTCCCAGCACCTAGCTGAGGTAGTCAGAAGTCAACGGCTTCCAATAGGAAATCTACATTGAGGCCCTGAGAACAGAGAACGCCCAGAAGGATTCGAAAAAATATGACTGTACGAAGTAAGAGCCCTGGTTAGAGAACAATAACACGAGGCGATCCGTATTTTAGACTGTTTTCTAGCGGGCCAGTGGATGGGAGGTACGTAGCAACGTACCTTGTGCAAAGTGCTTGGTATTGCGCCTATGACGCGTAGAAGGGACAGGGAGCAGCCTTAAAGGTCTAGAAGCGGTACTAGCATAATCTTCAGGGGAAGTGCCGAAATATATGCTTTCTGAAATTTAACTTGGAAATAATCATTGTTTGTCAACTTCTACAAATATCGATCCTCGATCAACTGACACTTATCCGGTGATCCACTGTGCAACAACATTGTACGCGTAACGGTCAGCAGGCCAAGGGTTCAATGACGTCAACGCAGTCTCTACTATTGTACCGAGGTATACGATAATGGTGTTCAATCAGCTGCGCTGAGATCTAAGACACTCCCTATCGCTCTATTTGAATCTCGATATCTCTCTGCCGGCTCCCTCCGTTGTCCTCGGCGACTGAGGGCCTCGAGGCGTACTCGACGAGCATCATGGCCTCAACACTCAAGCAATTTGCGCTTCGACGGCGAGAAAGGAAAACGCCCGGGGAAAGAGAAGAGGAAGGAGTCGTTCGCAATGACAATTCACCAGCTTCAGGCGCAACGCCGACCGCAGAAGGGGGCCATGTGGTGGGCAGGAACGTCGGGAAGACAAGAAGACGAAACTGGGTTATGCTATCCTCTTTGTTCTACCTCATCTCCCTCATATTTTTAATACTCGTAAGCGTCTCCGATTCCTTGGGGAGTTCAACAAAAGCTAACTTGTTACGCAGACAATTATCGGCAATATCAACAATAAAGCTGTCATCCGCGACACCTGGATCTTCAATATCAACCTCTCCAAAGTCATCCCCGTTTCAACGCCCGCGGATATTACTTTCGTCAATTCCCTCGCACGTTCGCTCGGTCTCCATGACTTCTACCAAGTAGGCCTCTGGAGCTTCTGCGAAGGGTACACCAACGAAGGAATCACTTTCTGTTCATCGCCAAAAGCCCTCTTTTGGTTCAACCCCGTCGCTATCCTACTCAATGAGCTCCTCGCCGGAGCAACCATTACACTACCCGCCGAGATTAACACAATCCTCTCTCTGCTCCGCATTGCGTCCCACATCATGTTCGCCTTCTTTCTTACAGGCGCCTGCATGGTTTTCATCAGCATCTTTCTTGCGCCGGTGTCACTCACCTCGCGCCCACGGGCGCTACTCTTCTCCCTTTGGGCCTTCATCGCAGCTCTACTCATCACGGTAGCAACGATTATCGCGACAGCTATGGCCGTCATATTCAAGACCGTGGCGACGAGTAAGCCAGAGCTGAATGTTGGCGCTGACATAGGCGCACAGATGTTTGCCTTCATGTGGATCGCGACCGGCTTTAGTCTTTTTGGATGCCTCATCCATCTTTGTTTGAGCTGCTGTTGTCGCCCCGGGAAAAAATCGAGAAGGAAGGGTGGTGAGCGTGAAAGACATGATGAGAAGAAGCAGCCTGCTCGTGCGAAGAAAATTCTCCTCTCTTTTGGGCAGAAGAAGACTGCTTCTGAGGTTTCGCCATGATGAGGCTGTATAATATTACCCATTTCAGCCTTCATTTCGTGATTTTATATGCAATTTAAAGGCTTATTCTTGTGGGCTAGTTCTATATAAATGCTTTGGACTTGTCCTTCACCAATTGTCCTGATCCCACCCCTTGTAGGGCTATCTCCGGGACTCGGGTACAGGCAACTGGCTTGACGACTCTGCATAGCAGGATAGTTTTGGGCCGACTAGGTACTTCGACATGGTACCATACTCCGTATTCAAAGATGTACACTAATCGGGCTGCATCCAAACCCCCTGCCCAAGGCGGCGGTGTCGATCAATTGTCTTATCTTCCTCAGGTTACACGTTGGAAATGCCCGCAGGTTGCCAAGTGCCCGGGAAACACCGATATAAGAGAGAAACACGCCGAGAAGGAGTGCTTACTAGGCCCCAGAACCGCAGTCTCTATTCGAGCTGCCCAAAGCGGCCAAAAGTACGAGAAGCAAAGCAGCATGGTAACTTTGACATCAAAAATGGCGGAAGTGTTCATGGGATAAGGCGTTTGAATTATACGGAAATAGGAAGGCGACGGCGGGCAGAAGTGCGCAAGGGGCGCGTTTACCGTTTTGTCTTGGCCGATCCTCCTAGGCCCAAAGGGGGCCTGGTAGAGCTGGAGTTCGGTGGGCGGCCAAGAACGGGATATATTACCGACTTCGATCGATAATATACTACGAGTACGTCCTGGAAACGCCCTAGAAATTCTGATTATTGGTTTGCTCTTCGGAGAAGAGAGAACGTTTGGGCTGCGCCACCCGTTTTTATTATGGACGGAAAGGGGCAAGTGCGGCGGTTGCCGACCTCACAACGGTTCAGCGCCGCAAGGGCAAAGCTTAACCTTATTTAGCCGTACGAGTACCGCAAGCTTGTTAAGGTATTTGGCTGCTGCTTCTCAATCTGTACGAAGTATGGCGATCGTCTTCACCTAGCTTCTATCTCTGAGTCCTCTGTATTGTGTGCATTACTTTGGTCTTATGTGTCATTGCCAGCGTATCTCAATCTTGATTTGACTTTGGCTTTATCTTTGACATCTTCGATGTCTACTTCGCACGCTTACCTAGGAACTGGCCAAAGGTGCGCGAGGAGTTCTTCCGCGCCTAAATGGGAGTTCCCGAGGCCAACGATTGACGGAAATCTGCCCCTCCCCCGCATTAGCACGCATTGCATGGTTCCCTCATACATACATGTGCCTTTATTCCAATTAATATCCTTAGATTGCCAGTGCTAGCCAGGGCCAACACCGATTAAGCAGGTACAGTACCAAGAAATCCCTATCGCTGTGCCCGGGTCGGGTCCGGATAACATAGATCTGCAGTGCGGCGGAGCTCAGAGCTTATAGCTCATTGCTCAATCGGTCCTCCTTCCATTATCTCTCATGTAGCGAACGAGGATATATCTAAGACAGCCAATCTCATTCATCGCCCTCGCCAGCATCTTCCGGGTTATCCATATACCTTGGTGACAATATGCGATAGGGATGGCATACCGGTAGTATAAAGCTTTCCTAAGCCCCCTCCCTTCTCACCTGCGCTCCCTCTTTTCTCTCACCCCCTCTCTCCACCTCTCCATTGTCCTTCCTAGTTGAGCCAGACGCTCGCCCTGGCACGATGTTCTCTCTCCATACCGCCCTGCGGATTCTTTCCCTCACATCTCTCGTCCATGCTGCTGCTGCCAGCACGGTCTTCGAATCCCTCCATGGCGTGCCCCGTGGCTGGACATTCGTGCGTGATGCCGAGGGCGATGAGAACGTCAATCTGCGTCTGTCGCTCAAGCAGCAGAATGTTGATTCCCTGTATGAGAAGCTGATGGATGTTTCTACCCCGGATCATAAGCAGTACGGCCAGCATTATGAGGGGCACGAGCTCAGGAGTCTTCTCCAGCCGACAGAGCAGACCTCAAATGTGGCCATCAGCTGGCTCCAGGACAACAATATCACGGCAATTACCGATGACAGCGATTATGTTCTTTTCAAGACCACTGTCGGAAACGCCAATAAACTGTTGAACACTAAGTTTGGCTGGTACAAGAGCGAGGAATTTAAGCAGAATGTGCTTCGAACTCTATCCTACTCAGTGCCTGATGAAGTCAGAGATCATATCAATTTCGTGCAGCCAACCACAAGATTCGGGAGCCTGAAGCCGCTGTCTTCACACGCTCAATTGATTGATGCTGGTCCAAAGACAAATGGCAAGGCTAAATGGTTGGGCAAACCAACACCCCCCTCCAAACTCGACCCAGCATGCAACACGACAACCACACCTGAGTGTCTCTTGAACCTTTATAACGTTCACTACAAGGGAGATCCCGACAACGGGAACACTGTCGGCTTCGCTTCCTTCTTGGAGGAATATGCCAGATACGCAGATTTGGAGGAATTCGAGAAAGTCTATGCTCCTTATGCCATTGGTCACAATGTAAGTATAGGTCGATTTTCCAAGTATCGTCTGCGCTAACACCTCCCAGTTCAGTGTGGTTCAATTCAGCAACGGAGGCAACAACCAAACCAGCACGGAAGATTCAGGTGAAGCCAACCTCGACAACCAATACATCGTCGGCGTTGGATACCCCACGCCAGTCGTTGAATACAGCACTGGCGGCCGGGGACTCCTGATCCCAGATGGCGACTCTCCAACCCAAGCAGACAACACCAACGAGCCATACCTCGAGTGGCTTCTCGCATTGACCAAGCTCCCTAACAGTGAGATCCCCAACAGCATCTCCATCTCCTATGGCGAGAACGAGCAAGAAATCCCCATCAGCTATGCCAAGCAAGTCTGCCAACTCTTCGCACAACTGGGAGCCCGCGGGAAGACCATTCTATTCTCCTCCGGCGACTCTGGAACAGGTGACTTCTGTCTCTCCAATGATGGCAAGAACACCACCAAGTTCCAGCCGCAATTCCCCGCGTCCTGTCCCTATGTGACCTCGGTAGGAGGAACCCGCTACGTTGAGCCCGAAGTTGCGGTCTTCTTCTCCTCAGGCGGCTTCTCGAACATCTGGCCCCGTCCACTCTACCAAGAGCTCGCAGTTACTTCTTACCTACGCAAGATCGGTGACAAGAACGAGGGTTATTACAACAGACATGGTCGCGGATTCCCCGATGTTGCCGCTCAGGCGCAGAATTTCCGTGTCATTGATCAGGGAACTGACAACGGATACCGTGGCACATCCTGCTCAGCACCTACATTCAACGGAATCGTCGCGCTTCTCAACTCTGCCCGCGTCAGTGCCGGACTGCCCACTCTGGGCTTCCTGAACCCGTGGATCTATACCGTCGGCCAGTTTGGATTGAATGATATCACGCTCGGAGCAGCCACTGGATGCAACGGAATGAGCAGGTTTAACAGCAAGCCCAATGGCAGCCCCGTCATTCCGGGCGCGAGCTGGGATGCAACCGAAGGCTGGGACGCGGTGACTGGGCTTGGGACGCCAGATTTTGGGAAGTTGTTGAAGTTGAGCACGCCGTTCGTGGCGAATAAGGGAGGTGTTTTAGATACTAAGTGAGATGGAGAGGGACGTGAAAAGTAAATTAAAGAAGTATATATAATGTGTGAAATGATGACAAATGAATACCAGTTAAATCAAGCTTATTGAGAATTATCTTTTGCTTAATATGTGATATATTGTAATATGGTAAGTAGCTAGTAGCGATGGAACTGGATGCTTGATGATGATGTAACAAGAATCTGTGACAAAGTCGAGGTTGAATAGCTACTTTTTTAGTTTTTCTATGTAGCTAGGCACTTCAGTTATCAATCACCTCCTCAAAACCCATACGCCACCAGCCTCAAGCAAGCCTCGAAGAGAAATGCCATTCTTCTCTCTCGACTTTGGCTAGTTAACTAGCCCTGCACGATAAAAAGCCCTCTAAATTATAATACTCCCTCCGTATTGTCACGCCGGGGGATCGTGCAAGTCAGTCGCCTGTGATGCTCATGCTGAAGATAAAAACCCTTCCCGTCGGTGTAAATATGCCGGAGGGATGTACAACATAGCGCGGTTGGTGAAGTGTGGGAAACGAATACAACCAGCTGTTGGCAAGGAAATTATTTTCCTTAGAGGATGCTGAGGGCACGTCTTCTCTTTAGACTTTTAATTTATCTTCTTACGTTTTAGAATGATCACTAGGCATACAAGTCATTTATTTTTAATTTATTAAAATAAAGGCTTATTACTTGTTTCAAGTAAGCCCGAGAATCACAACTAGTTACCATGATTTTATGTGACGTGTGTGCTTTAGAGTTCAAACCTGAGCCAGCTGTGGGACGTATGTACATGTACAATATGTCACTGATAATACACCGAATAAGCACGAATGGCATGTGAAGGCCATGATGGGGTGGATGGGAACGGGACGGGGTTGAGTGAAGCATAGGTAAGCATAGATGGAATGGAATGGTGTTTGTTTGTCCTATCGGTGCCGTAATAGTCTTTTTCTCGACTTGAATGGCAAGACATATAGCTAGGTGACACTTCTCCCGGAATCCGGCTGTCTAGCTTTTCTATTTGTCAATCGAATTTTGCTGTTAGTACTTCGTCTTGCATCTGGATACTGAATTTAAAAGTCTTTCGTAGAGCTCTCTGGAGGGAAGTTGCTCTAGAACGAACTGGACTCACTGGTGGCCATGATCCATAGAACTCACTGCATTGGCCAAGATCAAGTATTTGACAAAATCTGCAACGTCTGTGGATGTTAAGGCATAGATAGATTGACGGCAGGGGAAGGTATTTTGACCGGCTGGCCAAGTTGGAGACTTATGACTCGGGTACTCAAGTAAATAACAACTTGATTACTGTACGATCGCACACGTAGCGTGCTCGGCGGCGGCGACGTTTTGAAAAAAAAACTCGAGCATCTAGCCACGGAAATCTTTGCACATCCCCGATGCCAAGTACCGCCGCCGGGTCCCTCATCGGGTCCAGACTCCAGACCCCATCATCGCGGTAAAAACCCTTTCGAAGCCTTGCTATTCCTATAGGGCAAGATTATTATTCGGAAACTGGCACTGTACAGTACAGCTCATAGATCCTTGGTATACCGGTTTTCGCTGCAGACGGGCCGATAGAAATCGAAACCCGCTGTGAATAAGCCTTCACGATCGGTTGCCCGCGATAGGCTTCTCAGTTTTTTGTTAGTACCGGTACCTGCGGAGTGGGTTCTCGGGAGCTGGTGAAGCCGTGGGGATGAGGCGGCTGTGCCGTTTTCACAACCTCGGATCTGCAGAGCGATGAAAGGCGATGATACAGTAGTAACAGTACAAGCTTTTGGTGAGCGCAAGGGGTGGTGGAAACGGTGGTGAACGTAGGGGCAGGCGGTGCATGTAGCTTGTCCCAACTGAGAATGGGGGGGGGGGTTTGTTTGATGAGGCCCGGCAGGTTCGGATTCAGATTGTTGAATGCGCAAGGGGATGAATCATCAGCATGGAGATGTACGTAGTGCGTAGTGCTACTTGGAGAGTATTGAACGAGGAATGTGATACTGTGGTGGCAAAGGGGGGGAAATAGGGAGGAAGGGGTTGGAAGTTGGAAGTTGGCAGTTGGCAGGGAGTGTTATGTTGTGTTGTGTTCAGTTGCGCGTTTGCAATACCTCGTAGCAATTCTGCGATATGGAACAGGACCAAGAGCGGTCTCGAAGCCCAAAATCAAACTTTCGCAACTGGCTTGCTTTGCTTGGCTTCCTCGGAGAAGCCAAGGAAATTGCGTGAGCCACAATACTTTAGCACTCGCTAAGAAAGTGATTCGTCGTGCAAGGAAATTCGACCAAATCACGACTGCGCCAGGGCACAGATGTTCGGAAATCTCATATGAAACGCGTGGCCAGCCAGCTGCCAGCCAGCCTTGCGAAGATTGAGCCATCAAATTTGGCCCGCAATTCCATGAATCCATGCGGCAGGTTGACACGTTATTTTTATGCATATAGAGCGATAATGATGGGTTTGGCGAGATGAAATGAGATGAAACTGGCTGGCGGCGAGGATGGGGGGGGGGGTGGATAAGACTCAATTTTACTATTCAGTACTGAGATGGGAACTCTCCGATATACCGTAGTTATTATTGTGTGCTCGACTCATTGACATGCAGCAGTACATTACGGAGTACACAGTACAGAAAGGAAGTACTGTACATGTACAGCACTAAATAATAATAATTAAGATAAGATGCAGTGCCCCGTAGCGCAGAGTGCAGTACTACGCGCTCCCCACTAGAAACGGGATCTGCGTAACAGGAACGACGATCGCTGGCGTATAAATAATTCGAATAATCTCCGAGCAGCAGTGTCCAGTTGTCCAGTTGTCCCGTTGTCCACTGCCCAGCTTACCTTATCTTACCGTGCAGCGCAGCGCCAAATTGCATGATTACCGTGGGACGAAGGAAGAACTGGTGAATCGAGGCGGGGGACCCTGACCACCGTCTCGCGGTGTCCTTTTTCCTGCTTGCAGTGCGAACAGGCAGGTGGAAGCCCGTTTGCCTCCCTTTTTTTATTTATTTATTTAACTTTATAGCTGCCCAGCTGCCACGACGGTGTGTTGTACGGTTGTGGTGCTGTGTTTGTGTTTGTGGTTGTGTGGTGTTTGTATTGTGTTGTGTGTGCTGGTTATGTGTGGTTGTGTTTCCTAGCTATTAGCTAGCAGTTGACCACTAGACCCTCTGCTCTGTGGCAGTGCGTGGCCCACCACTGGACCACTCCGTCTCCAGTACGTACATGTACAGTACTTCGTCCTGGACCCTCCCCATGGACGTGGACAACCCGGTGGCTGTTTCACGATTCATCCCGCTCCGCACCGCTACAGGCGTTCCTACAGGCTCCCCTCAGGGCCACGCCAATCGGCACGCCCCCTAATCTCCTCCCCTAATCCCCCCCCTGTCTCTTATACACATCTAGATGTGTATAAGAGACAGAATCAACCCCTATCGTCTGAATCAATTTAATCAATTTTAATAATCTCCCCCCCCCTCCCTCGGCGCCTGCGGTGTGCACGAACTACGACGTACGACGACCAGGGAGTGCGTACCTGAAAATGCAAGCACCCTGGTCGCCCGTAATCCCACTCGCCCTTTTGTATCCCTCGTCGCCCGCTGCTCCTCCGCTCCCTTCCTCCTCCTCTCCTCACCACGTTGTCTCTGCTCTTGGCCATCACAGTCCTTACAGTCCTTTCCTGCAACCAGGCATAGCTTCTCGTTTTCCAACCCTCTGTCATTCCTTCACTTGAGATCAGAATCCTTCTTGCGGAATCGACTTTCGCTCTTTACACCCACGCTCACTCTATTGAACATATAAAAACCCACAAAAGATACGATACCCGGTTCCCAAACGCTTCAAACGAACCCAACGAATCCATCGCCAGGCGCTGGGACGGAAAGAAAAGCATTGATTGCTTGGAAATAAGAAACCGAAACCTTTTGTTTTCAGATATATCGTTGCATCAACTCTAAATCCTCCCACATCCACAGCCACATCCACCCACAATGCAGTTCACCACCTTGACTGTAGCCCTTTTCGCGGCTCTGGCCACTGCCCACAAGCAAGGCCCTCAACACTTCCACCACCGCCGTCACCTCAACACCACTGGCACGGCCCCGGCCCCAGCTGGCCCATTGACCACCTTGACCGTGGTGACCACCCAGATCCACACCATCACCAGCTGCGCTCCCACCGTGACCAACTGCCCGGCCCGCAACTCCAAGTCCGCCGGTGCCGTGGTCACTGAGGTCGTGACGCTGGCCACCGTGAGCTTCCCCCGAAATGATGATATGGCATGGTCGAAATCTCGCCGTATACTAATGATGTTTCTAGACCGTCTGCCCAGTTGAACAGGCCTCATCCGTTCACTCTGCAATCATCTCCTCCGCATCAGCAAGCAGCGCTGCAGGTCTCCCCCTCACCACCACCAAGCCAGCGGTCCCTGTTGGAACCGGCAATGTGCAGAACCCAGGTGGCAACGGCTCTGGACCATCTTCGGATCTCGTCCTGACCTATACCCAAGGCGTCGGATCCTCAACCACGGTCATCACCACCACCATCAGACACACCAGCACTTCCGTTGTGTACAAGACCAAGAAGCCCGAGGGAGGCGCCGGTGCAGCTCCATCCAACGGTGCCCCAGCTACCAACGGCGAGGCTGACGGAGCCGCTGGCGAACCCACCACCACCATCTCCGGCACTTCCACATCTACCAAATATATCACCGTCGTTGCCACCACTCCTGGTGGAGGTGCCGGAGCCGCCCCTACAGGAGGTAACGGCAAGGGTGGTAAGGGTAGCAACAACGGCAACGGCAATGGCAATGGCAACGGAGCCTGTGTTCCTGTTACCGTCACTGTGGCCGCTTCGACCGTTACTGTTGCCGCATCAACCGTCACAGTGGTACGTTCCTTCTACTTGCCCCCTTTTTGAAACCAAATCACTAACATTTCCATCTCAGACCGCAACTCCCGCCGGCAGTGATGATACTGGTGCTTCCAACGGTGCTGCCCCTACCACCGCGGCTAACAACGTCGTTCCATCCAGCGACGAGGCCGGCTCTGCCACCTCGGCGACCGTCAGCATTGTTACCGTCGTCCCCCTCCCAGTTACCTCAGGCGGACCCCCATATGGCAACGGTACCGATAGCGCTCCCACCAAGGGTCCCCACGGCCACCACAGTGCCCACCCCAGCGGGGCTGTCAAGCCCAGTGGCTTCATCTCCAAGTCGAAGGCCGCTCCCACTTATTGATATCTAAATCAACCCGCCGCACTCGTGAGGGATGAGGTACGAAAATAGCGGAGGAAGACGCGGAGGACGCATTATACATTCTTGTTGGTACTTAGAAGGACCGGATATTCTTTCATTGTGGATTTTTTGAAACACGAACTCTTTTGCATGTTTTTGATTTTGACGTGATGACCGGGGCGCACATGATCGCTGGGATAAACAAATCATAGTGTGTATTGTGTACTCATCCATCACTCCTCATATCGAAAACACATTTTGCATGCATGCATGGCAGAGCAGAGCTGGCTTGTATACACTTGACCAGCTGGTATGGGAACACTTTTTGGGCGTTGATCAGACGAAAAAGGATCTGGGTCGGGGGAGGCGAAGCATTGAAAGGCAACATCTTTTTTCCCCCCCTGAAGGATGTATATTGTTCAGTCATGCGAGACGAGACAAGAGCCAAATTTGATGATTTGAATTTATATGTATGCGCAAGACAATGATCTACCACTACTAGACCCATTTTCTTGTCTTATGATGTAGCGACTAGATGTGTAGCTTTCTATTCTTTCAAATGTATGTATATTTATCATTTTTTATATGAAGCTCCAATTGAATGGCACAAGTAGACTAGCTTCTTGAAGACGCACGAATTCGAAAGTTCTAGGAGAAAAAAACACTTGCTCCAATTGCTGTGTATGGAAACGAAACAAAACAAAAACGTGGTCTCGATGATCTCCTCAGCTGGGGAGGGTTGTTCCCGGAAAGTCGAAACATGCACCTTGCACATCATGAAACGAGATGACTTCATAATCCGCAACTTAATAAACAACCAAAGAACAGCCTCATTTCATTTTCACATGGGAAACTCCGGGAAATTGAAAGACACACAAAAGCACAAAAGCGAACGGGTGGGTAGCGATTTGCGTCCATAAAGCGACACACTTCTGCTGTGTGTTCTGTTAATAGGTTAAAAGCCGCAGATGCGGATGATTGATGCAATGCGACTTTGTTTGTTTATTATTTATTATTAAGGGGCTATTTTGGGGAAGGGAGGGAGGGGTTGGAGCTTTGGAAGGAAGGAAGGGCCTGGCCTGGATTGTTGATCCTTCCTCTTTTCTCGCGTATCTGATCCCTGGGACGCGGGAGCGCCGAGTTGGGGATTTTTCGGTACGAAGTACGAAGTATACGGAGTACTCGAGTAATAAAGTTATTATAGGTCGAGTGGATGGGAGAAGGCGAGAGAAGGTTATAGAAGGAAGATGGAATAAAGTACCAATTCTATCGATATCATCATTATTTTGCAGTTCTGCTTGTGCTTGTAGGTCCCTCGATTAAAAGGTGACAAAATAAACAATCTCCGGCCTATTATTACTAGGTACATGTACGTACGGAGTATTAGCCATTGCACACCACACATGCCCAGGCTTCAACGTGCACCTTGAAACTGGAAACTGGAAACTGGAAACTGGAAACTGGAAACTGGAAACTGGAAACTGGAATTGCGGCGCCGCCGTCGTTCGCCGCTTGCAGGAAACGCCCTCGGCGCCCTAACAGCACACGAGCATTTCCCATCCTGGTGGTGGTGCAGGTGATACTCGATACACTCGGTACTGGAGCTACCTTACCTGGCCTGGGCTGCTGGGCTGCCGCTGCTGACGCTTATGATATCAACGTCGTGGGTTCGATCGATGCATGCGGACTTGGTCAGCTTTCACCACCATCACCACCTCTTCCGTCACCACCGCCAACCAACCAACCAACCTCTTTTATATTCTTTGAACGCCTGGATCTTGACGGCTCGGCGAAGCTTGATTCTTTTCCCAAAGTAACTTTTGCGTCAGCAACTTGGCGGACGGGACAAGCTTTCGTGTATTGTGACCGGTTTTCTTGTCCTTCCTTTGATTAAGAAGATTCGACTCAGTTGCATACATCTCTCTACACCTACTTCGATTCTCGACTGCACCTTAGCATAGCGACACATTGTGTTCGAATACACAACTTCCTTCCCGGCGTATTCTCTTGTTTCCTGACACCAAGACGCCTCCGTCCATACACCATAACATCATCCGCCATGCATCGCGCCTCGGGCGACCTGAGCGATCCGGATCGCAACCTCGCGGAGTCCACCGATGATACATCTGAAGAATCCCCAGAGACCATGTCACTCGATCTCATCACCGAAGAATCCAACGAGAACTACAACCGGATACACACTCCCCCACCACGCATCGCAGCCCGCGTCTACCACCCCGCAAACAGCCGTCGCAAATCCTCCGCTGCCTCGTCCCGGCGCAACTCCATCTCCTCCGCCCACTCGAATTCACACTCCGCTCGTCATGGCAGCAGCGGTCCCCTTAACCAGAGCAATTACATCGCGCAGCACCTGCGCCGCGCGTCCATCCTCGAGGATCGGAAGGCGAGGTTGGCGGATAGAGCCGCTCATGCGGAGAAGGTCCGTTTGAGGGCCGCCCTGGCGAAGGCAGCCCCTAGGAGTACGACGAATAGCGAGGAGAGGGCTTTGGCCGCCCAGCATGCGAGGGAGAAAAATCTAGCTGAGATAGTGGCGAGTTGTGCGGAGGAGGTGAAGAGGGCGAAGGCGGTGGCGGAGAGCTGCAAGGAGAGGAGGGAGATGGAGGGGAAGAAGTTGAGGAGGGAGTTGAAGGAGAGACTTGCGGAGGCGGAAAAGCGGAGAGAGGAGTTCCTTCATAGGGTTAATGCGAAGAGAGGGCGCTCCCTGAGTTCTCCCAGGAAGAGTCCGTCTCCTGCGAAGAAGCACGCGGGAATCTCGGAGGATGTGGCGGCGACGAGGATCCAGAGGAGATGGAAGATTCATCAGCGGTGGAAGGCGCTCAAGGAGTTCTCGGACCTGGGCTTGACTATCGATACCGTGCGGGAGACGTCGTTCGAGCAGGTTACAGATTTACTGGCGCAGGAAGGTGTCTTGGTGGGCACTGCAAATATATTGAGGCTCTGTGGGCTCAAGGAGGGTGAGAGTGGCTCCGTCAATGAAATGACCGCCGTCCGAACCTTTCTGAGTGCGTTCCTTATCTTGGGACACCCGACCCAGGTGCTCAGCGGCAAGGTCGACAGCCGAGAACAGGAGCAGGTGGGAGTATTGCCAATGGGTTTAGATGATCTGGCTAATCCGCAGCTGCAGGACCTTGTTGGAAAGGCTCGAGATCTGCTAATCTGTTTTGAGAACGTCCTGTCGCGATTGTCTGCTGCGAACAATTATACCGCTCCTCCGCCAGAGCTTTCAAACCTGTCGGAGGTCTACGCTGCATTCTTTAATGCCTTTATAGCTTGGAAAGCCCGGGATTCCAGCGCGCTTATCGAAATGATGGTTATGCAGTTTGTGGAACTCGATTCGATATGGCAGACCGTGAAGGATAGTACGGACCCTGCCGTCACAGATTCGTACCGCGAGGGGATCCGAGAGAATCAGCTTAAGCTCATGCTTAGGATTAAGAAGCTTGCTGGTCCCGTGCAGGGGAAGAAGCTCATTACCAATGCCATTAGAGAAGCACGTAAAACACGTTCTACAAAGCCACCCACTGGAGATTCTCGCCCTCGAGCTGCAGAGTCTGTTACCCCTGGTACGCCTGGTACGCCCGTCCTTGGGGATCTATCTGCTTCGGAGAAGTCGGTGACAAACCATCTACAAACCCTCACACCGCCGCCCACACCCCAGAGGGATATATACCGGCAAGAAAGGTCAGATGTTGACGCTCTTAGGAGCGCCACCACCCTTCTTCCTGATAATCGAATTATCGCCCATGAGATTGCCATCAATCGAGAATACCGCATCGGTGAAGATGCCCTTGAGAATAGGGACTCGTTTATGCAGGTGGTGTTCGACACTATGCGTCGAGATCTCGCACATGGGAATAGTGAGCCCTGGGTCCTTGCAATGGCCGAGAACATCAAAGGAAAGGTCCTTCGACTTCTCAAACCGGGGAATTCGATGTACATTCTAATCAGCGAGGCTCTCGACAACGATGTGGTTGCCCGAGAACTACGATCTGGTTCCTTCTCCTACGAGAAGTTCTTTTCCTTCATGGCATCAATAATTCCTCGCCTCTGCGCCCCGTTCAGGGACGCCGAGATGAAAGAATTGGTCGAGACCAAGATGCAGACTGGCCATGTAGTAGATCGTTTACAGGCGCTTATGCACGCTACCGATCTGATGCAAATCGATTTTGCAAATTTCATGCTTCAGCAAGCCGCCCCTGAACTCATAAAGCACGCTGCTGCATACGAGACAACACGCTTCGGAGAGATCATGGAGGCAACGTCTGACAATCTTTCGGCTACAGAGCGAGCATGGGGAGAAGCTCGATCGAAAGTCCTGGCAGAGGCAGCCAAACGGGATCCAGAGAACATACAATTGCCGAGGAATCGACCGACCCCAGATAAGATTTACGCACAAATGCTCGTCGATGTCTTTACCTCGTTAGACTCGTCAGTCCCCATTCCTGAGACCCTCCATATGGACTCTAAGCGCATCTCCCGCATCCGTCTTGACGTCCTACGTATCGTCACAACCGGCGCCATCCTGTTGCAATGCAAGAACATGCTCAAACGCGATGTCCGCAGCCAGTGGAAGACAGAGGCCACACGTGTTTATTCGGTGCTAGAGAACGCCAAAACGGTCGAATCCGCAAGCCAGGGCATCCAAGCCGCTCTCGAATCCTCGCGGAGCATGCCTGCTGCAACAAAATCACACATCCGCGAGCTCGTCACCCGAATCATCTCCTCTTCCTCCTCCCTATCTATCTCCACCATATCCCCTTCAGCAAACTCGCCCCCAGCCCCTACCGCACAGCTAAGAGACCCAGTTATGCGACTCCTCCTAACTCGTCTAAGGACCCACATTCTCAACCGCCTCGCGGCTAACACGGAGAAAGAAAAAGTCAAGAGTGCGAGTACGGCGACTGAGAGCCTTGCTACGCTGGGGCTACCGGAGTTTGTGCGGAAGGTTGGTGGTATCGTGGAGGAGATTGGTGGGGTTGGACAGTTGGATAGGCAGGCGCACGGGACATGGTACGAGGAGGTTGACCATAAGTTCTCCCAGGAGGGTAATGCTGCTACGGCTAGTGGGGACGCGGGGCCGGTATCTGTGGAGGCATGAGAAAGCAGCTGGTAGAGAAGCTTTTATATAGACGGAGGTGCAGAGGTGTTTCGGATTGGCGCTTGGAGAACGGGACCGCATTAGGGATTTCGCATATTTCTTGTCGGTTTATCATAGGGCGGGATGGGATGGTGGACAGAGGGATAGCTGTATACGCCAACTAACATGCATATGGATGAGGGAACGGATGGGTTGGCATCATTTGGTCGGGAGGTGGTTGGGTCTTTCGGTTTGGTCAGGGCGTTCTTGAATGGGTTTTTGGTTTGCTGAGGTCTAGGCAGCATTTGGCATTTCGTTTTAAGAGAGGGCGTGGGTGGGATTTATGGGTAGGTAGGAAGGGGGGAAGGTTGGGGGTTATAGCGAGAATTGGGAGTTGGGAGTTTAATGGTGTACAGTAGCGTGCTAAATATGGCAATGAGAGCTTTCTCCAGCGGAATTCATTCATCTACTCTCACTTCCGTACATCGTTATCATATGATTTCAAAACCAGCATGCATGTGAAAAATGTGGGAAAAGAACTTGGTTTAGATGGGTATCATTGATTCCACTGCCCCTTCCTTCTCCCTCCCTCGCTCCGCCGTTAAAAGAGTACAATACAACTATGGACAACTAGATAAAAGTCATCATCGTTGCCAAAAATCAAATCTTCTACATTAAACACCACGCACGCACGCAGATGACGGGTTTCGCTTATCTAGTACATATAGCAGTAGAATAAGCAAAGATGGAGGATGTAGGTTGGTCTCTTCTTTGCTTAGTATCGAAATCGGGCGTGGGTAAAGCGTGTTGCTTGTGTTGGTGGGATTGGATGATGGGCTTCGTTGCTTGGGAGAGCGCTGTGTTCACGTGGGGTACCGGGTATAGTACAGTGCGAGATGGATACGGTAAGGAAAATTAGGTCGGTGGCGGAAGGGGGAGAGCTGGATAAGGCTTTCGTGGCCGCGAGAGTCGTAGTAGGAGATGGACACGAGGGTTCGCCCGAGGGTATGTATTTATTGATGAGATGGATAGTTGGTATGGTGAGTTTGTTTTGCGGGACGAGATGGATAGGCGTAGTAGTTCTTTGAGAGGGTGATCGGAGGGTCTGGTGTGTAGGTAGATGGCGGAGCCGGAGGGCGATAGTAAACCGGATCATGTGAATTTCGTATGGATTATTTCGGGATTCTCATGCCAATCATCGATACTAACCCACATCTAGAGTTCAAAGACGTTAGTCAATATGTCCCCAGCCTTGGTGGAAGACAGAACAAACCTTTCTAAAAGTACTAAGGCCGGCCAAAATACTCCCTCCAATCCAAGTAGAGTACTTCCTCTCGGGCGGTGCAAAAATCTTAATCCGCATATCCTTCACAGCTAGTCGCTGCACCTCATGCAATAACCGGTCGCCGAACCCCTTGGTCAATGTGCTGCCGCCTGATAAGACGATGTTGCCAAAGAGCGATTTGCGGAGGTCGAGATCGGTGCGGTTGATGGCGTCGACGACGATCTGGTGGATGCCAGGGTATTCGAGACCGATGATCTCGGGATCGAAAAGGATTTCTGGCGCGCGGAAACGTTCTGCTCCAATCTATAGTTTGCGTTAATAAGGGAAACAATTAAAACTCTGTGTGAACAAGTGGGGTAGATATACCTTTATCTTATTCCCATCCGGTAACGTATACTCGACGACCTTCCCATCTCCCAGCTTTGCACTCGACCACTCCTTCTCCTCCCTCTTTGGATCCGCAGCCACATAACTAACTTTCTCCTTGATCATCCTTACTACTTCCTTCTCGGCGCTTGTATGGAATACGTAGCCTGCTTTCCGCAATAGCGTCTGCATGTGTTCCGTGACATCTCGCCCTGCTACGTCTATCCGCCGTATTGAGCTGGGCATGGCAAATCCTTCGTAGACGGGCACAGCGTGTGACACCCCATCTCCAGAGTCGAGAACTATGCCCGTTGTGCGTCCTGAGGCGTAGAGGGAGAGTACAGCTTGGATAGAAGTGTAGATTGCGGGAACGTTGAATGTTTCGAACAGGATTTGCGCAGCAGTATCGCGGTTACTCCGTGGGTTGAGGGGTGGTTCTGTTAATAGTACTGGGTGCTGTGGATTTCCAGTCAGCTTCATTCCATCTCTCCCATAGCATGCCCAAGCCAGAGTCTTAGACAAACAAAGCTCAATAGCTAACTCACCTCCTCACTCAAAGTCTTCAACCCCTCCCCATAAACAAATTCCCAAATCCTCTCCATATCATCCCAATCGGTAACAATGCCATGCTCCAACGGATACCTAATCTTCAGCAAGCCCCGTAACTCTTGTGCCCGTTGCCCAATAAACACATCGCCCTCTAATGCGCCAGCGAGCACTCGTAAATGTTTGGGCCGGCCGACAAATGACGGGAAATAGCATTTGGGACGGTCATCGCCTGCAAATCCAGCGCGGATCGTACCGGAGCCGTTGTCTAAGACTATGGGCGCGTTGTGGAGTGTGTCGCCCATGGTGGGTGTTTAGGCTCTGAGGCCCCTGAGAAGCTCAGGGCAGAGTGATGGGAGGGCAACTGAGAAAGTAATCCGTGAGATTCGAGTATAATGGGGTGCGTCGATCGCGGAGACGCTGTTGTCGTTTTAGAGTGCGGGGCGGGGGATTTAATGGAGTAGCTATTTGCTTCCTGTCTACGTACTTGTAGGTAAATGATGAAGTTCAAGATGCTCGCGTACCTTTTTGGTGGACGCGAATTGGTGTTGGGGTCGCTCTAATGCGATTTCCAGGGGTAGCTTATGGCCTGTGGGAACTCCCGCGTGTTAATGCTCATATATCCGCAGGGGCTTGCGACGTCGCGTATATTTCAGCATGCTCTTCATAGGCATGAAGCATCTACAGAGTTGGGACTCTAGAGTTGTTAAACAACGATACGGTGCTAAAAGATGCCTATAGGTAGGTGGCTGGCGTGGAATCTTTCGTAGTGGACGACAAGAAGCAAGAGGCCATCCCAGGCCTGGCTACCGCCAATTCAAAACATTGAAAACCACTCAACACAGGAACAGAATAGCCTTGGCCCCCAGACTTTGTAAAGAGTCTCTTCTCGACATGAAGCTTCCTAGGTTTGGATTTTGAATTCACTTCTCTTTCCAGAAAAATCAATTAATTATAGTCTATATCTTCTCATCAGCTAGCAACTCAGGCACCAGCAACCACCATCCATAATATACTCTTAACCACTGGCAACGTTCTCTAGTGGGTCTATAGCAAGGACATTAGTGATTTGAGGTTGGCTTGGGAGGTGGAAATCTAGAAGTCAACTGGAATCGTCACTCGGTGTAAAATAAAACGCCAGCTCAGCGAGTCTCCGGTCTCACAAGCCTCCACAAACTCGGGGAAAAGCGCAAAACTTCGAATATAGGTCAATGACTCTTATGCAGCAACTAAGGCAAGGGAGCTCTCCCGAGCAGTAGTCCAGTGCTATTCAGTTTAGCAATAGAGGTTATAAGAAAATAAACATTATCAACAGAGACCGTATCGACATTGTAAATCCCATTGACAGCGTGAATCTCATTGGTAGCATCGGTATATGGTTCACGTGGATTGGCCCAACTCCACAGGCATCCGGTCGTTGCTCCATAAGGCGGTATCCTTGTAGGTTTCGTCGGAATACAACGGGTTGATTGGGATGAACTGGTGTGTTTCGGCAGCTGGAGATCCAGCGCGCGAAGTTCTGCGTAGACGTCGGTGGTCAACCTCTGTTGTGTTCCTCCCATCCGGAGGAATCCCCTTACAACGGGTTCTACTACAGCGATAAGCATCCAACCATCGCCTAGCTGGCTGACAAAATTGCGACGGGCGAGAAAAGCAGTGAAGAAGTAAGAACTTACAGCTTTATCATAGGGAAATGAATGAGACTCTTCTAGCTTCATGACGAATGGGCTTTGTGGTGCTTATTTCCGATGATGAAATCGCTAATCTGACGAACGGAAGCCTCGGGGAGAGCATTATATCATACGAAACCTTAGGAAAGGAGATGTCAACTTCACAGAGAGGTGTCTACCTCTATCATGTATTGATCGTGAACAGGGCTGGCCCCATAGAATATACAACTCACTCTATTCGAAATTCGCGGCAGCACCCGCGGCTTGATTCCAAACCACTGTACTATGGTGGAAGCGGGCGGGAGCTTATAGGTTTTTAGATGCCACTTGTATCTCAACCGGCCGCACTATTTTATAAGGATATGGCGCACCATTATTTCTAGAAGTGGAATATTGACGTAATTGGGCGGGAACGAGCGGGCAACTGTGGGCTCCTCGGACTAGAAGGACATAAAATTGGCCCTACACAAGATCGAGGCTTCGCGGTCTTTGCCGCGAAATATGGTCTTGATGATGGTTTCCTTCAAAAGTTCTGGTTCATGGCTAGTGTATTGGAAATGCAGAATAGAAAGAATAACTTCGAGGGAATGTATATTTTGGGCACGAGGGCATGTTGAAAGTTTAGTCTTGATGAAGTCAGAGGCTACCGTGACCCACTAGTGGTCATATGAGGGCAAGATAATACTGCTGCTGCAGCCTACTGTCCAGCAGTTCAAAAACAAGCCAAGAAACGGTCCAGGCCCGACGATAGAATATAATCGAATGAGATACGAGACACATTGGGAGCTTATCCAAGATCTATCCAATAACTTGGATATGCAGCTTTCTTGAAGCCTCGAGGAATATTCCAGTTGCGCAGCACAAAAAACACAGACTAGGCAAAGTTTCTTGGGCCGTGTGCCTGTTCAGTAGGGCTGGGAGGGAAACGGGCAGCGACGGTGCGGTTTTGTTCGCACCCTGAAGGTGGTTTTAAAGGTGAAAGTTCCAAGACCTCTTAGCTGCCACAAATGAATGCTGGGGCTTTTCACTTAAAGCGGCCTTCGAAACCCCCAAACTTAGCTTGACGGAGTCCAGGCACTGGAATGCGGTGGCCGAGAAATTGAGCAATCTGCTGTAGGTAGAGCCCGGGAGATGCGACGGATTTTACGGCAGTTGCAGTGCCCGGCCGCAATAGAAGGGGCCTCCAATTTGTACCGAGTAAAGCGCAGTGCGTGGTATAGTGTTTTCTGCTTGGTGTACGCAATCATGGCGTTTGTGTGTCCTTGGGTGTGTGCGAAGTACTCGGTCTTTCTGTCTTTGTGCGAAGTACCTCCATACAAATCACCCGAGTATCGAGTATCAAGGTCCACCCCGCCAGCCACACGGCGCCACACCCATTCTACCCGCGATACTCTCCCCGGTACTTCGCTCGTACGTACGTATCACTCCGAAGTACATACGTACCTGTTGTACCTCTGGTACCTTGGCCTGGTCCCTTACGTGCTTGTTCCAACTCGCAATCCAACCATAACCAGACCGAGAGTCAAGTCTGGCCCTAATTTATGACTCGACCTAGCCATAACCGTTCCACCTTTATGCCCTGGGGTACAATAGTACCATATAGTTCTCCTCTTTTGGCAATTATTCCGGTTTTACCGTCCAAGCTATGTGGCAAGTGTCAAGAGCTAATAATTTGCAAGTGCCAGCATGGAATGCCATGCCCAGCTCAGCCAAAATGCAGCCGCCGCCCAGTCACAGCGCCCCCATTTCCCAGTCTACAGCGGCTGTCTGCACCTTTGCGTATGGTCTTTACGGAGTATTTATTTATCATCCCCGGCTTGTCGTCAACAAAGTAACCTGCATACTCTGTCCGGCACTTGGCTCCTTTACCCGCCATCTTCCGTTTGATCGAAACCTTCCTGTTCTGTCTCACATATATCTATATTTTCGCCAAGACGATCTTTTCCGCGAGCCTCGCTTCTCGCCCCCTGCGCGGCAACTGTCTTGTCTGTATACGCCATGGGGGACAGCAGTGATATAAAGCCCGAAGGCTCCCCGTCCCCTATCACTGTCACACAAGCACTTGAATGTGCTCGTGACAGCGAGGAAGGTGCTCGTGATCCCACGATAATTAATATTCTCGACACCGCTTTGGCAGACATCCGGAGGAAGATCGACGCCCAGCCAACGTCCTATGTTATGACACGGGACGAATTCGCCGTCTTCAACTACTTCCAGCGTTGCTTCGAAGGGGACGAAGTCGCTGTTGCGGCCAGACGGCGATACTGGGACCAATACAACAGCCCTGCTACTCGTACTAGATAAAGCCGGTCTCGTCGAGAAAACCGTTTGTGTGTCGTGGAGGTATTAAAGCCCCCGCACGCTGTCTTGTCAATATCGGGGGATTTCTCGACTTTATCGCCCTGATCCGCTCCGAGGTAGCACTGGTGGTATTAGAAATGGGTACTTTTTCCGAAAAGAAGCAATGGTTTGGCAGGGGAATTGGCCGTGACCGGGGATCTACGCTTCGACGACTCGAAGAGGACGGCCACCTGATTCCAACCGAGGAGATCTTAGCATCTAAATCAAACAACCCAAACTCCGAGCAAGATGCCACGAGAAAAAAATGGGCCAAACCAGTCGCTTTCATTGTTGTTGGATGTTGTATAGCTTTACTTTGGGTATTTGGCGATTGCTTATTTTCTGGATCTTGGCCGGAGAAGGAGGTATCGATAGCAAGCTACAGTCTCGTTAAGGATGATGTCCCTGCTCCTAGTCCTCCCAAACCATCCGACGGGGTGCTGGAGTGCTTCCAAGTGCATCAACCTGTGCTATTCCCCTCAGGGGCAGTTGATCAAACGTTGTTGAGCACTGGAGCCGAGAATACTGCCATCATTGCCGCCACAGACATAGCAACAAGCTGTCAAGTTCTTTTGATGGAACACCAATTTGCGTATTCATATGGCCTCCCTTTTGTTGGTATGTTTTCTAGCCTCCGGTAACTGCTCACGTCCTGACGATTTATTAGGAAATTACAATCCCCCTAAATGCAAGTTCAACCGTGTGGCCATGAATTTCACGGTTACATCAAGAGGCCGCCAGTATGATAGACTAGCGATCATGTACTTCAACGACACCGAGGTCTGGCGGACTTCTACCGCTGAGCCCACTACTAACGGCATCCGCTGGGAATATATCAAAGATATGACTGAGTACATGTACTTCTGGAATTCGCCACAAAAACTCATTTTTGATCTTGGAAATCTTATTGATGACACATACACCGGCCCGTTCAATACTACTCTGACCGCTACATTCTTTACCGTCCAGGAAGAGGCTGACCCTGCACCGCTTATTATCCCAATCTCAGCTAGAAAAGGGGCAACCAACGAGCCAAGTCTTTTCGCATTGCCCCAGGACAATGCTACGAACACAATCAGTTTCCCTCGAAATGCCAACCGTGCGGTCTTTTCGGTTTCCGCTTGTGGACAAGGTACTGAGGAGTTCTGGTGGGCCAACGCTTTGCAATCTAATATCCATACTTTTGAACCAGTTGCTGGGACTCTGTATGGATACTCAGCATTCCGGGAAGTCCAAGTTTTGATCGATGGCCAACTTGCTGGCGTGGAATGGCCCTTTCCGGTCATATTCACTGGTGGGGTGGTTCCAGGGCTTTGGCGCCCAATTGTCGGCGTAGATGCGTTCGATCTTCGAGAACACGAGATTGATATCACTCCTTGGCTCCCGATCCTATGTGATGGCGCAGAGCACAGTTTTGAAATCAGAGTAGTGGGAATTTTGGACAATGGCGAATCTAGCGGGACGATTACCAAAACTGTTGGAGCTAGCTGGTATGTGACTGGCAAGATATTCATCTGGCTCGACGATGAAGGGTCTGTGACCACGGGGAGATCACCAACAGTTCGACAGCCACAGCCTGTAATCAGCCTCTCCCAGTCTCTAACCCAAAATTCCACCGGAGCCAATGAGACACTCAAGTACACCACGGATGTGAAGCGAGAACTCTCCATCTCCTCTCAGGTCAAAACTCAAAACGGTACTAATCTAGTAACCTGGACACAGTCACTCTCTGTGAAAAACTACGGCCTTTACACTGCATTTGGTGCCGTCCAACAAAACAACCAAACCACAACTGGTGTTGACCAATCCACTGGCGGCGTTTATTTCAAATCGTCATATTCCTACCCCTTATACGCTAACACGACGTACCTCGTCCAACCGGGCGGGAACTTCACCATTGACGCAGTTGTAATCCGTGGCCTGGATCTCTCCTTCCAAGGCAAGCCCGTCTTCCCTACCGGTATCCAGCCTTTCGCCCACATCCCCCGCAGCGCACCACTCGTACCAAGTTTCATAGGCACTACCCTATCCACACTTCAGAACGGCAGCGCACACTATTTCGGCTCCCCGAGTGCACATACCAGCAGTGGCTTCGGTAGAACACGCCAGGAATTCAGCTTTAATGGTGTTAGCCTGAGTGGCAACCAGCTGAATAAGGAGTTATATTTTAGGAGTGTGGAGGCAATTAATGGTACCCTTGTGAAGGATTATGAGAGTTTGCTTGGATCGGAGGTTGCAAGTTATGTTGGGAAGGCGACGACGAACCAGCTTGTTATGGGGGATGTTGTTAGTCCGAAGGAGGCTATTGGGAGGGGACCTGGAGCACCTAAGAGGGTACTTGTTCAAGGTGGTGGGGTGTAAGAGCGATGCACCCTTTGCTGGAAGCTAAAACAGGTAGCACGAGTAAAATAAGTAGCCTACCTTAACTAAGACCAAATTCATCTCTCTCAATTTCCTATCCTCCTTTAAATCCATTGATAGGTAAAAGATAGAGCAATCTATTTATTCAATATTAAGCAAGACCCTCGTTTTTGTATGAGTTGATACGATTATACGGCGAAGATATATATTATAACAGGTGTATATGTGCCCATAGGTAATCAGAATACTAATGAACTTGGAGATGCTAGTAATAAAGCGGATCTTGCGGTCGTGGAGCGATTTTGGGGGAGGCGCGGTAATATGGAGATACAAAGGGCTGGAAGGGGGGCTGAGGAGAGTAGTTGGATTGATATTGTTCTGGCAGGAATGAGATTAATAGAAAGAGCTAATGAGCTTTGCTAGATGTGCAGGCGATTTGTCTTCGGTGGACTGGGGGAAATGGCATAAAGTAGATATTTATCGATGGTTGCTGTCTTTCTTATCTGGGAATGCCTGGTTTTGAGTTGAGATGGTGCACTGTGGTGACATGATTGCGCATGGCTCGAGGAATGCCTGTGGCAGCATTTCGGGGGTCATATGTGTGGTACCTGTTGTTACATATTGATGTCCAGCTCTCCTCAGTATCGCGAATTCCGGGACGTCAAAACCTCCGAAAATCGGTGATTGTGGTGTGATCAATGCTCGTATTTCATTCCCATTTCCGACGAAAATGCCGCTCAGCCATGCTATCTTCAGAGCCTAGCTAATGACGCCGCAAATTGAACACCAATTCCCAGAGTTCCCCTTCGCACAATACATCCGTCTATGATCTGGGCTTCTCCTTCTTCTCCTTCCACAGCGCAGACAGACCGACACCGGACACCTTGACGACCTTGAACCGAACACCGGGAATATCTCCCTTCGCCTTGCCCTTACGACCGAAACCTGCGAGCAGGACCTCGTCGTTCTCGTCTACGAAGTTGAGGCAACCATCGTTAGGTACTGTAGAGAGACATATGTTAGCCTTCGTGATCTGTCCAGCTCGATTCGTCCGTAGCCCCTGCTCTGCAAAAGATTCCACCCCATGACACAGCTTGTCTTCCAGCCATTTCACCCAATCCAACTTTGCACATTGAACACGTAGACCCAGAAGAAAATGTCCAAAACCTACCGAAAGCGGTGACCTTCTTGCCGTTCTTAATCAACTGAACCCTGACACACTTCCGGATAGCAGAGTTGGGCTGTTTGGCCTCAACACCAACTTTCTCGAGAACTATTCCCTTGGCGTGCGATGAGCCACCGAAAGGCGAAGATTTGAAAGCCGTTCCCAGCGCGCGCTTCTTGTAGGACAGATCAGCCCATCGTTGCTCGCGGCGATGGTTCTGGAGCTTTCGGGCGGCGTTGAGACCACGGGGCTTTCCTTTACCCATGATTGCTGTTGCAGAGAGAAATGTTAGTTTTCGATTTGAATTGGAAGAGGTGCCGGATCGTGGTGATGGAGATGGATATGGGGGAGTAATTACCGGTTTACGGCGATATGGGTGGTGATTGTAGTGGTCGTTGTCGTCGAGATTGTTCGTTTCGATATTCGATTCTTGAAAATTGGATTTGCGTGGGCTGCGAAATGCGCTAACCGTAAGCGAGACAACCCCAACTAAATCACGTGCTGACATCAATCGTGCACAGATTATCTGGACTTCGGAATTTAGTTTCGCCGATACATTAGGAAGTTCTGGTGGTGGCAGATAAGGGCTGACATTCTACGGCGTCATTCCACAGTTCGATAGGATACAATGTTTCGGCAGCAACAGCCATCATCGCCCAAGTCAGAATCCAAACATCTGCGCGATCCACCTCCAGCGCTCTTCCTCGGTCCCCCCTCTCAAAATGCCTCTCATGTCTCCCTCCTTGGTGCCAATACTCCCATTGGGCCCCCGGACCTGTCCACCTTGACCTCCAGTCACCCGTCTATGCTTCGCCAACGCTCCCGCAGCAACATTGATGTCGACGCCGCTGGAGGACCATCACTCCCGCGTCCCTCACTGCCTCGGCCGCGTCAGGAATCAGAAGGCAAGAAGCAGGCTGATAGAACCGATGCGCTATGGGCGGAGATGCAGAGCACGCTGGAGGAGGTCAAGCTCACCGCTGTGAATGGCACTCATGTTTTTGGGCAGGAGCATGCGAAGGCCCTAGACCAATTAAGAGAGGCACAGATTGGGTTGGCGCAGGCATGGGCGAGGAGTGAGGCTGATGAGGTGGTCGACAGTATAGATGAGGAGAGTAAAGGTCTAAATGACGCTAGGGGATTGCCATCTGGAAGTGAGGGACGCAGTGTCAGGGACACAATGGGCAGCACGGCAACCGGCGCCGGGGGACCTGAAAGCAGTGGGTTGAATGCGGAGAATATTGAGAGCAAGTTGAATGATACGGAGGCGGATATATTATTGGCGAGGAGGAGGAGGGAAGCTAATGATAGGTATTTCCAGAGAGTAAATGGTGGCGTTCTTGATGTGGTTGCCAAGCTAGAACAAGTCGCGGCGGCAATGCGAGCTGTAGAGCAGGAGAGTAGGGACATCTGGGGGGAGACCGAGAGTTCGGCAACGAGCATTAATGGATGAAGGTCTTGATATTTGATAACATTAGCGTCGGCGTCGAGGGACTAGCATTGATGGAATGGGAGCGTTGCATTATTTTTGATGGATCAGCATGCTAGAAACTATTCGTCTAACTTGCCGCCATATCTCAACTGACTCCATGTGCAGCAAGCCGTAATCGCGTCTCCAAGTATCAATCATAAACATCCGTAGATGTCATCAGCCCCTTGTCTGTGGTCAACGCTGCCTGGTATCGTCAAGCCCGGAACGCCTCGAAGCCCCCCAATATCTTAATTGCCAATGAACAGAGAAACCTAAAATATGTTAGTTCGGCATATAGTTAGAGTAGTTGAACAAGCATACCGCCATAATAACACAACATGCACTAATATATGGACTCAATCGTTCCCCTATCCTCGCGCATTTCCAGAAAATACCTGTAAACGCACTATACCAGGCATTAGCCATAGCCCCCCCGGATATACTGTGGGGTTGCGGGTAAACCTACCCATCCTTATTTCTATCCATAAAGCCTGGGAAAAGTTGGTGGAAGTATGCACTGGTGCAGATGAGGAGGAGGAGCACCAGCAACGCGGACTGGAAGTTGAAGAGCGCAGACTATAGAAAGGTTAGATATCAGGAGCAGTGGTGGGTGGTATTCTGAAAGTTTAAATGATAGGTACATACCATCTTGATCAAGACGCGACAATTCGAGACAGCCGCTTTGGGAGCAATAATCGCTGATGAGTGATCATTGATGTTCTGAACACAATATCTTGTTCGTAGGTATCGGAGCCGGATTATCTAGTCACCGACTCCCTTATGGCGGATTATTGATTACCCGCCTACTTTAGGCATCCGCCAATCAGCAAGCACTACCAACTCTATCCCAAAGGCCCATCGACATCGACATCGACATCAACGACACCGATTCACTGCCTCTCCTTGATCCTGCAATACGCAAATCGGTAGTCCACCCGAATCTACCCAATATTAGAGCCATGGAGCCAAGAGCGCGAGTAGGCAAGAACCGGGGGCAGCAGAATTTCAGCGATCAAGAGCGTAAGTTCCTTCAAACCTCCCTCAGATTCCCTGTTCTAACACTATCAAGTCCAACACTTCCTCTTCGCCTACGGCGACGTCCATCAATCCCTCGATACCACACGCAAAGTATTCGATGAGCTGCTTACCGATTTCATCACGGAACTCTGCTTCGAAGCCGCACGCTCTGCCCAACTTGCGGGCCGTCAAAAAATCAAACTCGATGACATCAAGTTCGCCTGTCGCAAGAACCCCATATACCTGGGAAAGATCGAGGAAGTCATGAGCAAGAAAGAGGAAATTGACAAGGCTAAGAAGCTCGTTGATGTGAATGACGATAAGATTACCAAATCCGGGGTTAAGGCTTTGGAGGAACCACTGGGTGATGCGGATGATGATGCGGATGCGGATGCGCGGACTGTTGGCGGGAAGAGTAGCGGTACTGGAGCTGGGAAGTAAGATGCAGGATGACCCTCACCGTCCTCTTTCACTTCCTCGCGGTTTTGACGGGGTGGTCGCCTTACTTCGCCGTTATTACTATCGGTGCCATATCGGCTACCGATGCTTACCCTTCGTACTTTCGGCGGGTTATGATACGGGGTGTTGAGGTTATTTTTTATTTATTCTTGGTTGCGAAGGCAATACTGATATAGGCAGGAAGCCAGGCGTTGAGGGAGTTCAAGCTATAGGCTTGGAGAGTTATGGGATAATAGGGATATTGAGGGGCGTTAGGAGGCCAACGATACCCGGCTGAGGCCACTTGTTGCAATATATATGTGCTTTATTGATTCATGGATTGCAAATCTCACGTCTACATCTCGGAAAGCATACACGATGAAAACATCAGCGGGCGGAGCGAGTAACTTGAAGCTACCTAGGCACTCAAATGAACCAAAGTGGATTGTTATAGCTTGTCAAGCCGATAGAAGTTCGCAGCGCTACTTGTGCTACAAACCTCGGTGCCTCAATGAAATTATTGAAATTATGGTGACATGTAAATTTAGAGAGAGGCTGACTATACCGTAAGTTGCGAAATCAGCATCACACCGAACACTCTTTGATTTAATACCTGAGGTAGTTAACTCACACTTTGGATACACTAACGCCATCAACTGGCTAGCCACACCACCCCTGCAAATGGGCGTCACGCCTCAAAAGCATATACCCTGCCTAAGCTTGAAAGTAGTGGACACAAGATAAAATCATAAAGTTATAAACCCACAATGTCCTCTTCAACCTCTCCTTCAAACCTCACCCTCGTCAACATCGGCACTCACTCTCTCGCCCTCTACACCCACGGCCCAGAACCCAGCAGCTCCGAAGACCCCGTTGTCCTGTTCGTCTCAGGCGTGGCAACCAGCAGCCTCGTCTGGGCAGCCGTGACACGGCTGCTCCCTCCCTCGCTGCGCAGCTACACTTACGACCGTTCCGGCTATGGCAGCTCCGAGCTCTCGCCGCTCGCGCCCACGGCCGAGAACATCGCTCTAGAGCTCTCCCGTCTGATCGAAAAAGCTCCCATTTCGAACCCTCTGATTATCGTTGGGCACTCCTGGGCCGGCGTACTCGTGAACGAGTTTGTCGTCCTTCCGCGAAGCGGCCCGTCTGTCGCTGCTCTGGTGCTCGTCGACGCCAACCACGAGACGGCGCTACAGGTGCTAAACCCGTTTCATGCGAATTTCCAAGCTATTTTCGCGGGCGTCGAAGCATATTCTGCCAAGGGCATTACGGCGGAGCATAAGTTGACGCAGGAGGAGTGGGATGCGTTTGTGAGTGACGAGGCGACGGAGAAGCACAAGCTGCAGGCGGAGAAGGAGGATAATGAGTACGCACCGAGTTTTGAGACGCTGCGGAAGAAGGAGCTTGGGAAAAGGCAGCCGCTGCTTGGAGACAAACCGGTTTATGTTATTGGAGGCTTCCGGAGTAGGGATTGGAGTAGGATGTATAAGGCGGGCGTTGAGAAGGGGAATGGAACAGAGGAGCAGAGGAGCTATGCTAGAGAGACGATTAGGACGGCTGATGAGAAGCATATGGGTCTCATGAAGGAACATCTGAAACTCTCTACAAAAGGAAAGCTCGTATTTGCACATGAGAGTGGACACTTTGTCCAGTTAACCCAGCCAGATATTGTTGTCGATGGAGTGGAATGGGTCCTAAATGAACTACAAACGTCTTCGTAGGTATTCGCCGCAGCTAGGACAATTCCAATTCCATCGAAGTTTTGAGGATTAGCTCGTAAATTAGATCTGCTCCGCCTTGAGATCCAACCCATCTAGCCTCGAGCAGACCGGATCCTGTTGGTCGCGAAGAATTGTCCGCGCCCATCTTCAACGCTACTTGTACCCCACTACACTCGCCTCAGCAGGGGTGAAGAGGGGTGGTGGTGTGGCTAACCAAGTGATGGTGCTAGTGTATCAAAGCTGTGAGTCCAACATAAAATCAACGAGTGTTCGGGCGTGACAATGATTTCGCACCGATTTCGCAACTTGCTGTAAACTGACGCCAATTGCATTGGAAATATCGAATCTATGCACCTACGAGTGCGCCATGTCAACAGCGACGCCAGCGTGCGTTAATAGCCAATTGAACCCCGAGGATAGCTTTCAGCTCCTACCTAGTGCGAAGTGCGTACTCCGTCCGTATGTACATACGGAGGTATGTACAGTAGGTACTGACCCAGGCCTAGCAGGCTTATCGGCGTTATCCACACGGAAATAATGGGTGAAAATTGAAAGACGGGGTATTTCCTGCCGATCCCGCCTCCTCTCCCCTCATTGTTTAGTGTATCAGAGCCCTGCCGTCTAGATCGCGGAGAAACCTAAAAGCCATAATCCCGAAAAGTCTCTGCCTCAAGAGAAGGAGAAGGAGAAGGTATCCATCACTCGATAGGTTTGCTTGTATGCTCAGCAGCAGTCCGCTGAAAAGATGATTCGCGAATTCGCAGCTGGATTGGAAGGCCAAGTCCGTTGTGTTTTCAAGATCCAAAAACTCTTTCCAAGAAGGATGCCCGCCACTACTGCAAGCGCAGCGGATGGATTCTTTCGATGCCTTAACAGGCTTACCAACGGTGAGAGTTAGTCTAGATCAAGGGCACCGCCACCCGACGGCCAGAGGTGATTTGCTGGGTTAGATACTGACATTTACTACTTGATCTGCTGGTGCCCGCGATGTCGGGTGCTGATCGAGAACCTCTGGCTTGTCGGGTCACAGCCATTCATCAACGTGCATTCCCATCCTCACTCTCACCCTCATCCTTATCCTTATTCGCATGGTTTTTTTTGAAGTGGTGCTTTTCCATTCCGCATTCCGCTTCGGTCTCTTGATACACTGACAAGAGCATGTGCGGTGCGCTTGTCCTACGATGAGTCCAAGTCCAAGTGATGTCAGCCCCCCACCCTACACCCCGCAACCTTATCACCATCGTCCCACCATACCACGAGAAGAACAAGAACATGACGATATCCTCGAATCTCTGCAAAACATCCCCTCCAACTTTGATCTCGCCCTCAATGGCGGCACCAATGTCAGGCTTCTGTCCCCGAACTATGCGAAGAGGACCGATCCTTCACTCCTGGATCCGGAGGAATTCAGGCGGCTATCGATAGGCACGGCCTCCTCTATCAACTCCCAGTCACGAGGGGCCTCTCCATATCCCGCATCTAACGATGCGAGAACAAGGCCAAAGGGTTTCAAGAACGCATGCAAGCACTTCTGGCACAGAAATCAAGGCCCATTTCTTGTGGCGTTCTCGCAGTTCTTCGGCGCGCTGATGAATGTCGCTGCGCGCTTGCTAGAATTGGAAGGGGAGGGTATGCACCCGTTGCAAGTATTATTTGCCCGGATGTCGCTCACGATGCTGTTTTGCTGTGCGTGGATGTGGTGGAAGAAGGTCCCGGATTTTCCATTCGGCGCGAAGAACATTAGGTGGCTACTGGCTGCCCGGGGCTTTGTTGGGTTTTTTGGTATATATGGGATGTATTGTAAGTCTATCTTTTGCCATGAGTCAAAACAAGTGCCCCCTAAGTGTGGAAAGGATTCAATGCTAATGAAAGCTCCATAGACTCTCTCCAGTACCTCCCCTTGTCTGATGCGGTAGTCCTTACCTTCCTTGCCCCCTCTGTAGCCAGCTATGCTTGCTATCTCTTCCTCAAAGAGCCCTTCACCCGCTCTGCCCAAATGGCCTCGCTTGTCTCTCTATTTGGTGTAATTCTAATCGCCCGACCAACCTCCTTCTTCGCCTCGACACCAGAATCATCCCCTTCAGGCACACATGCCGGAAATTCAACCGCAGCCGCGGACTCGCCCAATTCTGGCTTCCCAACGCCCACCTCAGCTCAACGTCTCTCTGCAGTGGCCGTCGCCATGCTAGGCGTTCTGGGCGCTGCCGGAGCCTTTACAACAATCCGCTGGATTGGTAAAAGAGCACACCCACTGATTTCCGTAAACTACTTCGCCGTTTTTTGTACCATAATTTCAACCTTTTTCCTAACTCTTGCACAACCCCTCCACCTATCGGACTCTCTCTCGTTTCGTCTTCCCACCTCCCTGCGGCAGTGGAGTATGCTCATCTTCCTCGGTATCTGCGGCTTCATCATGCAGTTCTTGCTTACCTTGGGACTCGCGGCCGGGGGTAGGAAAAATGGGTCGAAAAGCACGAGCATGGTGTATACGAACATGCTCTTTGCATTGGCGTTGGATAAGATGGTTTTCGGACAGACGCCGGATTGGTGGAGTCTTGGAGGGAGTGCCTTGATTCTTGCGAGTGCTGTTTTTGTGGCAATGCAAAAGCAGCAAATGGATACCGGAACGAGGGTAGTGGATGAAGAGGCCGATAGACATGTTGGCGAGAGAGAAGTAAGCGGGGACGAGGAGACGCAGGAAGAGGAGGTGGGACTTTTGAGGGCTAGGGAGGGGGTTGAGATCGAGGAGGAAGGCGATGGGCAGCAGCCAGAGACAATGGAGTTAAGGTCATTTACACGGTCAGATTAGAGCAATTGGGGATTATAGGTTTTTGGCATTAAAGCATTTGTGTTAGACATTTATGTGCATGCTATGGAGTTTGGGTTTTAAGAGTACAAGAAATATAAATGATAGCACCTCTATATACCACTATAGCTATTAGTAAACCAACAAATATAAAGCAGTCCTCTAAGTGAATTGAATGGCAGGATCCTAAATATTTAGCTACAAGCGTAGGAAAGTAGTGCTATCAATATTAGATAAGGGAGATATGTGCTTATGCTAGGCGCTTGATCTGTGAAGTTGGGAGTTCGTGATCATCTAACGAGAGGCTTTGATACTGGACAGATACGCCAATGAGATACCTGCTAAGCAGAATAAAATATTTGGGCAGAAAACAGGTACCTTCCATTCGTGTGGTATAAGACTTCACGCACGAGGTATTCTGCCCTTCTTTGCCTGAATAGGAATTTTGTTGAAATGTACATCCTCTCGAGTTCCAGGACACGCATCAGTAAAGGAAACATACTTGAATGAAAAATCAACATCATCTTCATAATATTAAATACATGGCAGCATTGAAAACCAACCTTCGGGTTTCAGAGGGAGTCGTCTCGGATTTAAAGCTAGGGAGTGATGAACGTTTGTGGTACCTTGTTGTTTCGATTGTAGTCGCAGAATGACCCCCCTTTTTAATACGTTAAGCGAGGCACCCTTATGGTGTGCTCACCTGTGCATAGAGGACTCTATACGAAGTACTGGTAAGCTTGTTAACGCCGACCCGATAGCCTGGTTGATTTCAACCTTGCTTTATGCTGTGCAACCTTGCCAGAATCAGAACCTCGTGCAGACGGCATGCTGGTGGCTAGTATTGGTGGCGCATAATACATATTATCAAGTTGGGGGTAATAATGTTTATTTCTACCCGTGTTTATCTCGGCCAGGGTAAAATTGTCTCACTGTAGATTTGGCTTCGAATGCCGAGCCGTGTCCTGGTAACTTGGCTTCGGCGGCGGACAGGTTTTTCAAATCATTGGTGTCTAGCCGAAGGCGTCTTGTCGAGCGCCCTGCTTTACAGTGCATCATGCCTGCATGTCTAGATCCTCCTAGGACCGAGCGTTGTAGGTGTATAAGAATGTCCAATATCAGCTACGCGCGGCAACAGGCGAGTTATTAGTGGCTATCAGTAATAATATCTGTTGTAGCCTGGCCACTGATGTCAGCTTGAAAACGCCAGGTCGGCAATATCTAGTAACTTGATTTGTCTTTGGGATTCCATCATGCAGTCATACTCTGCGTTGAATGCATTTAGTTCCCTGGTTCAAACGGCTGAGGAAATTTGGGAAACGGGGATCCTTACCCTCCGAAAGACTGGGAGGCTCAGCCAGTTATGAGTAAAACCCATCTTCACAGCCAATTACGCTTTAGAAGCTAGCCAAAGGTGAGGTTGTGCCTGACCCAACATAATTCTCGATTATCAGCTGCAAAATAGACGTGAATTCTTTCACACGGACAATGGTGTTCCAGGTGTAACCCCCAGGAGGATGTATCTTCATATTTTATTCTCTTGAGTGTGATAGCCTGATAGCCTGGTAGGTTGGGCGGTGTAAGTAGCGGACTGACGAAGAACCGTGAAAATATATTCGAGTGGATACACCGCGCGACCGACCTCCCAAAATCTGGGCGGTATCTGTGTAGAATTCTATTTCATCATATCCAACCCTATACAGAAACAGTTGTGCACTGTACAGTCCGCCAACTGGACCATCATTTCTTTAATCTCTAAGACACACACCTTTGTAGAGCAGCAGCATGAAAGGAGACGACAGGTCTGATAACGCCTCCCAAGCTCGTGGCGGTGGTGAGGATAGCCATGGCGTTGGCAAGCCTGCTATCACCCAAACTCAGATGATGGAGAGTGCCAGGAACCAGGCTACTTTTGACACATCTAAGCTATCAGAGATCATCTTTGGAAGGTATTTACTCATCTGTATTTGTCCCGTTCAGTGTCCCTGCTAAAATATTTGGCAGTCCAGAGGCTGTTAAAATTCACAAGAAAGCTTTCCAGCGCGTCGAAGAGTCTACCGGAACTACTGATATGTCCAAGCTCCCCGCACGATATGGTAACATGAACCGCGAGGACATGCTGCTTGAGGGACTGAGAGCAGGCCGGGCTGCTTTCCATGATTCCCTGGATAATGGCGATTCCACCTTCAGATACCATACTCAGGAATGGGTCTTGACCAACTCCAATCCTTTGGGGCTTACTGAAGTCTTGTTTAGGCCTATGATTGAGCTCCAGGGTACGGCTGAGCAAATTGCGTACTGGACTCCTCTCTCCCGGTCGGGAAAGATTATTGGCAGTTACACTCAGACGGAGTAAGTAGGGCACTTTTCTTCCTCACTGTTCTATGGCGTTTGCAAATAACTTCGCTATATTGAAACTTGACCGTGTAGATGGCGCTGACTCGAGCTGTTTAGGATTGGCCAGGGAACGTTTGTTGCTGGTTTGGAAACCACTGCGGTTTTTGACAAGAGGACCGACGAATTTGTCATTAATAGCCCGACACTTTCATCCATCAAATTTTGGCCTGGAGCATTGGGCTATATGTCTTCCCACACAATCGTCATCGCCCGCCTTATCATTGGGGAGAAGGACTATGGCGTTCATGCCTTTATCGTCCAGCTTCGATCGCTGAAAGATTGGAAGCCATTGCCTGGAATTGAGCTTGGTGATATCGGGTAAGCCGTTTCTTTAGTTTGGTTGTCATGCAGCGTAGTAATTGGATATAGGCTTAAGATGGCGTACAACGGCACAGACAACGGATATGCAGTTTTCAACAATGCCCGCATCCCTCGCAGCAATCTTCTCATGCGCTTCGCTAGCGTCTCAAGGGACGGCGCCTATACCACCCATCCACTTCGGGAAAAGCTCTTGTATGGAGGCATGCTTAAGGGCCGGTTGGCCATCATTCGAAATTCCGCGTTCCAGCTTGCGCAAGCCTTGACGATTGCTACGCGGTATTCAGTTGTTCGGCGGCAAGGACATAAGCAACTTCAACAGAACTCGGTAGCTTCTATTATGTCGTATAAACTGCAGCACTATCGCCTTTTGATGTTGATTTCTCGGGCATATGCTAGCCTTTTCGCATCGTTGGCCAGTGATTCGGCATATCAAGAACTCCAGAAGCAACAGGCCAATGGCGATCACTCTTCACTTTCTTATACGCATATGGTCATGGCAGGCCTCAAAGCCTGGGTCACCGCAAATGCCGCCGACGCGGCAGAGGATGCTCGTAAGATGTGCGGCGGCCACGGCTATCTCATGATCTCAGGCTTGCCTGAGATCGTGAACTCTCTAGCAGCAACCTGTACCTTTGAAGGTGAGAACTATGTCATGTGGAAACAAGTGGCCTCCTACCTTATGAAAGGCATGGCTGCGCGATCCCTTCCAAAGGACATGGCGTACATTCCCTCTCCCACCTATGGTAAGAGAGTACGCTGTCATGTTAGCGGAGTGGATTTCCTCCACGTCGATAACCTCCTATATATCTTCCAACATCGAGCGGCGCGCCTTATCACCGAAGCTTATCAGCTTCTCCGTGCTAGTCGTGGCAAAGGTGCTGTTCAAAATGAGGATCGCCATGATGTTGTCCTCCTGAGCGCTGCGAAAGCCCACACAGAACTTTACATCTTGCAGTCGTTCCGAGAGCATGTCACTTCCATTTCCGGCTCCATGCCAACTGAGGTAAAAGCCGTCCTCACCCGACTCGTCAGACTCTTCGCCCTTACTACCATTGCATCCCCACTCTGCAGCTCCTCTGCCTCATTCGTCGAGGATGGCTTCCTGACCCTCAACCAGCTTGGCGATATACGCACCAACATCGACCACTTGCTCGAGGAGCTACAACCTGATGCCATAGCTCTGACGGACGCGTGGGAATTTACGGATGCTAGCCTGACGAGTGCGTTGGGTTGCAAGGATGGCGATGTTTATGAGCGAATGATGTGTTGGATCCGACAGTTGCCTATTAATGTTCATGCTAGCGAGAATGACAGTGTTTTTCGGGATGGCTGGGAGGAAGTTATCAGGGATTTCATCGCCGGTGGCCGAGGTAATGTGACGGAGAAGGCTAGGTTGTAAGGGTTGCGCGTCTGTATGCGTTTGAGTTGAAGTTTCTGCTGGTAATACGAGAGAAGCTGGTATAATAGGGTACATACTGGTTTTTAGCCTTGAATATCGTTGGAGTTGGATACTCATAGTTTGTTAGATCATCCTCTCGCATAGCTCCCGAATAATACCCCGGAGGCCCTTTAGTCTTCCCTCACTGGTATTGCTTACAAACATCGCTGCAATGGGCCAGGCATGAATGCCGGATTCCACCTCCACGGACCTCACACCCACTTGACCCTCCTGCCACAAGTGAACAAGCCGACTAGTCTCCGGTGCAAAAACCTCCTCAGCGCCATATATTACAAAAAACCCCTTCGAGGGAGAAGCCCGCCGCCACGCAGACACGGATCTGCAGTTCCCCGGAGAGATTAGCGGGTCGCCAATGGAGATTTTAGAGCCAGCGTATTGAGAAGCGTAGGAGTGTAGGCTAGCGATATCAAGGTAGTCGCTTGTTGTATTTTTGTCCAGTGGGGAGCGGAGTGTTACCCAAGGGGAGATGAGGACTGCCATCCCCGGAGTTAGCGATGTATCCGTCTCTGGATTTAGACGCCCCTTTCGAGTAAGATCGGGCATTTCTGACGACCAGACGGGACCCTGCTCGGGAAGATGAGCAAGATGAAGCAAGAGACTGAGGATTAGCGTAGCACCAGCGGAATCACCGCTTACGCATATCCTGGACGGGTCTTGGGTAATAGAAACAACGTGTTTATAGCCAGCAATTGCTTCGTGGAGTTGTATCGGGTAAGATGCATCCGGAACGAGGGTGTATTCTAGTGCGAAGATCGCGGGGTTTCTGAAGCTGCCGGATGTCTTGAGGAGACTAAGCCAGGCGAGGAGGAATTCCAGGTAGAAGTAACTAGAGCCCATGGAAAATCCACCGCCTTGGTAAGGAACGGTCAATCAAGGCTCATTGTAGGAGAGGGTGGGGGATCATAAATAGGAGGCAGGAACAGTGTTAGCGTACCATGGACGTAGTAAATGACAATATCAGGCTCGACGGATTGGTCGTCTATAACCCAGATGCCCTTAAAATCGTTCTGTATTTACTCATTATAGGCTGCCCCAACGCGAGCGAATTTGAATGGGACTTACTCGGCTCACTTCATGCCAATGGATCGGTGAGTGAAGGTACCCATGCCGGAGCATGCGAAATCTCAGAAAGGGCAGTGATACCGCCTTCGAGAAGAAGACCCGCCCGATTCTCGGGGGAATATATGCAAACGCATATCGAACGCACCTAACAACAACATCTTCAAACCATGATGCGTTCTGCACGAAAGGTGTTCGGTGTGCCCGTCTAAGGCACAGGCGCTGGTATATGAAGCTCACAGGCAGTTTTATGACTGGCAGGAATTAGCGATGCCCTCTATGTGCGACTCTAGCAATTGACAGCATCTAGAGTGTTTGCGGTCTCTTTGCGGGAAGTTTGCCACTTTGAAAGGAAAAAGATCGAGTTATCATACGTAGGAATGGCAGTGCCTGTAGTCCACAGAATAAAGTTGGCCAGAAACCAATCTGCAAAATCAGTTGAGGTGCGAGGAAAACTAGAAAAGCAAGGCAATCAAGCCAGGAGAGCGGGCCCAGTATCATGGTTTTTCAGACTAGTTCACCTAAGGGGCTGATTGCCTGAAGAGTTATTTATGAGAAACCTGTTCTTCGAAGAGAGATTATAAAGACGGATGAATGATATAATGTCTTGGGGGACATTGGCGATGTTTCATGGCCAAATCTGGAATACAACAGTGAGCGGAAACATAAGATTCCTTGGTATTTAAAGACTACTAAAAGAGAATGTCGAGGATACTTCGATATCCTTCATAATAGCTAATTTTCAAGGAGACACTGATATTGCGGGGTGAGTTGTAACACGGCTGTAACCCGGGTTCATTTGCGAGAACCACGAGTAAATCTTGTCACGTGTGACGCGCACTAGCGGAGATTGCGCAGCAGCTTCCATTGATAGCGGGACTGTAAATCTTATAACTTCAGCCTCAAAATTTGATCGCGAACGCGTGAATCACCGCGATGGACTTACAAGCATAGTGCCACCAACACCAACTCGGGCGTCAGGTCGCTCTCCTACTTTACATTCTCCAAAGCCAAAAGCATGCGACTGCACTTTCCGATATTCTCGTCTCCGTATCGCAGTTGCGCCTCGCAGCCCTCAAAATGGCAACCTCCAGCACTGCCGCTCAAGTTGAGCTCATCAAGTCAGTGAACCTAAATCGCATTTTGTGCCCTTCCTAACCCAATGCGCAGCTCCCTGACCCAGGACGAGATCCCCATCAAACTTCGATGTGCGATCTGCAGCAGATTAGCTGTCAACGCATTTAGACTACCCTGCTGCGAACAAGCGATCTGTGAAACCTGTAAGTATCTACAGGTCCACACATTACCTTCGCAGAAACTAATATTTTTCCAGGCCAGTCAAGTTTACCCTCATCATGTCCCGTGTGCGAGCATACGCCGGTCTCTGCGGAAGACTGCAAGCCCAACAAGTCCTTGCGAACCACTATCAAAGTTTTCCTAAGGACCGAAGAAAGGAAACGCGAAGCGCTACGGTCGAAGGAAGCCAAGGCCACGCCTCCAGCGACACCTGTCGAGATTAAACCGGTCCTAGTTGAGCCGCCTGTCCCGAATGAAACCCCCATCGAAGCTCCTACCAGGGAGGAGTCTGCTACAAACGAAGTCAAAATGGAAGGTACTCCAGCTACAGAGCAGCCAGACGATGCCCCTCCAAACCCGGCGGATGCGGAGCCCTTAACAGAAGCTCAGAAGGATATCCCTCAGCAGTCAATTGAAGTGAGAAATACCCACAATATATCTAAGAGTAATGCTGACCTTCACATAGGAGATTGCGCCTGGTCAAGAGCCCATCACAGAAGAAGGGGCAAACAGGACCGATGATGCGATAATCGAGAAGGATCAAAATGAGGTTACGGAGAAAGGGGATGGCCAGATGACGCAAACCGCCTCACAGGTTCCGGTGTTTGGATTTGATCCTACTGGTTCTGGAGGATATCCAGGCATGGGCATGGGGCCTGGAGGCGATATGAACCAGATGCAACAAATGATGATGATGCAGAATGGCATGGGACCAGCTGCCTTTGGCAATTTTCCAATGATGGGTATGTCATCTAAGCTCCACCTAGATATATTTAATCTAACATCCAAAAGGAATGCCTGGAATGAGCATGGATCCGATGACGATGCAGAACATGTTTATGAATGGTGGATTTGGTGCAGGCATGGGCATGAATGGCATGAACATGGGAATGGGTATGGGTGGCTTCGATGGCGGAATGGGCGCTGGCTTCAATAATACATGGAACGGACAACAATCATGGAATGTCGGACCAGATAATTTCAATCATCCAAATGCAGCAGGCATTGGTCACGGTGACTATGGAGCAAATAACTCTGGATACGCCTCTCAATCTGCAGGGTATAATCAAGGTAATTATGGCCGCGCAAACCAGTACAATGACTACCAGAATAATTTTGGCTACCGTGGTCGAGGTAGGGGTCGAGGAGGTTACGGTCGAGGTGGCTACGGCTATGGCTCAAATGAGGCCCTCTCACAGCAGTTTCCACAGCAGTATGGTGCCGGTCAGCAACCCAATGGACCTGTTAGTGAAACAGGATCCATTCCGACAGGACCTAAAGCTGATACTATCCCCACTGCTGACGCCACGGTTGATGAATTTGGTAGAGAAATACGACAGAGGTCTGCAGCGAATGATGATGATCCTACCAATACTGGAGATGATACAGCAGTTGACGCGCAAAATGGCGAAAAGACTGCGGAGAATAGAGACAGCACCGAGGCCCTGGCCCAGGGGGGAGCACCCGACACAGTTGTTAATGGCATCACAACTCTGCCCATTCAAACAGTGGATGGGTTGCAGCCGACCGGCTTCCCACCTACTGGCCCCAATGGCCCTGGATATAACGCTGTAAATGCCTTTGGCCCTGCTAGGGGTGGGTTTGGACATGGCCATTTCCGCGGGGGACGTGGCGGCGCTTTTGGCACTATGCATCCCGTGAAGCCTGTTGATGTGCCCATCAATGCCCCCACAGGACCGAAAGCTATGCGTGAGGGACTGCCGAATACTAGCCTTCCCAACCTCAGAGCCCGAGGATTTCCGGTAGCTGCCCCGGCTGGCCCAAGAGCTGATTCTAATCCTGTTGCGAATGTAGCCCCGGAACCCTGTGACCCAGAAAGAAAAGAGAGAGAGAGCAGATCACCGTCGAGAGATAGGTCTAGGTCTCATGATAGGCAGAGAAGCCGGAGCAGAAGCAGAAGCAGGAGCAAGGAGAGACGCCATCGCAGACATCGACATCGGTCATCGTCACGATCCGAAGATGAGAGGGAAACCGAAAGACGAAGAGAACGTCGTCGAGAACGTCGCCGTCGCCGGGAAGAAGAGGACGATCGTGGCGATGAATATTCTGGCGATATTGTTGACAATGATAAGGCAGAGCGTGTAGAGGAGGACCGATCGAGATCCGCCTCGCCTTCGGAATCAAGACGGTCAGGCCATCGAAGCCGTCGAGATAGGGACAAGTATCGAGATCGAGAGAGTGATAGAGAGCACAAGTCGTCTTCCCACAAGCACCGCTCCAGTCGCCGCTCCCACCGCGATGACAGGTCTAGAACCCGGGATCGTGATCGCGAACATCGACATCGCCACAGCCGTTATGGCTCAGAAGATATCGAAGACACTACTGAGAGGGCTGATAGAGTCGAGGACGATGTCGCCGAGACGCCAGTCGAGCTAGATGACCCATCACGTAGACCATCGGTCACTTCAAATGCTGCTAATGGTATTGAAATCAAGGGAGCTGGTTCCCGTAGCAAAAACCTACAGGAAGATATCAAGATTCCCACTGGGCCGCGCAAGGACCGCATCTCATCTTCACACCATGAACGGGGGAAGGAGAGACCATCTAGCCATCGCCACCACCGGGAAGAGGACGCTACACATCGCTCCTCACGCCATCGCGACTCCGACCGATCTTCTGGTCGAGACCGGGAACGCGAGAAAGAAAAAGAGAAATCAAGTTCCAAAACCTCATCCGCACCAGCAGTCCAAGACCCTCACACGCTTGAACGCGAAGCTCGGAATCGAGAACGGCTACTAAAAGAAGCCCAACGGATTGCTGGACTTACAGCCGGCTTGGGAAGTAGAAAACGGAGTCGTGACGAAGGTGATGGCGGACGTAACGGAAGGAAGAAAGGTAGGAGAGGTGGAACGTTCGCTGAGGATGACGAGGAGGCTAGAATTTCCCGATTGGAGGCCGAACGAGAGGGTGAAAGGTGGGCATAGATTACACCAATTGCGAACGCCTAGTGTGAGATAGTAGTCTGCTTCTCGGTTATCCATCTAGAGCTCTGGTTGCTTCCTTGGGCACGCTCTATAATAACCGTTACTAGATGTGGCATGGTTAGGGTGGCTCTATCATGAGTTTTACAAAAGCAAGAGCTACCTAGCATAATGGAAGAAGGAACACAGCTTGCAATGCTTTATTCTGTATATTAGATTATGATACGTGCTTATGACAAGCTCGTATTGCTACGCTTAGCTGTCTATCAGGCATAGCCAAAATAAAATACGATATCTTGAAGGCGCCAGTGTGCTGTACTAACTGCAAATGATATGTGTGTTGACATTCCTCTAGGTTCTGTTGTTTTTGTTGAATTGAATTTGGTGTTTCTCAACATTATGTCGATCTAGCCGTTTAGCCTAGTAATGAGCCTTCATTATAACTGTATGCTGAGCTAAATTGCCACATTGCAACAAGTTTTTATTTATATTTCGAGTATATATCTAGGGCAGATTCTGCCGGAAGATCAATGGGAACTTATATTATCCGATAAGCTATGTAGACGATGGCTACAGTATGGCCGCTAATTGGCGAGGGATTTATTACAATGTTGTCAAAGAAGGTCAACCATATCCAAGAAAACTTTGCTGGCCAATCTTAGACAGACAGTAACCCCAGACATACATCTAGTTCATTTACATATCTTATAGTTTCACATAGCCTTCCTTCATGTCGTTCTTCCATTTAATTACTGAGATACTTATCTAAGTAGTATGTAGGTAGGTAGGTAAGTTAAATCACGTAGAAAGATAGAGGTTATGATCACGTGATTAGTGTTGATAGCTGTCAAAGGGCATACCGCCATGTCTGAATATCCTCAAAAAATGGCAGGTTATCTGCGCTAGTAAAAGCGGTAAGGACCAAATTGCCGGCCAGCTTAAATAATTCTCAGGATCCAGGTCTTGATCAACAACTTCTGCTCTTCATCTTTGGGGCTGGTGCAGTGAATATCCACAGAACACCAAGGTATGACAATGGTTAAATAGTTTTACTAATGCGCTTCTATATTCAGCTAAACATATTTGACCTCTGCCTCACAACTCACCATGGCGTTCGTGTGGAATGCCGTTAAGCAAAGGTCCGAATATTTCGCCAAATTGCCTATGCCTCCTACACTCCCGGACACTACAGCTCCTCCGTCCCCTCTCAATACATTCCACCCCTTTCCAAGACTCCCAGTCGAGATTCGCCTCAAGATTTGGCAGTTGAGTGTCACACCACGCACTGTTGAAGTGCGGCTTCCAGGGCCTTTGTACATCAATGATGACTTGGTGCCGATCATAATTCTTATTACCGAGCATGAATTTATCTCCAGCACCCCAGCACTTCTACAAGTCTCCAGAGAAGCACGAGAGGAAGTTATAGGCCTATATTGCAACATAGGGTCGGGTTTCAGTTCCAATGATGCCTACTTCCACATGAAGCTCGACACAATGCACATTCGCCAGCAAAAGCCAGACTTAAGTCCGGAGGAGGTTGCTCGGTGCGACCCCACTCTACAATTCCTCTATTACAAAACCCAGCTCCTGGCTGTTCTCGATGTCCTACTGTATAAGGATCAGATTGAGCGGGTTGCTATTTCCGCTGGATTCGATATATCGGACACTGTTGACCTGGCTCGGTTTCAACTCGACTAGGTTTCTGCCCCACTGTCAGTCGATCTATGATTCCGTTATCTCGAAAATCACACACTCGTCATCAGGATAGCAACCTTCAACGCCAGATAGCTCATAGATGATGACTGGGATACAAAATTAACTGTTGCGAGTATGTCGTCCCAACCAGACTTGCTTTATGATGTGGAACGCCTCTACTGTTTTGTTTGGTATCATTTCGCTCCCCTTCATGCGTCTATGATAGATATACGCGTGTGGTGGGACTCTGCGGTTTGTTGCGGATGTAATAAGAATCAGAATACGGTACAATGCTAGCGATACGGTGGAAATTGGCGGCCTTGAGGATTGTTGACCTTGATACATAACCTTGATCAACCTGATAGAGCCCCAACTCAAATAGTTTAACAAGCCAATACAGCACAACCACCTGATAACTCAAGGATCCTTCGCTTCCTCCCTGTCATGCAAGATCAAAATACCCTCCTAATACCTTTGGGCTTCAACCCCCCCTGCTCATCGTTATAACAAGCTTCGTCTTCCTAAGGTAATTATTCTTCACCTCGTCACTTATCAACATAAGCTTTCCAAACCCCCTCTGCCCGCCCTTTTGCACTTGACAATTCCCCACATATAATAAAATAATAACGATGCCAGGGCGGTCTGAAAGTCGACTGCATATAATACCCGTTATGAAAATGAGCAGTTCCGTAAACTCATAGGGTCATAGGGCACCGAGATAGGTGAGTCTAGGAGAGGTGAAGATGAGTGGTAGGAATGAGGTGATGCAGAGATGTGCAGGATGCTTCCACGGTGAGTATTGTTAATTGAGGCTTGCGGAAAAGGGGGCTGAAGGGGTATGGGCCGTATGGCTAATATATAAGCTTGTGTTTAGTAAAGGCAATTCGGAAAGAAAGAGCACAAGATGCAAAATTCAGATCGGAAAATGGAACGGAAAATGAGAACAAAATTATTAATATCTTCAAGGTTGCCAGTCGGTGAAGTTGGTGACCTTTGTTTTGTCCCTGCATCGTCGCATAGGGGTCACCCTTCTTTGCTCCCCACTTCCTCTCCATATAAGACTTATTTAACAAGGCCAATAAGGCCAATAAGGAATCCAATAATCATGGTTAACCACTGTTCAAATAGAGCTCACAAAATTATTGAGAATTCTTGTTAGTCTTGCCATCGCATGGTCTATTTTATTTGAAATTGCCAAGACTAGGTGATGACGATCGCTACTTCTTGGGAAATGGTTGGACGGATGTGCCAAGCATGACTAAGCGCGACGATTCGTGCCCACGCGATTCACCAGGATTTCCTGCTCTTGGCCATCTTTCAACACGATTCATCATTATTAGGCAGCTCTTTTACACCAACACCTCCTCCGTTCGGACGTCAAATCTGAGATTCCTTCCTTGGTAGTTGCGCTGTTGTTGCTGCTGCTCCTCCAGGTGCGGCAGAGTGTGGTTTTCCACTCCGACCAGCGCTGTGAAGGGCAGAAATTGTGTGTGACGATGGTGAGATTTTGGTGTCGCTTTGCAAGCCACCCACCTAATTGCCTTGGCTTGGATCTCCTCGCTGCATCTACCTTGTTTTTATTTCACATGCCAAGTATGGTTTATATGACATTAGAAATCAACCCAGCAACAGAAAACAGAGCATTCTCTTAGGCGTTTGGTTATTGGAAGTCGGCATGGGCGGCTATACCTGCTGCCCTTTTTTGCGCGGTGTACATATGCCACTCTTCTGTGGGATTCTTGGCTCCTGCACGATGTACTGCAATTTCCATTTTCATCACTTCTTCTACGGTCTCTCAATACTATATGCTCCTGGAAGGTCGATTTCATTCAGCTCCTGTTTTCTGTTTTCTGGAGTTCGGCACAGGGCGGGGCGGGGCTTTTGTCAGCCACGATCTCCTTTGTGCGTACTTCGTAGTTCCCATCTGTCTGATTTCAGCCCATGATATCATTGATATATCAAAAGCAGGCCAATCACATGATTGTACAGCACACCACCCGATGCATCTCCTCTGGGAAAGATATTGGGAGACCAAAGGCCATTTGTTCAAGTGGCCGTATATATTAACGTTGATGGCTGCGCTCTTGCAGCAGCTAGCTCTTCATTCCTCTCACTTTATCCCTCACCGAGAGGCTTTTAGCATCGCTTGCTCTCTCAAGACTCAATAATGGGCAGCCTACCCTCTGCTATGTACTGTCCACCGAAGTATATGGCCTCCTGGTTACTTACGAGTAGACCACTGGGATATGATAGATAGGTATATTATCCCTGGATGGTGTTTTACTCGATCACGTGTTGGCCCACATACTACTTAGGTACCTGAGGTACCAAGAACCAAGACAATACCAAGTACACCAACCCTTGGCTTGCACCAGACAAGAGCACCGCTGTTCAGTTCCACAAAACCTATTTAATGGTGTCCCTCCCATCCTCTTCTCATAGCCCGGACTGGATCCGAAGATTTAATAAAGCCCTTTTCCGGTTCACTCAAACATTCCCAGTATATTTTCAAGTCTCAAGTCAGATGCCATCTCCTGTTCGCTCTTCTATATACAAGAACTTCACACAAAATGCCATCAAGAAACTCCCCGTCAGCCTCGCTCAACGGTAGCTCAGCTCCAACAGCGGCCGAAGGCCTCTGGACCATATCGCCTATCCCTGGAAAGGGTAATGGCATACTCGCAACGAAGCCCATTACTTCGGGGACTCTCATAATAAGCGACCCGCCCCTATTAACCACAGCCTGCATAAAATCCATCTCAACAACGGAATCTGACCTTGCCCATACACTCCGCTCCCTCCCAAAGGCCAAACAAAGAGCCTTTCTCTCTCTTCACAACAATTATGTCGGCCAGAAGAACCCACTCTCCAACATAGTCCGGACAAATGGATATCCTCTCGGACCTAGCTCTGACGTTGGCGGCGTATTCCAGCATATTTCCCGCATAAACCACAGTTGTCTCCCCAACGCTACACATTCATGGAATGCAGCGCTCGAAACGGTGACAGTATATGCTGCGCGGGACATTGCCGAGGGTCAGGAAATCATGGTCTCTTACCATGCGGGCGGACCATCATGGATGCGCCAACAAATTCTGAAAGACGGATTTGGGTTTGATTGTACTTGTGAACTTTGTACTCTACCTACCGAGAAGTTACACGAGAGCGATGCGCGGCTCACGCGTGCTCAAGAATTGGACACCGCTATAGGAAGGTCGCACAGTGTACGATATACTCCTAGCAAGGTGCTACAGAACTGCCGCACACTGGCGGGCATTTATGAAGAGGAGCAGATCAAGGATGATCGTACGAGCAGGTTGTGGTTTGATGCGTTCCAGGTGTGTAATATGCACGGGGACAAGGCACGCGCGAGTGTCTTTGCGGGGAGATATTGTAAAGAGAAGAAGAGAAATGCTGGGGAGTGGAGCTTGGACTTGAAAGAGATGCAGCCGTTCGTGAAGGATCCAGGAAAACATGATAGTTTTGGCATGACGAAGGATTGGGAGTCGGAGGTTAATGATGTACCACGGGGGGTGGATGATGAGGCGTTCGAGAAGTGGCTTTGGAGCAAGGCCACATAATGGCCTCGAGACTTATATCGGATTAACACGCTTTTTGGGACTTTGGGACTTTGGGACTTTTGGATATTGCTTTTCTGGAAAAGGATGGATGGCGCTCTAAAAAATGGGGGGAGTACCTTTTTAAGCGGAAGGGGAATGCTCAGATGAATGCTAGCAATGTATACAGGGTGCGTTCCCAAGTTCCCCAAAGTGTCTCCGTCATTAAAGAGCAAAGTTTGCTACGATCTTACCACAATGGTGTGCTCCTAGAGAGGGCGAGCTCGCTTGTCGCCTTCTCAAGACTGTTCAGCAATTCCTCTTTCTTATCTTTTCCCCCCTTCAATTTCTTCTCCTCCTGCCTTTTAAGTACCTCCTCCTGGTCCAAGAACCTCTTAACTTCGAATTCTTCGTACCGGAGTTGCTGCAATGCGTCATCTGCTGCGGCTCTTGCCCGCTCGTTATCCAGGCGACATAAATTTTCAATGATTCTGGACCTAACGCCAAAGTCGGCCGTGAAAGTATTGTCGTTTGTCCTAGTCCTCCAAAGTGCGCGAATGGTATTTTTGTCCTCTTCCCAGGGTGCAAAACCTCTCAAAACCTGCTTCACTCTTTGATCTATTTCCATACACAGTTCTTCTTGGCTTAATGTAGCCGAACTGACTTCGGCTTCTCCCGGATCTTGATTCTTAACAATCGAAGCACTCCCATGATCAGCGTTTGCCCGGTCCTCGCCCTCCGCGACATAAGGTTCTTTATCCTTGGCAGATGATCCGCCTCGATGGGCTCCCACTACAGCCTCATCTTTGGAAAGAAACCCTTCATCAATGGGCTGCGACTGCTCGTCATGAATAATTGGAAGCGGCCTTTCGTCAAGGGTTTTGGGCTGCTCTCTCACACTAGCAGCATGGGATACTTCGTTGCTAGTTCCTACCTGCTCCTGTATTTTCGTAGCACTAGGTCCCTCATCTTTGGCCCTATCCCCACCCTTCATAGATGCCTTATTGTCATTTTTATCTGGTATAACATGGCTCGAGAGTTTGAGCTTATCCAAGCCCATGTTTTTCAGATAGCTCCTCATTTCGTTTGATCGAGTTCGCTCGCACAGGCCCATTTCAACGAAACCATCCCCCTGGAGTCGTGATAGCCACTCAAGCTCAACCTCCGACACCATCACCGCCTCTCTCAACTTCTCGATGAGATTAAGCTCCCCCTCGTATCGCAACAATCTTTCTCCCTCCCTTTTGATCAGGACATCGTCCATCCTCAGCCGCTGATCGTGTGCACACATGGCCCTCCCGACCATATCTTTGAAGTACGTGAACATAAAATCAGGGAGCCCAGCTTTCCAGGCTGGAATTCCGTCTTTGGCAATAATTCCTGGGGCCGCCTGGTATTTTTTAAATCCTCCAACAATAGCATCGAACTCCTTTTTCAAGCGATTAGTTAGGTCAATTAATTCTTGGTCGGCTCCTTTGAAGACCTCCTCAGGTATATCTTTGCCCAGAATCTTTTCAACGTTGCCCCTCATTTTTTTGAAAATCTTACTATCCCGCTCGATGTTCTTAGGGTTCATCTTGTCTAGTGCTGGGAAGATGTGAGGCAATATGGTTTCATCAGTTCGCAGGAGCTGTATGATCCATTCAAGGCGAACTCCGAAAAGCTTTGATACTTGGTCATAACGTAGACTGATAATTCGTTTTCGGGATGACTGGATTTGCTCTAGGCAGTAGGTCGCTCGGCTTACATCTGTATGTTCTTCGAGCTAGAGAAGTTGTGAGAATCAGCGATTAAAAATAAGTATTTGGGTATTTTACATACCAGGCAATCAACCATGGTACGTGCTTCCTCAATCTGTTTGTCCTCTGCCTTTCGCTTTGCTGGATCCCAAGTCTTGGATGACGTGTCTCCAGATCCAGTCTCGCCAGTATGGGGGATGTCAGTGATATGCTCGGCCAATGCCTGAATTATATCCATGCCCGAAAGTAATTAGAACAACTCACCCCGTGAACAGTTGCGAGATTATGCTCTAGACCACATATCACCTCATCCGCTAATAAAAGGATAGAAGGGACTTTCCTGACTCTTTTGCGCGAACTATCTCGGTAGTTGTCTAGTGTCTTGTCAATGACTGCTAGGTAATAAGCATCGATTTCCGCGCTCTGCTCTGCCGCTTTGCCTGATAGTATAATGCTTGTATCATCAGTCGCATCAGGATCTAAACCCAAGGCTATTCTGCACTCCCTTCGAAGCCTCTGGACGCGTCTGAGGAGGAGTGCGAGAAGATTCTCTTGGGCCCTGTAGATGGTTATTCCAGACTATTGTAGATGTTAGCGTCATAGGCAAGACAGCGACCGGGCTTTAAGGAATCCGGGAAATCGATATGTAACCTTTCGCGGGCTTCCACGAAAGGTTCGACGATGGGCAAGTCCTCTAGCTAATTTGCTGCAGAAGAAGTATAGAGAGGGAGAACCGCGGAAAGGACGGTGGCTTACCATGGTGAAACACTCCCCAGGACCTGGAGAAATGGTGCACATATGTGTATGAAGTGATATGCATGTAGTTGAATGATGTTGGGAGAAGCAAGCGAAAGATGGGGAAGGATCAGTGCACATAGGTACGTACTGCAGCTACGCACCCCCCCTTATTGTTTCCCTACGACGGAATTCTGATTTGGCCCAACTTGAACTTCTGTCCAAACACATTAATATCATCCAGCTTCAATAATATAACCAACCCACACGGATCAATCTTTAGCAGACAGGTATGCAACATTCCGCTGAACAGCCTTCCATTAAACAGCGACCTGGCAGCTGCAACCCAGGAAGTATCTGGCCAAGGAGGACCTCATACAACACCTAATTTGGATCTACCCTGGAAAAGTAGAAAGCCTGTAAAGGTTACTCGGATATCCAGACACTCCATCGTTCCAGGAAGATAAGTATGGCGCATTCTTGGGCGAATTTAGTGCAAAACTCTTTTCACTAGGAATATCATTCACCCACGGCTATTACCTACGGTGGTGTACCTAGGTAGATATACATCCGATATCGGGCGAATACCTAACTGAAATATCTCAATTTCAGTAAGATATTCACGCGACTTGATACCTCAATTTCAGTTTATTAGATGATGCAACAGACTTATTATTCAGGATCTAGGAGGGGAAGCCTCCTAGATATCTACTGTGAGGTGGCGCTAGACCCGAATAGGAACAAAGAGCTAAAGCAACAAATAACAAATAAGGGCACCTGGCAGGAGGCTCAATATAATTAGATATTGAGGATATAGTAGCAGACAATAGCCTAGTAGAGATCTAAGAATAGCTTTACTTACGACCGGCCATATATACGAATAACAGAGTATAGTACTATACGCCGACTACCTAGATTGCATAAAAACAGCAGATAAGCTCGATATCGGCGGCATATATAGGTAATAGCTGTGGGTGCCTGATATTTCTAGCGAAAAGAGCTTTGCACCAAATTCGCCCAATAATGCGCCAAAGATAGAATGAACTACTTCGAAAGTATCCATCACCAATTCAATGGCGGCAAGCACTTGATTGGTGATCTTAAGAGCTCCTTAAAATAGGAGTGGAAGATGGTTGGAGCTTAGGAAACAAATATGGCCGCTCTGGACGTTGCAAACATATGTTTCTGTGAGGGCTGGGGAGTTTAACTAGCTTTCACCTCCGACAGCTAACCATCTTTAACCCAATCGCAGAAGAATAAAAGCCATAGACGATAAACACTTTGCCACTGTAGGGAGGAGGCTACGATTATTACCGCCACAAAAATTATCACGGCACACTTTCCCCACATAGACCAGCTCTAGAAACACATGACGCATATAGGAAGCCAGCCTTCATGACAGCTTAGTAGCTGCAGTAGGATCTCAGCCACTTGGTACCAGCCATAATAAGATCTCGAGATGCAAACACGTACTTGTAGCTTGATGCAACACACTCGTTTGCAGTATTGGAACTCTGTCAAACATTGCCATATCTAAAGAAGCCCACGACGTGAGTCGCTTTTATTTTAAGGATATTGCTAAGATACGTAGTAGCTACCCCTGCTTAGGAAATATCATTAACTAGAAGAGGGAAAAAAGAACTTACCATATCCTATAATAAGTAAGCTAACAAGGTGGGCTTCATCATCGCGCCAACAGGCGGTAGCTCTCCTCTACTTCGTACTTATCTGCTGCCCTCCTGGTGGACTATGATCGGCCTAGCAATGACCCAAAATCGCCAGCCAGGGATCCCCCAATAATAGTGCTGTCTGTTCGCATGCGTTCGCAGCATCCAACACTCAGACACGGGAGCATTTCCTACAGACTGCGCATCAACGAGAAACTCTGATGCTCTGATGCTCTGGGCCACGCGCAGCTGACGCAGGTGCGGGACAGGGATAAGTATCGCAATTTCACGAAGAAGATTGGGCGGCGCGTACAGTATCAGCAAGTGCAGAAATATACGAAGGACTTGGTACTCCGTACATATACGAAGTACTTGGTAAGATTACCAGCACTCAACTTGAACTTGCTCGGCCCCTGAATACTTCACCTTCGCAGTGCAATTTATCAATTGGCCAAAAGCCCAAGCCGCGTCCATCCCCTTGGCAACGAACTTGACGTCCAGGCCTGCCTGGAGCCGACATCTTCGTCGTTCTCGACTCTCCTGGATAATCCAGACACACAGCTTGTCATTGGCCTACTCGGACAATCCGGCTTCAGGCTCCTGGCCCCGCGTGCATCGCTACCACGTTTTGCAGTGTGACTACGGCACAGTTTGAAGATTTTCCTCATGAACTCCGGCCTCCAAGTGGAATCTTTGCCCAGCAGGATATATTGTTGCTGGAGACAGGCTTACCTCGGCTCTTTTGGCATTGTCCTGCAGAAGAGTAACATCACGTCTCGCTGGAGATGATTCGGCTCTGATGCGGAATAGTAGCATCGGCAGGGTAGCCGTATTCGACCATGTTGTCGTACTTTGAGGCAGATCTCTGCATCTGGCAGGGATATTAATTGATGGCTGCTCAATCCAATTTCGCTGGTGTGCGGCGGGTACGAAGCTGCAGCAGGATTTGTTCATATTATTGCCGAGAAAGGTGGTACATACCAGAGCACGGAACGTTGTCTTCTTCTCTCAGAGTTTCTTTGCCAGTACTGTGCAGAGTATTCGTACCATCTAACATAAAGATGAAAGATGCCGAGTTCTAAAGTCGACAACGCTGGCGTGGGCTCGACCTCTGCGGAGGAACGTCCGTTGACCACGGTGTATGCCATACCAGTTAACCCTGCGATACCGACATCACCAACACCAGGCGGACCAACATCGAGCTCCGGAAGCAGCCAACAGCCAACAAGTGCGATTCCTACTCCTCAGTATAATTCATATTCATTCTATCAGCCACCCGAATCAAGCACTGCAACACCCACACCATCCCCATCATCATCCTCTGCATCTTCATCCACGAGTACCAAGCTGGCAGTTGGAATCACCATTCCTCTCGTGTTTCTAGCACTCCTCGGTGGGATATTCTTCTTCGTCAAAAGGCGTAGGAGGAAAATCTTGCAAGAACAGAAGCGATCGCGGTACGAACTTGGGTTTTCTCCGGCTCCAACACACACCACGTTCGCCGAGAAGCCTCATAAAAATGCTCGATCCGATAGTCGAGCGGATACTTTACGTACTAATCGCACTCAAAACAGAGCGACCAGCCGAAATAACAGTCATATTAAGAGGCAAATAGACAATGGGATGGACGACCAAATGCTCACCCCTGTCAACCCCGGCTTGGGCATTGAAATCGAAATCTCCAGTCAAACCGATAGTCATCAGTCAGGAAGCGTTCAAGGTTCGAAAACTTTCCACGACCATCCCAGCCTCAGCAGCCACCCAAGCCTCAACACCCTCCCAGGCATTCGAAATCCTGAGAGGAGCCCCCGCTCACCCCGCGCAAATCACATTGCCGAACTTGCCTCTCCTATCGACATGTCTGGGCCATTTTACCCTTTGAACGACGCCATTCATGAACTCGGCCCAGGGAAGGAGGCGGAAGCGGAAGCTGGGGCTGATCCTCCGGAATCGGGACTAGAGCCAGTAGTACCTGATGTCGCGGAATTGCCAGATACCTCAAGGCAGAGTATTCGAGAGAGGGATGCGGCGGCTCTTGCATCTGCTAGTGAGCTACCAGCGACGAAAGAATTTTATGATATAGGAGAAGCGGTAAATGTGGCCAGTGAATTGCCCACGACAAGAAAAGGAGAGCATCAAGACGCAGCTACTGAGCTCCCTGCGCCAATACTAAGAACTGAATCGGGGGAGGGAGAAGTAGAAGTGGAAGGACATACCGCACAGCCACAAGTGGTTAATCAGGAGATAACGACCTCCTGGTTATCATCCGCACCTAATACGCCTACGAGTCCGAAATTTCCTTCATAAATCTCAGTTCGATTTTTAATTCAGTCGTTGTATGAGTAAAGACAGCTTGCATACGCAATTTGGTATTTGCCATTGTTGCATTCGGTGTCCCTTGATGGAGTTGCATATCTACGGCGTTTTTATTTGTTCTTGATTTAGCGAGTCGTTATCTGCATTGGCATTGGGAAGATCATGCGAACCTCTAATGAAATGTTGGATAAGGTGGGTAATTTAGCTTCGTGCTGTTGTTGGGACGCGGCACCATTCCCAGGAAAAGGCGCGGGACGAGAGAAGGGGGAGTTGGAGGAGAAGAAGTGAAGGAAAGGGGCGCCTGTCTGTTATCTACGCCAAATACTTTGTGGACAGTTGGTGGCAGATGGACGAGGTTCTGAGCTGAGGGTGGAGGATTAGAGCGGCAGTCAACATGGTAGTTTGTGATGACCATGGTTATGGTAGTGGTTAACTTTGGACGCAAGAATGGCCCACCTATTGGCTTACACGAAATATCATTGAGGATCACTTCAAGGGCGGTCGTAGCTGGATTTGGACTGGGACATAGAGTCACCTATTGATGTATAATCTATAATCTGCACTTGCGTCCTATGTAGTTTTAGAAATCAAAATGAAGTGTCAATGTTGTCCAGTAAACCTCCGTCCACTGCTAGCTACTGAGCTCCAGCTATTTAAGTATAGGATTGACCCAGCTGCCGCTATTGGGAGACTTATGAGGAATTACTTGCTCGATTAAGGGCCCGAACTACAAATGGCGGTTGCTTGTATTGTGTTTGGGAGGCATTTTTGAGTCTCTACTGGCTTACTGAATATATCTGTTATTTAAATTTTAATCTCGAATACTTTTAGCAATATAACGTTGAAAGTGTTTGCCCAAAATATTATATTTCCAACCCATAATATATGGGGATTTGGTTTTGAACCCACAGCACCCCATGAATAGCTTTTATCAAAAGTAATCCTAACTATGGTACAAGTTAGCTTGCTTTACGTTCTGCCTCGTTACTCCATATATCTCCAGCCGGTATCTCTTACATAGATGACCAGTGGGTATTAAGGCAGGAGAAGGATGGCTGGATAGCCAGTCTCTTGAATGGTGGAAGTAGTGTCATTTTAGTTTTGAAATGTACCTGTCTTGCGGTTGAGGTGGGGAACGAGCTACATCGTTTGTGAAAATATTAATTTGATAACCCGACAAATATGGGGTTAGCCAACGAATGTAGTAGTACATCTAGATAGAGGGAGAGGTGATATGTACTATGAGTGGATTTTGGAACATTAAAGTAGGAAGAAACTACACAAATTAAATAGACTTGTTATAAAACCTTTCTCCATATCGATATCCTCAGTTTGCTACCCAAAGCCTAGGATCTTCCCTTTTATGTCTTTTTCCACCGGAGCCCTGATTTTAATGCCTGCGGCCATGTATTAGTCGCATAGCGGAATGTATGTTGCATATGGATATTTCGGACAACTTAGGAGATATGTACACATTTTGCATGTGTCGTCGTAATGGTATGCTTTACGCTATTTTTCAAACATGACGCAAGTGTTTAATAAATAGTTGTTTAGATGCCGAAGGTAGCGCTGGTAATAGGACGATATGGATGTACTTGTGTATGGTGGATTTTTTGGAGATTATATCCAGTCTACCTCTATAACAAGGAAATATTAGTTAATATTGGATAGTTTGTGTGCAGGTATAGAATTATTGGCTGCCGCTTCCTACTCTGTTAGAAAACGACAGTTTAAATAGATACTTCGATATCTCTCAAGAGTCTAATGCGGCGATGTGATACTCCGTAGATAATGCGTTACACCGCATCTTAGAATGCGAATTCTGACGCCTTTGTTTGCTTCAAGGTTAGCTATAATCACATGTGGTGGGAAAAGTTTCATGCTTCGTCTTTGTTTACATGCCCCTTTCCAAAGCGAAAGTTTGCGGCCGGGAGTAAAAGAATTCCGGGACCTAGACGATTGGAGTATATGAGCAATTATCTTGCGACGAATCACTAATCAGTTATGCCTCCGTAATATACGGAGTATTGATCTTTTAGCGGAAGGGCAAGGTCCGATATCTTGTTGGCCCGTTTGCTGCCACAGGTGCTAGAAATAGTTTTGCATGTGGGCCGATCGATCGCCTGAAACCAATATTATGGGGCATCAAGGGCCAAGGATTGGCGGGCGTTGCCATGGCAACATCTGCCCGACCACAACAACCACAACAAGCTCCCCCTCACGAACCATAACGTCGCACATATCAACTTCACTCCCACAATCGACATCGTCATCCTTTTCTCTCTCAGCAACGAGAATTCGTGCGGTTGTATTTCATTGGAAGGGAAGGGTTATCGGTTCTATTATATTTGAGGTTCACCCTCCTTCTCCACCAAAGCCACGGCCACTTCTCGCGCGCATTCCTCGCGTCGCATATCTGGATCAACATTGTCCCTCTTCCATGCCATCACCACTTTGAGCGATACTTCGTCTTAGAATAGCGTCCGCGTCCGGAATCTTAGTTTCTGGAAGATACGGTAGCCCGCCGCCAGATTCGTGGAGACAGTAGGATGGCTTCGCCCTCGCAGCCGGTGAGTTCCCGCCATTGTTTGTTTACTTTCATGCAGCTAGCGGAGTGTTGTTGATATCATCGGCGAGCTTGGAGATCGAGATTACTGATAGCAACTAGGTGCCGCCTTTGCGTATACAGAAAGGACCTTCATTATCTCCGACCAAGTTGCCTCGCCCCCTCTCTGAGCTGGCTCCAACTGAGACGAGAAGAAACTCCCCAAGCTTCAATCAGACCACAAAGGTAAGCTCTTGGCCGATCGTTACGTGGTGGTGCGACATTCGGAGAATTAAATGCTAATATTAACTACGGCTAGAAAATGATGCTTAATGGGGATTCGTCTCCATTCCAGTCATCTCCCTTCAATGCGTCAGAAGGCAACTCTTCACCGCGGCTCTTCTGGCAAGGGCGCGATCCGGCAACACCAAATCGATTCAAGTCAGAGAACGAGATATTTGGTGCAAGAGATACATCGCCGTCACCAACTCGACGATCTTCAATTGAACGACTTCAGCGTGCATCGCGTGTCAAGAATAGCAACATGTTTGCGCGTGAACAGAAGCAAGAGTACGATCCAACCTCAGTACCCTTCATTGAACGACCACTAGCCAAACAAATCCAAGGCAATGCATATGGGGGATCAGGCCTCGAGGGGCTGCGGTCTGCTGAACGTGGACAACCGTTCGGTCACAGCAGGGCCGATAGCAAGACTACCGTGCCTCTGTATAGTCCTACAAGAACACCACTCAAAGCCGGAGCAAACAGCCTGCGGTCACCCAGCAAAGATCAGGCATCTCCAACCAAATCATCATTATCCACACGTCGTTTTGACGGAAAGTCTAGCTTCGATTCAGAGAATGGGCCCCATTCGGAGGAGAACTCCGGGGACGAAAGAAGTCTTCCTCCAGGAAGGATCCTTCATCGACATGCTAAGAGCGTTACGTTCGATGCGGCTCCACCGCAAGTCAACGAATACGAAATGGCCACTCCAGATTTGTCTTCGATTGGAACTGGATCACGCGAAAATAGCTACGATTCTGCAGAGGATGAAGACGACGATGGTTATAACTATGGAGATTCTTTCCAGCAGGATGATAGTTTCGATGCATCTCTTGAAGACACCGACAAGACTCCTGTTGTTGGCCCAGATGATTGGCGACATGCTAGTCCAACCACACATAATAGTGGTATTATGTCAGGATCTTTCGATGATCCGTTTGATGGCCCGGAAGGTAGCCCTATGCCGGACGCCCGTCCGTCATCATCACTTGGACGCACAGCTGCGACTCGCAATGACTCGCTGAACTCGAATGGCGACCATCGGCCCTTACCGCCTCTTCCTGGCATGAACCGCCCTGCACGAAGTGGCTCCACATCTTCGGTCGGACTCTCTGCAGCGGCGGAACGAGCCATCATGAGAAACTTGCCATCACCTCCACCACCAGCATCTATCAGCAAGTCTGACCTTCAAGGCATCAATGGTGGGAAGATGTCTCTTGAAGAGCGTCTGCAATTGATGATGATACAAGATGATGACAAGCCTAAGACGGCAGCCGAACAACAGCGCGAGCGTCGAATGAGACGCGCTGGAGCTCGTGACCGCAACAGCCAAACCCCAGAGCCTGAACAATCCATCACCATCCATGAAGATGAAGATACTATTGATGATCTTCCTGATTTGGGATCCTATCAGCTCCCTCCCAGAATTTCTCGAGAGTCGATTATGCGAAAAGTGAACGGACAAGATTTTGGCCGAGAGTCAGACTACAATTTCTCATCCCCTATGCCCAGCTCTAGTCCCGAGCGTCCTACTCCCATTGACCCAGACACCCCAATTCCGACAACGGAAGAATCAATTCTTGAGAGTGAAGCTGCAGACGAGAGCGTTATCATCAAACCTGAGCTAGAAGAGGAAGATCCCGTTGATGTCTATTCCATCCCAGAGATGTACCAACCCACCGAATCTAGAATAGACGCCTACAACAATGAGCGCGAAGTCCCAATTCAGGATGACACTGAGAGCCAATACTCCGAGCCAACAGCCTCTAACACCAGTCCCCAATTCCACTCAAGCAGTGGCCCTGACGACGACGGACCCCCAACCCCGCGTGCCCAGAGCCCGCAACCTAAGCTAAACCATCCAGATCCGATCAAGGAAGACGCAAGAAACTCCCTCCCGGAATTTTCAGGCTTCTTGGAGAACAATAAGTTTAATCTCGGCCTTGAATCTTATATGGCTCCCTCTCCACCACCCAAGGATGACCGCCTATCTGAAGCTCCAAGTATGTCACAAGCTCATGAATATCTCCAGCGGCCTGAGACACCCCAAGGACCCCAGATGCTCAGCTCAAGGCCAGAATATGATGGTTCTGGGTGGGGTCCAGAGGAAGAAGATGAGAGCGAAGTTGGGACACCAGAGTCTGTCATTAGACACCCAATTGAGAGAGAACCTTCACCAGCCCGCGACTCACCTAGCATTCCCGAACAAGTTGCAACTATTAAGTCTTCCGGCTCCAAGCTCAAGACTCGACCATCTGCCACACCCGCAGATCTCATGGCAATGCGAGAGATGAGACGTCACGTGAGTGGCGAGCAGCCAGGTGTTCCACCTATTCCCGAAAGGCACCGCAGCCGGCCGTCATTAGGCTTGGAGGAAGGGTCTGGCGAGGCCATCGATTCTGATGGATTGGAAAGACATTCGAGTTTTAAGAAGAGATCATTGACTTTGGACATCGGTGGCGATCTGGGGTTGAGTCTCGACCAAGATTTCGACCGGGTGATCGAAGCCCAAAAGGTTGCGTTTAACCTATCTTCTTCACATTCATTATGCTTCGACATTAAGAATGGACAAGTGTCCAAGTTTGACGACACCACATATTTAACCTCTTATGCTAACGTTACTCCACGGAAACAGCGCGGATACCTAATGAGACAGAACACCAAGCTTGTCGTTGCCAGCAGCGATGTCGACAAAGCAGATGATTCCCGCGGTATACGTTCGGCCGGAAACTCTCCTGTGAAGAAGGAACGCCCCCAATCCTGGACTGTAGAGCCATGGAATGGCCAGATGCGGAAGAACAGCCTCAAGGATAAGCCGAGTCCTCGCAAGAGACCTGCTCCAGGTCCAGTACCTCCTATGCCAGGTCAAGGCAGCAATGTCACTGGTTTGGGTATCCTAACAGAAGACGAGCCGTTCGTTAATCCCGGTGTGGAAGAGGTTGGCGAGAGGGGAAGACTCTTTGTCAAGGTGATAGGTGTGAAGGACCTTGATCTACCACTTCCGAAGAGTAAGCTTGACCGGCCAAATAGTATATTTTTTTTTGAAACGGTGCTAATACCCATATTAGATGAACAAACTTGGTTTAGTTTGACCTTGGACAACGGAGTCCACTGCGTAACTACGGCGTGGTTAGAGCTTGGAAGGAATGCACCAATCGGCCAGGAGTTCGAGCTCGTGGTCCCGAATGAGCTTGAGTTCCAATTGACTCTCAATGCGAAGTTGATTAAACCAGCACCGAAGCGTGTGGCCGAACCAGCCAAGACTCACAAGGCGCAAAAGCCTTCAACATTTAGCCGGGTTTTTGCGTCACCCAAGAAACGGAAGGAGCTCGAGATGAGACAGAAGGAAGAAGAGAAGCGCATCACAGAGCAAAACCGACGGGATGCCCAAGCAAAGAGGGCATCCACGCAACCGACGGCATGGGACCTACTTTCTCCGCTTGCTGCCGAGGACGGGAGCTTTGGACGTACTTATGTGTGTCTCAAGGATCATGAGCCTCGCTGCTACGGCCGACCATACGTCGCGGATGTGGCTTGTTTTAACGAATGGGCGACAGAAGAGGCGAGTAATTCATCAAGTGTGAAGAGTAAGCGTGGAAATACCACTGTTCAACGGCGGGCACCGTATAAAGTGGGCAAGCTTGAGTTACAACTTCTCTTCGTCCCCAAACCCAAAGGCGCTACAGATGATGATATGCCCAAGAGCATGAACTCGTGCATTCGGGAGATGAAGGAAGCTGAGCTTGCGCTGGCGCGAAATTGGGAAGGTCACTTGAGTCAACAGGGCGGTGATTGTCCAGTAAGTTTAAAGTTTTACTCATAATCGAGAGACACATGACTAACACGCCCTTAGTACTGGCGTCGCCGTTACTTCAAGCTTGTCGGAAGCAAACTCACGGCATATCATGAGTCAACTCGCCAGCCACGCGCAACCATCAATCTTGCCAACGCATCCAAGCTAATTGATGACCGCCGTGCTCTTACGCAAAAGGAGACTACGGGCAAAGGTGGCAAGCGCCGCAAGTCAGGGTTTGCGGAAGAGGAAGAAGGCTACATGTTTGTTGAAGAAGGTTTCCGAATCCGATTCAACAATGGTGAAGTCATAGATTTCTATGCCGATACCAGCGCCGACAAAGAAGGCTGGATGAAGGTCCTTGATTCCTGCGTTGGTAAAGAGGGCGATGCCACCAAGAGCGGCTGGTGTGATCTGGTCTTGAAGCGTGAGGATAGCCTCTCCAGGAGAAACGAGCGAGGAACTGTCCGAAAGGAGCGACACCACACCCGCACGAAGAGCATGATTATATAGCGACCCGACACGTTCATAATCGCTGACAAGGCATATTCCCCACTTGGTAATGTCGTCATGGTCTTTACGAAATCATGATACCCTTTTGCCTGCCTTCGCTTCTTCGGTTCTTGATGGCAATCATGATTTTACTCCGACCAGTATTTATATGTTTCCGCTTCACGATCTCCTTGACTTCCGCCCGGGTGGCATTTATTTCCACCGACACTTCGGTTTATTTACGAGGACTGGGTTCAGGTCAATGATGAGAGGCGTGATGAACAAATTAGGGTGCTTAGGCTGTGTTATAGGGTGTTTTGGGAAGGGGGGCGTTTGATATTGGTCTTTCTTATGTTCGCAGATTCTTGTTTTGAAAAACCAAATGGAGTGTCTGCTGTATCGAGACCAAGAAATGACATGAGGATGATAATTATGAATATAACCTACCATTAATATTTTTGAGACCTCCGCTGCTGATTGAAGATGCGTATGCTATGACGTAGTCTTGGCTTCCAGTGTTGATTGACATGGGGCAACTAGTGAGCTCATCGTATGTTAAAGACGTGGATTCACACACCCTTGATTCTCGATCCTCCGTGGTTATCTAAAAGGCGGGAGTTGGTGACTTAGTTCCTTCGGACGACTGCTATCCTCGTGACCCCTTTACATATTAAATGCTCAAGTCTAGACCAGAAAATAGCCTCGCTTCCACTGCAAAGTAAAATGCTGCTGAGTTAAAGAGTATCTATCCAAGATACGTAAGTAGGTATTTTCTATTGTGCTTAGATTTGATTACGTGATATATTACTTAATTACTTATGCTAAAAATTCTTTACTATTGTGTAAAGTACTTTTTGGGATATTACCGAACCGATCTAATCGTCGGTTCGCTTAACGTTCCCTCCTTATTATCCTGTGTGTGATAACTGTGGGCTAAAAGCTAAAAAGAAAAACAAAAAATAAACCCAAAAAAATATTACTTTGATCGACGCAGGGATCGAACCTGCAATCTCTTGATTCCAACCTAGTGATAGGATCGCTAATGGAGAGTTAGAACTTGAATCTTTCGAATAACTTTGTATTGTTGGTACTTACTAGTCAAGCGCCTTGCCATTGGGCCAGCCGACCTCTCTTTTTGAAACCAAATCGTTTATTCAAATTTATATTGAGGGCTGCAAAAGACAAAAACAAAAAACGAAAGAAAAAAATATTATTTTGATCGACGCAGGGATCGAACCTGCAATCTCTTGATTTCAACCTTGGAAGAGGATCGCTAATTGATAATTAGTATTTAAATCTTTTGAAGAACTTATGATGTTGTGGTACTCACTAGTCAAGCGCCTTGCCATTGGGCCAGCCGACCTATTTTGTTGCAACTAAATTATTTATTTGAATTTATAAGGCTCAAATTTAGGGTTTGAGTCACGTGGGTTATCTTCCGTACGACCCAAGGTAACCTAACCTAGGGGTCATCTGCGTTTTCGTAAAGGATCAAATAGAACAGTTTTTATAATATAGTAATAGTATTATATTATCTAGTCTACCTACCTACCTGCCTGCCCGCCTACCTGCCAGAAGGTACCTACTGAGAAAGGTACCACAAAACCTTTAAATACCACGGCTAGAAGGTATCGCTGTTCTTCCGTAGGACCCGCTGCAAGTGAGGTTTCACGTGAGCCAGATCAAGCCCAGAAGACTGTAAGCATTACTCTTCGCCTACTCAGGGGTCCTTGACCTAGCATACTTTCCTTTTGTACTTCCTTCATATGTCTTAGCTCGATTAATCGATTAAACGCAAGTGTTAAAAAGCTTAATTGGTTAAATAAGTTAAATTTAATAAATCTTTTTCGCGTCGCGCGATTTATTTTTATAAGTTTTATAATTTTAAATAAATCCCATGATTCAAGGGCTGCTTAGTCAATTATATGTTAGAAATCACGTGCTTCAACTGTAATCCTACTCGCATAATTTCTTGCCAAGATCCTGCCGAGATCAGCTTCAGGTGACGAAGCAAAACCTCACTATTAAAATATTTTCGTGTCGGCTTCAAACCTTTTAGTTATTCTAACTAATCAGACGACAAGCTTTCAACCCCACCCTTCAAAACGTGGGCTTCGACAATACATTTAAATTCAGATACTATAGAGGCGTCATGCCCTCCAGATCAGATATCACCTATTTCGGTGCAGGCCCAGCTCTGCTTCCTACTGACATCCTCGAGGATGCTGCCAAAGCTCTCCTCAACTATCATGATACCGGCTTGGGTATTGCCGAGCACTCTCACCGCTCGCAGCTAGCTGCCGATGTAATTAATCAAGCCAAAGCTGATCTGGTGTCCTGTCTTGATATTCCGGACGACTACGAGATCCTCTTTATGCAAGGCGGTGGCACAGGACAATTCTCTGCTACAGCGTATAATTTTGTTGGCGCCTGGGTTACCCGCAAGCAGCAAGAGATCTTTGGGGAGATTAAAGGCGATCCCAACGACTCTAAGGTGATCCAGCGACTCAAGGAGGCCGTGGATAAGGATCTCAAGATCGATTATCTGATTACCGGCGGCTGGTCACAGAAAGCGTCAGCTGAGGGCGAGCGACTTTTTGGCTCAGAGCATGTCAATATTGCGGCAGACAGTCGCAAGACGAACGGCGGTAAGTTTGGAACTATTCCGGATGAGAGCACCTGGAAGCTGTCTAAGGATGCTGCCTTGGTGTATTTCTGTTCAAATGAGACGGTTGATGGGGTTGAATTTCCTGGATTTCCTAAGTCTCTTCAGCCGGGCCCTGACGGGAAAGGGCCAATTGTTGTCGCCGATATGAGTTCGAATATCCTTACAAAAAAGATTCCAGTCAAGAACTTCTCGGCTATCTTCTTCGGCGCCCAAAAGAACCTCGGACCAACCGGTATCACCGTTGTGATTATCAAGAAGAGCTTTCTACCGCCTTTCACCTCTCAACCTTCAGCAAATCTAATGAGACAACTGGGTCTGCCTATTCCACCTATCATCTTCCAATACGAGACTATTGCAAAGAATAATAGTCTTTATAATACATTGAGTATCTTCGAGTAAGTTATAGTGAATTAATATTTCTAACCAAGATAATATTAATTATACTACTAGTGTATACATTATAGGCCAGGTTCTTAGAAAGTTACTGCAAACATATCCGGACAAGGTTGAAGGACAGCAAGCTGTATCTAACAAGAAGGCTCAACTTGTTTATGATGCCATTGAGGCGTTTCCCGAGATCTACCAGATCATTCCCAATAAGGCAGTGCGGTCGCGTATCAATATCTGCTTCAGGGTTATTAAAGGTGGCGATATGGATACCGCAGAGAGAGCCTTTCTAGAGGAGGGTATCGCCCAAGGACTGACTGGGTTAAAGGGCCATCGTTCGCTAGGAGGAATTCGAGCAAGCAACTATAACTCGGTTCCTCTTGAGGGTGCAGAGAAGCTTGCCAAATTTATCCGCGCTTTCGCAATGTCATAATAGCAGGTTGTCGTGTAAGCCAGTCAAAGAATCGGTTTCAAAGGTGGCACTAACCTCAGCTATGCTAAAGTGATCACAGAATATGTTCAAGCAAAAAGAAGCTCTGTTACTTCCCCTACTTAGCGCGAGCCAAAGTGACCGAGAGGAAGATGTATAGCAATCTCAGAACATCTCAGCCGTACCCTTCGTAGTTGGTGCTGGCCGCAACAGGACATGAAAAGGAACAGCAACACAATCGCAACAAAAGGAAAACTCATATCTCTACGCACGGAAAAGCTCTTCCGACTAAGAAGGCTTTCAAAGAGTAAGAAGACGGCTTGTTTAATGTGGTCCGGATTTGGACTTGGGACGACGGAACCAGCTTTGGATGTCAAGGGCCACGGATGTGGTTTCGAGAGTTGTCTCAAGCGTGACATCAGCATTCCTCACGTCCAAGAAGGCGATTCTACGTCCATGATACCGCAGGTTCTTGAAGCAAGGTAAATCAAACGACCTGACGCGAAGGTATGAAGGTGTTTCTGTCAAGACACCTGACTGGTACTGAAGCCTGAGCTTGTCAGAAAGCAGAATTCATAGAAACAGGGTCCAAGAGCCAGAAACCAATTAATTGCCTATGATTTCGATCCACGTTGTTTATACTATGTCGCCAATCGTCCCTTCCTGCTCCGACACATATAATATTTATTTGTCAAAGCCGCTTTAGTTCGATGAGTCCCAAATTTTTTGGAAAAAGCGGGAAAGAGATCCACCAGCCGACCAGACCATTCCATGACGAATCTATCTTGATCACTGTCCCACCATTGTTGTTTCATTGCGCAAGAGGGTTCGCCATGATCTAGGGATCTTTTCATGGTTAGATATTTCCGATTAATCGAAGATTGGCTACGTTCGGTTCCAAATATTTTCCAAAACCTGTCGCAGATCTCGCTATGTCTGAGATTGTAAGGCATGAGTTCCGTGATGAATTTTTCTTCGTCGTTAGTCCAATGGACCGCATTTGAAATTTCGGTGTTTAAACTCAATGTATTGTGCCTTGTCTTGAGAGCTCCCTCAGTTCGCTGGAAGCCGAATTTTCCTGGCTTTGACTTGGTGAGATAAGCTCGAGGTCCGACTGTGTTTGTTTGATCCGATCTGAGACTGAGATGAGAGAGGGAGTTGGACGAAAGCTTGTATCGAAAATGAAGGCCGACAATTACTTGGTCGTCACTTCCTTATACACAGAGAAACAGAAAAGCGTTGTGAGATGATCGGCTACTGTACGGTGTCCAGATCTATTCCCGGTTATTTACGCACACGAGAACCCCTATTCGTTGAACCTTGCATTGCAGTCTGCTCTCAGAATACAACCAAAAATAGACCGCTATCGGAAACTGAAGTTTTTGAGTCGTCCTTGTTTCTACGGACAACAAAAACCTTGCGGTGTTGCAGGTTTGCACTATAATTTCGCGGTCTCAAGGATTGCGGCAAGCTCTTTACCGCAATACCATGTACGGCGGGATGCTTAAACTATTCAAAAAGGCGATTAGCAGTTTGGAACGGTAAAGATGCATAGCCGAGGGGAGTGGGCGTCATCGTGGTGCGGAGTTTAATATATTAGTTTCGAACAGAAAACTAAAGATACAGGAATGGGGGTTGGCGGTGGTGGATAAGACAGTGTGACGGGAAGGCCATTAACAACGCTCGAAAGCAGTCTCTCAGAAACGCCAAGTTATTTCCCTCTATCTAACTTTCCGTGTTGATCCTATAACATGCAGTGAAGTGAATTCAATCTTTAGTACACTATAAAAACAATATATTAAGTATTCCACCAATGCTTCTTCGGCTCCGTCCCCGCACCCTGCATCTGCTTCGCCGTCATATCCTCCTGCCGCGCTGCGCCATGATACCTCCAGCGCCTCCTCTGCTCCAGCACCCACCACTTCCCGACCTTCTCGGCATCCACGACCCAGGCCGCCGCCTCGGGGCTGAGTTTCGCCACCAGCGCGGTTAAATCGAGGATGGAGTTGGCTTCGGTGGGGGTGAGCTCGTGCGGGTCCACGTCCGTCGATGTGAACCTGTACAGCCCGGATTTGCAGACGGGTATGATGAGCCGGAAGGGGAAGGCGCTCGTGGAGATGGAGAGGAGGGCGGCGCCGGCGTTGAGGACCGATATGACCCATGCTTGGCGGCCGTTCTTGGTTGTCTGGTAGGGCCGGATCAGGCTCTGCCCTTCGTATTGGTGGACGAGGTTGCTCGCGATGTCTAGGTCTTGGGAGTTTAAGGAGTCGGTGGAGATTAGGAGGTCGAGGATGGTGGGAATTATGGAGAGAGAGGTCGTCCTAACGTCGAGCTGGGTACGGGGGAGTTTGGGGTGGAAGAATACCAGCGGGACTTCCATGTTGGTGATGTGCCCATTCTCGAAGGTGCTGTAGACTTTGGAGTCTTCGCGGAAAGCCATGCCACTGTAGGATGATCACGTCAGTTGGGGTCTTGAAAGAGGAAAGAAATCTTACTGGTCTCCAACTAGAACAACTAGCGTCTGGTCTATAATGCCGCTTTCCTCGAGCAGGTCCATCACCTCCCCAATCCACTTATCCCCATACCGGACTGTATTCAGGTAGCTGTTCAGCTGATGGTTCTTCTTCAACCTGTTCCTGGCAAGGTACTCAATATCTTCGCCACCTCCCTTTGGCACATTCCATGGGTGGTGGGTCGAGCTCGTAAAGTGGGACAGGAACAGCCGCTCGTTCTTCTCTTCAGCTTCGTGGAAGAGGTCGCGTAAGTACGGCTTTACTTGTGACTCAGGGAAGCCGAAGTAGTTTGATTCCTCTTCCGTCGGTGGGTAGTACTTCGAAGACGGGTCAAGAAGGTCGTCCTTCACTATGACCTTTGAGAATCCAATGTGCTTATTCAGCTCGTCTTGATGATCATAGTGGTCTGTGATTGATTGAACAAAGACGGATTTCCATGGCATCGATGTAAACTCGGAGGGGGTGGAAGTGTTGGCTTTGTTGCTGTTAAAGAGCTCGAGTATAGAAGGAACACACGGCTGGTATATATGGCCGTGCGCCTCAACTGTAAAGTCTACAGGTAGCGGTTGGACCCCACAGTGACTGCCAATCATGCTCTTGAAGGTTGTGGTACTCGTAGTGAAAGCTCCAGCAACATTGATGCCCCCCATCTCCTTACTCGTGTCTCGCCACGTCCTGGACTCGGAGATAGGCCGTTTATTAAAGTCAAAGCGTCTCTCTTCACCAGTAAGGATCTCGGCATTCGGTGTCAGAGTAGCCAGGTGCACATCGGCTTCTGCTGCGCTCTCGCTTGTTTTGTGCGATCGCTTGACAAGATTGTGAATGTTCGAATCTTTCTTAAAAGGGAAGACATCCTTTCGAGTGCTTTCCAATGATATCATGACAATATGCTTTATAGTGGCATTGTGCTTCCTCAGCTCTGCAAGAGGCGCAAGCAGATCTTGGTCGAGGTTTGTAATTCGTACTGGATCACGAACTGGGTCATAGTTGACCCCTTCAACGCTCGACAAATTGTCGTACCATCTATCAAAACCATTAATACGCCCTACAGGGAGCCATGACTGTGCAAGCGTACGATCCCATCCTTTTAGATCAGAAGTGGATGTTTTTGCTTTTGGCATCCATCCGGGAAAGTTATCCTTGGTAGGCTCCCAATGCGTGCTTGACACCAGTTGCGGTAGAGGAAAGATGATTTCGTCTGGCAAGTGGCCGGCTCGGCAAATGGCTTGTGCACTCGGGCTCCAGATCTCGAGGAGGGTGAAGGGTAGAGTTCCGGACATGTGGCCGAACGGGGGATTTGGAGGTCGTACTACTAAAAGTATAGCTGTGGTAATGATAGGTGCGAGTACCATGATCCGAGTCAACCATGAAGGGCCCCCGGATATTTCATTTTCGAGACCGGCCTTGGGCTCGGCATTCAACGACCCGCCATCCAAGGACCTATCCTCCTGGCTTACGGGAGCCTCGTCTTCGCCGGGTATGACTTTATACTCCAAACCCCCGCATAGTCGTTGTCGCAGCCGGCGGGGGATGATAACCTTGACCACGGTCGATGCGAGAATATTCGTGACGGCGTATAGGGGATGGGAAATCGCCCGTGCTGTTATGGTGATGACGGCCGCAATAACTGCGGCGTGCTTACTTCCGGACATGAAGAGTTTCATTCCAGCCCGATCGTGCGCAAAGTTCTTTGCCGCTCCCCATTTGATATCGGAACCCATCTCGAGGTAGAAGGAGATCTGACATGATGCCGCTCCTATAATGCCCAGGCTTGAGCCAATTAGTGAGGGTTTTACTACTGCCTTGCACAGCTGAACTCACCAGATGACCCGTCGGACCAGCGAGAGGAACACTGAGAGCAGGCCATGGCATTTCAGGTGGACCAGGTTCCACGTCGCTGCAGCGGCGACGACGTCCAAGGCCAGGTAAGTCGGGAGGTATAAGAGAAATAACAAAGGGGGTAGCGAAGTGACATGGCTAAAGAGGTGCAAGACTTTGGCGAGGAGTATCGAGGTGACGATGACGGAGTATTGAAACGAGGAAGTGAAGAAATGGCGAAAGGCGAGAATCTCTGCCCAGGACCGTTGAGATTTCATGATGCCATACACGCCAAAGTGAAGCTAGGTTGGCGGAAGGCTGAATAGCTAAGGTAGCACCCGGCGCCTATTGCCGTAAGCGGACATGTGTCGTGCGACCCTTTGCGGAGATTGACTAGGTAACCCCTGTGGCGGTGCCCCAGCCCTAATGGGTTAGGCCGGGGAATTCTACGCTTGCGCAGGAGTGCCTTATTAAGCTGTTTGAGGCAAGTCGCGTACTCTGTGTTATTTCGCGCCAATCTATATATATATATATATATCTCTCTCCTGCTCACCCTCGCTTCACCTCCACCTCGCCCATCCTCACCAGCTGTCTTGTACACACTCCACCACCTCACCTCTGCTCACCCCTCTTGCCTAGGATGTAGTCACCCCCGTTCGCACTATAGTCGAGAGCGTCAACTCCTGGCGAGAAGGATTCAGGGGAGCCAGAACGGGCTCCAGGGGGCCGTGATGGGCTCCTGGTATCTGGTCTTAATTATTTGACACAATCTCTCGTTGCTTCTCTCACTGCTTTTGCCTTCGTCATTACAGGCCCGGCGTCCATGTAAGTCTTCACTTCCGTAACCCAAAGACCCCCAACACCCAATCCATCATTCGCTGGAGCCAATTGCAAGATCAACAACTCATTCACCTTCACGTCTTCCCTCTTCTCGTCGCCTTTGAAAACCGATCTACGGCAACTCATATCCGTCAGCCATGTATTACTTCGAAAGTAGTTCTTGTTTTGGTCGACGTAAATCCTGGATTGACTCACACGGAAGTTGTCTCGCACATCAAATTCATCCTCCCATCTTCATATTCCATGAACACGACTTTGATATCATCTAAGTGATAGAATTCGGCCAGCATCCCCTCTCGCATCTTCAGCATCTCTGGTACTTGCGCTGCAGGTACCGGAGGACCTCCGTTTGTCACGAATACTGCGTCGTGAGAAAGGATGTGTTGGAGTTGGATGGCAAGTTGAGAAGAGCGATCAAGTGCGTCGATGGCGGCTACATATTGCGAGAAGAGGAGGAAGCCAGGGGAGTCTTTCGGTATCTTGGATAATGGGCCGGCGTATTGTATGAAGCCTCCTACTTCGGTTGCCATGTTTCTATTGTTCTTCAATCTCTTTGAATATTTGAAGTCGGTTGAGAACTTGAAGTAGGAAGCTTGTCTTTGGGAGGAGATACGCGACCCCTCTTTTCAGGTGATAGTGGCTTGCACCCAGCAGCAAGGTTACACGAGCGCAGGCTCGGCAAAAATTCCGAATCGATTCTTTCCTCTTATTTTAATTATTATTTAATTATTCTTATTCTATTAAAACAAATTGTACAATAGTTAGATAGTACGTTCTACGAATACTCCTTGTTGAATAATTATTACTAATTTTGCTTCTTCTAGCTGCGTGTTGGTACTTCCGCAAACAGATATACTCACCCCTTGTTCAAGCTTGGATGCGTGATAACAAAGCTCCGCAATATCAGTATATGGCAAACCCCTTTTCATGGCCAATTGAACAACCGACAAGAGTCCCCCCGCTTCAACTCCCAAGGCCGTGAGTCCCAGGATTGAATCATCCCGTCAGATAAAGTAGATCAACTTAGTATATAAAAGTAAGAGTATTCGTTCTACTTCTTATTTAGTGTTCCTTTAGTAGTAAACTTCTATAAGTTCGTCGTTCCTTTATTCTAGAAGTAAGTTATTAAACTCCTTTCTAAGTTTTTCTATATAGAATATAAAGATATAGTTAGTCCTAAGAACTACTAGTAGCTTTAATTTAGTTTATTTTAAGTCATATATAATAGAGTAGTTGTAAAGCTATAAGTAATTGAATTACTAGAGTGTTTTATCACGTGACGAATATTGTAAGGAACCGATTATACCTCGCGATATAAACTCGCGCTATAATAATAGTAACTCTAAACTATACCACTCGCCTCCTACTCTAACTTCTTCGTGAACCTCAACTCCGTCAAATCCTCCGGCTGGCACACCTTCACGCGGCAACCTATAATATCTGGGCGGGCCAAGATCTTCTCGTATATAATAGCAAACTCCGACGCCTTCATTACCCCGTACTGCTCCGCTGCAGTACCTGCCATCACGAACAAGCCGAGGTAGACCTCGTTGAAGCGGATATTCGTGTCCGCGTTGTCGATACATGCCACGTTCGCCAAGGAGTATAGCGCGCCCTGGGTCATACTAGCTGCTGGGCGACTCCCATTATCTCCGCTAGCGCCTGTGCAGAGCGTCCAGGTGCTCGTAGGGTCGTTCTGCTCGAGAAGATAGGGGATAGTCGCCTGATAGGCGTCTGTCGACACGTATAAGTTCTTTTATGCCTGTGTATTCCTACGGCATGGCCACACTCACGAAGGTTCGGCTCAAAATTGACCTGCATATGCTTCCTTAGGTCCTCCGTGGTGAGATCAAGTATGGACGTCGTTTCGAACAGCCCGCCAGCTGCCGATCACACAATTACTCTTCTCGTCAGCCAAAACACTATCGTATTAACACTCCGATGAAGTAGAGACTCACCCGCAGAATAAACATGCTGGAATGCCGGCAACTCCCCCTTGCGTACTTTCTCTACTACATCCTTCACTCCCCGATCAGACATGATGTCCGCCTCTACCGTCGTGATGCCCTCGCGAGTTCCTACATTGCCGAACAGCTTCTCCGCCGAAGCCTGGTTGCGTACGATGGCGAGGACGTGGAGTTTGGAGCGCAGAGCGGCGTAGATAGCCGAGGTGCCGATGTTGCCAGTGGCTCCGACGATCAGGACGGTCGGCATTTTGGTTTATGGCTTGTGGTGGTGGTGATGGTTTAAGGTATGGTTGGGAGTCAGCGTTTTGAACACGGAATGTCCGTCACTATATATACATATATATTCCAGCCGGCGGGCAAAGTGGTGTGAGGCCGAAAGTCCGCTGGACAGAAGCCATTTCTAAGCACGACGTTGTTGTGTAACCCCCTCGACGGCGTCTGCATCTAGAAGGGGAAGGACGTCTGTGTCTGCATCCCTGGGACCACAAAAACCAACAAGATCCTCGAACAATCCTCGTTGCTGTACGAAGTCGGCGCGGCCATCAGCATCACCATCAAGCCCAACGCCTCGCGGGTCCTCGCGTCGTGGGACTTTGTCCCCGAGCAGTCCGGCATGGTGGCCCTACGCGGGATGACAATCGTCGACGGCACCAACATGGAGACCCTCGTGCCCACCTACTACAAGGACTGTGAATCGAGCCACCCAAGTCGAAGGGCCCGGATGTCCCTGCGACGTCCGTCCCTGCGTATTGCTTACGTTGGATTAACTCTCGACTTCGTTACTCGGCATATATATATGGTTAGCTTGTAAGCCCTGGCAAGCTGGCCACTCCTCTTGAGTGGCGACGATAATTCACTTCGTCGACCTCCGGGTTTTGCTACAGATTACATATTACAAAGGTATCATCGTTGGGTTTGCGATGAATTAGCTAGTTGGCCTCGTAGGTATTCACCAGTTATGTGAACGACTTGATAAAAGACCTGTTGAGGTGCAGAGCTGTCACTAACCACTACAGTAGAAATTACTCGATGGCTGGTATTTGGTGGAAACGTGGATTTGATTTGATTGAACCTAGGTACATGCCAACAATACGCTCTTGTTGAGCCGTGCAAACTGTGTAACTCCAAGCTAGCCACATCTAGATAACTAGGTGCGTCGGGGAAAAGGGGGTATTTCTGGGGCCTTCAAAGCGATATCGAACCAAACGAGCTAGGAAACGCGAAGTATTTTCCAACTGAAAGAAACAACTTCAAACAAGTGACCAAGAGGAATGTAGTCAAGAGCGAGGGTAGATAGAGGATAAAGGAGTTGAGTGACTGTCTCCCATTGGAATGGACTGTCCAAACATGTCAACTGTAGCCCCTTAATCTGAGTTGGGATGGAGGAAGCTCACCATGTCGATAGCCTGACTCCCTTTTCACCTTCCCAAAGTCGTTCCGTTCCGTTATGGAGTTGATTCAATGGAAGCCGTATCCTCTTCTAACGCCGGGACTGTTGTTGATAATAGCTGGAGTCGCGAGGCGCTATGTAAAATCTACTGCGCTGGAACAACAATAGATTTTCGTGTTTTGCCGCATCCAAAGACGAGGTAATAGCGCTGGCACCCTCCTCTTCGGTGTGGCTATCGGTGGCCTGTCCAGTAGAGGTGCCTGAGTCCGGAGTGCTGGCAGAAGGACCGTCGTTCGAGGAAGGTTTGGTACCCTCTGGCTGGGCATTATTGTCAAATGCAGGTTTGGCAACGGTATCACAGCCCTGTTCTTGCTGGACGGCGGGCAGAGCAATGGAGGACGTCTGCGCGCCTTGCAAAGCCAATGGCTTGGGGCGCAGGGCCAGCTCAATAGGACCGAGACAAGGAGGGGGGGTGAAGAAAGGGTGGATGTGGTGCCCATTGATACCCTCTGGAGGACAAACATACCCGTTTGGCTTTGGCCTAGCTGCTAGAGGTGGAGATGGACGAGGAGGAGGAGGAGGACCCATAGTTGCTGGGGTAGGGGATGGGCGAGGAGGTGGGGTTGTGACAAAACCTGGTGATAGAAGGTCGACTTCATCAGTTACGTGGGTCTCTGAGCTGGATGGAAGATTTCTGCGAGAAGCATCGCGGTTGAGGTACCAGTTGTCTTCCATTGTGTTGCTCTTTATCTCGTGGCAATGAGATCAAGGAGGAAGTCAAAGGAGGATGCTTGCTATGACGATTGCTAGTGCATGGTAGGGCACATGCGTTTGCGGTTGTTTGTGGGAAAGAATGTAAGACGGGAAAATCTAGACAATTTATAGAAAATAAAAGCGGATTAGTGAGCGGAATCTGGAAGGAAGTCTGTTGTTGTCGCGGCGACTGCCTTAGTAGGTAGAGACCTAAGTAGTCATCGTTGATTGCTGAGCGACGCTATCCGCAGGACCGGGGCGGTTTCACCGGAAAAAAGAGGTCAACTGGGATTCCACCTGGTCAACTCTGAGGCTCAATAGTGGGACTATGATATTATCATCGACTTGCTTAGACACTACTGCGTGCTGGTCCATGTGGAAGTCCAAGAGTGTGCTTCAAGAACGTGATCCATATTGAAAAAGGGGCAACGAGGAGGGAGATGACGTTAGGCCGCAGATGTCTGATGGTCTTCTTTACATAGATCATTTGACCTATAAGATCTGAAATTTAGACCTTCAACTGTGAGTCTAAGAACCTTTATTCGCTTTTGCTTTTGCTACCGGGGCTAACGTTTCTATTGCATTGATCTTGACTGGCAGATAGTCGGCTTTCCTAGCTTCCCGAATCCATGATACCTCGACCCCTGGCACACAACCCCGAACAAAATCAACCAGGGACTTTGAGTGCGGTGCGTTGTCTTGGAGGCCTATGAACGACACTCTTGGGAGCCGGAGAGCCTCGCAGAGTCGAGCATCACACCCTTTTGGCAGCTGGACAAGCCGTGTTGCTGGCAATTGGGGGAACACAGACGATGCTGTTGCAACCAACTGTGGAAGATGGTCGTGGAGGATTGTTGCTTGGGATGGTCTTAAGACGAAGATTATGGAGAAGTGGACTGGAGTAGGTGCAATGGCCGGGACTTCTTCTGGGAGTTTCTCGGGGTCTGTCGGAGTGACATTCTGACCAGAAGTCTCTGGTTCATGTGGAGTGAGCTTATTCGGCGCACCTTCCATAGGAGGAGTGGGCAGTGAGGGTTGGGAACAGGCCTGAAGCTTTCGAGTTATGTCGCTTAATCCAACAACCGCAAAAGAAGCCAACTCAGGAGGTGGAGGTGTTGGGTCAATTGAAGCAAGATTTTCAGATTTTGCTTCTTGTCTCTTACGCTTCTTGCTTCGCTTCCCTTTTGAGGGCGTGATGTGATTGGCACGCCATCGCCCGATTGGAGAGAGGAGGCTGCGCTCAGGTTAGACCATCGTTTCAACAGGTTGAATTCCGGAAGGAATAGGGAGTCCTGGCATACCTGCAAAGGAGTTCGAGAATGGTATCTTGATTCTGTGGGGATATTTCCGGCCTGTGAGATATGAGCTCTATTGTTCATAAGCCCAGTGGCAAATAAACGTGCCTACCATTGGGTGCTGGTGAAAGGAGAGTCGAGCTGGTAGATAGTCTTCAGCTTTCTGCTAGTGGTGTTGGCCATTTCTTCGAAATGGCGGTTTCCCCCAAGTTTGAAGTTAGGGTCAGCAATTCCAAATTTCGTGGTGCCTGGGCTTGTTTGCTAAGCTAGGTGCCTGCAAGGGATCTCTGCCGACCAAGTAGGTACCTAGGCACGTAGGCAAACACAGGCCTGCAGAAGATTTCAAGATTGAATGGACTTTGAAAGAAAGGGTTCTGGTCCGTAACCCGGCCAAGAAGGGTAGCGTGCAAAAAAGACGCCGTATGTTTGCTATTACTGGCCAATAAATAGGGAGGGAGCTGGGTGATGTGTGTGGCTTTTGCTCGATGTGCAACAAATTGGATCTCGCCACAGCCAACTGCCTAGCCCAACGATAGCTCGGAATCTATTCGCTGTCTACGCTTTAACCTTATCCCAGGGGCTGCGTAGATACGTACCTAGGTAAGGGAGGTGGCGATGGGAGGCTTAGGGGTAGTTATTCAATGTTGCGATTTCCCATGTAGCCGGGAAGCAACGAAGTTTTCCTGTCAAGGAATGAAGGCAAAATCAAAAATCACGGCTAGTGGCACACCCGTACTTTTTTCGTGTGGGCCCTCATCTAAAATACACTCCTTGTAGAAGCATTTATATAAAGGCTGGGCTGGAAGGAATATTTATAACAACAACGAGTAAAATGGATGTATTTAATCCTCGTAGCCTTCAATGTGTACTGAGGAGTAGCATTGTGTAACGCAATAGTTAGGGTACCTAGGTACTTCGTAGCTCTAGAGTACGGAGTAGGTGCCTAAGGCGGGTAGGGCACGCACCATGACATCGATCTAAATCCTCAGGCAGCAATCACCATGGCTTTGGGACACGAACTTACAGAGTTAGAACCGTCGTATGGTGTAGAAGGTAGCCTTACGCCAATACTGCGCGCTGCGTATTTTATATTGTACTAGTTATCAATAGTGTACGAAAGTAGCATCTAGTAGTACTCGTACGTAGTACCGTATAGCTGATTTATTAACATGTACATACCTTGGCAGTAGCAGCAGATGTATATCAAACCGTCAGGGTGCTGAAGGACAAACAACGTGCACCCCCCCGCTGACCAATCCGAAGCGATCACCGGCCCCGCTACCACCTTAGTCACCCACTGGTGACATAAGCTAGCCGCTAGCCGCTACACTCTGGGACCTCCTGGTGCCTAAGGAGCCTTTTTGTGCAGCCTCAGGCACCACAGCCACCTACCCGCATCGCTCGACGCGTCAGGGAGAGAGGGAGGGGCTCTGCGATCTGCGATAAGAGTCCTGGGCAGATCAAGAGCCAGAGCCAGAGCTTCACGAAATTCCCCAAGTTGCCAACCCAAGCTGCCAACGTCCAGCGAGCTTCTGCCTGGTAGTCTTTCCACAGGCTGATATCGCTGTCTCTTGCTTGCTTTCATCTTCCGTTTGCCCTCTACCTTCTCCCTTTACCTTCACCCTTCACCCTTTACCCTGCACCTTCAGCTGGTCTTGAATTATTCCCCAAGCTCCGCTTCCCTCCTGTCGCTCTCTTTGCCTGTTCGACGTCTCCACCCACAACCAACGCGCAGCCTGATCCCCGTCCTGCCACTCGTCGATGACGCTGGAGCTCTCATCTCGTCGCCTGCACTTCACCGACTGCTTCGCCGTTGACCTTCCACCGCTACGCATGGGAATCGGCGAGGCCACCGCATGCCCTTCTGCTGGGCATTAAGCAGCCCTTGAGCTCTCTGCTGGCAGTGCTACCGCTCTGCCTCTCGCCGCCTCTCCCCCACATTCTACCTTCTGCCCTCTATTGACCTGCCCAATGGACCACGACCACAAGCCAACTGAGCTGTCGCGAGAACGTGCGGCCTCTTCAGAGCCTTGCTCAACTCGGCCCAATCCCTTCGACGAAACCGAGACTTCTTCTAGAAAACGACAACGCGTCTCCCGTGGAGGCTCTCGCAGCCAGTCCGTGGATACCTCCCGCAATTCAGATATTGGCTCCCCGTCCAGATCCAGATCTCCCCGCGCCGGCAGCACCAGCACCAGCACCAGCAGCGAAGCCGACCCTGCCCTGCCTCGCACTCCCACACGAATCCCCTCCAAATCCCCGCTGCCGGAACCTACGTCCAGCAGAGTCACCATCAATCTGCGGACCGCCCGCCCTCTTGAGTCGATCCCCTCGTCCCCACCTTCTCCGACTACCCCTTCCAAGATGGTCGACGGCGGAGAGGACTCAGGTACAAGAGTTAGCGTGGGGTCTGAGAGTGATGCAGATGCCTTGTCTGCTATCCCACCAATCGAGACACCTTCATCCTCACCATCTGCGACCGGGAGTCCCACAATTGAACTGGTGCCGATAAGTGAGGACGATGAGGATTTCGAAGGCAGGAGCCCACCGGTTGCTATCTTTGATGGGGACGCGGTCTTAAGTGATCCCATGCCCGACTTCCCATATCTTGGAGATGATTCTTTAGTTGACGGTGCGCGGAAAGTGGCTCGTTATCTACAATTCGGTATGTCTGTTACCGGGCTGTAATGAACTATCACTGACTTGGATAGATGATGTTCCCTCAGAAGAGGCCTTTTGCAAGCTCCGAGACTGGATGGAAAAATACTTGCTATTTACAACTGATTCTCAAACGCGGTATGAAAATTATACCAAATATCGAGAGTTCTGGCCGGTATTCCCTGAGATATTTTGGGCGCTGAATGCACGGAGGTAACCGTTATCACCCTGGAACCTATGTGTGCGTCTGCTAATTCTATAAGCCGCTTCTTTGGCCAGTTCCTTCAACGAAGCCGACCAGGACGCCAGGCCGTGACAGATATGTTTTGCCAATTTTCTAGGATCACCGGCCGATTTGTGTCTATGGATGTGAAAACCCTCGCATTCCATACCCAGGACGAGAATATTGACCAAGAGCCCGACCTTAGTTCTCGGAAAATTCTTTCGGCTTATGGTTTTCTACTTCGGAAAGAGGAGCCGTCCCATATTGGCAAGAATCTAGAAACACACTATAACTGGAACTGGGATGATGATGTCGCCTTGATGACAAGCAATTTTCAAGCAGAAGGAGGGTCAATCCCAAACCTGACGAAGTTGGTTAGGGGCCAGCTTAGGTTGATTCCTCGCTTGCCAAAGTCCATTGACAGCCTGGTAGACCCTTGTCGGTTGGTTGCCAAGACCGTGATTGATGCAGCAGGTATTCTAGAGGAGTTGCCTGGTCGACAATATGTCGAAAGCACTCGACAGCATCTCTCCCAAGGATACGAGTTCTTCAAAGTTATGTCCGCCGGCTTAGAGTTGATCATCGACAAACATGTGACTTGTCTAGCACCTGATGCGGCCCACCATCATTTGGTGAGCCTAACACACGTTCTAAGTCATAGTTTTGCTTCGGAGAACGATGCGATTCGAGAACTACTCGAACGCCGACAACAGGAACACCCCCAACTTTCTAGAAAGCAATTACCCAAAGTTATTTCATACGAGTGGAGATTTACTATTCTGGAGAAGCTTCTCACGTCGGCGCAAATGCAATTACGCGTGGTTGGAGTAACGACAATGTGCGGAGACCTGCTTCATCTCTACAACACGAGCAAGGGAGATGATCCACCTCGAAGCCCAGTGCTCCTCTCCTTTGCCAATTTCGTCCTCGAACACAAGCTTGTTGATTATATCGTTGGCATTGGATCTCATCCCGAGATCATCAACGAGAGCCACAATATCCTAGGATTTTTAATCGTGACGAAAACTTACACTGCTCAGGTGACCGATAGGATATGGCAGACAGTTATGAGCAGTCAGGACCCCAGAGTGGTGGAATCAATTCTGCGAATGATCAAGCAGTGTATGAATCTGTACGATTACCAAGCTCTCCTCTATATCTGCCAGAAAGCAGGTGATCTTCCCATCGAGGCATTCAACACACACATGCGCGACTTTTGCGAACATCTTCTCCGAAATATCATCACCAAAGGCATCCAAGATGGCATCCAGCATGTTGATGCTGCACCATATGATTTATGCGTTAGGCTCATTCGCGAGTCGTCAATTACCACTGCGGAGTCTCCGGCTGGGCACCTAGAAATCCAAAACTTTGCAGTGCCACGTTTCCGTGACCTTCTGGTGCATGGGCCCACAGGCAGTACGCGCAAGTCGATATATGAAAGCTGCATAGAGGATATATCCTTGCGAACTTCCACGGCACCAGGCAGCATCTGCATTCTCAATGTCCTTCTCCGGCCAAACTTGGCGACCGACTTGCATCTACTGACGGCTGAGCATGGTCTCACGAGATTACTTGTCGAAGAACTAGAGCATTCTACTATGAGCGATCAGCATTCACCTGAGAAAAGCACCCCGGCAAGTCTAGCACGTCGAGAATTGCTCCACTTAGTAATATTGCAAGAACCGGGTACTATCTCGCCGGATCTTGGGCAGCGTCTTTGGGCGAATCTCGTGGGTAGCGAATCTCAAAACGCTGTCCACCGCAACACAGCATGGACAATTTTCAATAGTGCAGCAAAGAAGTCCCCGAACAATATCTTCATTTCAACTTGCTTCGAGGAATACCTCCCAAACCTGCCCCCCCACTGCTTTACGACTGGAGCGTTGGAATTTGCGCGAGCAGCGGTTACAGCTTGGCTTGAGGAGGCCACTAATGATTTCCCTGACAATGATTCATTTGAATCACCTGCACTTGAGCAGATATGGCGGATGATCTTGAATGCACCTCCGAACACGATCGATGCTGCAGCCATCAACATACTCGTCGAAGTTTACGTTGATAACCCCCTCATTGCTTCTGTGCCACGACCTAGAGCGAGGAATATCCATCTCGCCCTGGTTGATCGCTGCTTGAGGCAGCTGGCAGCAGCAGCATCCAAACTCAAGTCATTTGGCGATGGCGCATTGAGTGGGGAAGAGGATGGCATGGTCATAGTTCCCTCCGAAGCCCAATTTCAGGAACAGGAGAGAATATTTGCGAGGTCTTTGGCTGTTTTGCGGGAGTTCTTGAAGTCATACCAGTCCAAGCCGCACTTTGCGATACCCAAACCCAAAGTTTCTGTGTCGGCTGCATCGAGTGCCATAGAGGGCGATCCGTTAACTGTCAAATATCAGTCGTTCGATGGTAACACTCACACTGAAATCAGGAGCCTAACCCTCGGCAAATTAAACACGGCTGCGTCTCTCTTTGCCAGCCTTCAGAAGGCTACCGGCTTTCAGAATTACAAAGTCTACTACGGAGGGAAAGAATTCGACCCGGATGAGATCGAAGTTTGCAAATCGCTTGCGGACTTAAATCTTAATGGCCTGGTGTTGATCCAACGTTGTGATAATACTGATGGCTCTGTTGCATCGGACGGCAACAAGATGACACTCGAATTAGAGATCATGAAACACTTTGAACAGCTGTGGAGTTGCTTGAGCATGCATGAGAGTGTCGCTAAGGAGATATACTACTTCTTAATCAAGTTCCCCGTTTATGATCGTCTACTCACGGATTTTGACTCCGAGGCAACATCCTATACCGAAATCTTTCCTCAGGGCCAGCCATTCAAGTCACTATATGCGATACATACACTTCGAGAATACATTGCAGGCCAATCTCAAAAAGGGGGGGTCAAGAGCTCGGCAATGGCGAGAGCGATTTCATTGGTCGTTGCCGCAATTTCGGACCCGGATGTCCTTGGATCCTCTGGAAGCGAAGAGCTGAGAGACTGCCTTGCACTCCATCTAATTGATTGCTTGGTGCAATTCCTGAAGGAACCGATACTACCTGTCTCCATAGCTCCCTATCTCAACGAAACTTTGCAAGAACGGCTTTTGCAACTCCTCTACGACACAAAATCAGCTGCAACTACACCAAACTCTGTGCATCTGACCTGGAGTATATTTGAGGCACTTTTAGAGGCCTCGCTTCATAATTCCGACTTATGGAATTCTTTTGTGTCCCACCTAAAGCGGAAGAGCCTGCTCCGTGATTTACTCCTCGAGGATCCGCGGCCAGTTATTAGGAAGAGTGTAGTGAAGCAAATTGTTAACAAGTGCACCTTTACGCCAAGCCTTGCTCAGGTTTCTACCATGAGCTTCGTGGTAGAATTTTGGCCCATGGTAGCTACCTTAATTCTGGAGGCTGCTCACCAACCCCTGCATTGCGAGGAGATATTTTTCCTTGGCCAGACATTGTTCAAGAAGCTGGCTGAGACATCACTTGAGTTTCTAAACCTCGAAGATCTTGTCAAACACTGGGGTTCTCTACTTCTCTCACACGAGTGTAACGAGGTATTTAATTTCGAATCTTATCATCCCATCCCGCTAATTGTCGGCCTTCAGAGTGTCGGTCATCCAGAAAGTATTGACTTGGTGGCTCAAGGCTTGACGAACCTTCTGTTGTGTGCCACCTCATTCGCAAAGGCATCTCAGCAATCCATGTCATGCAGGTAAGTCTGGCATTGCCCGAAGCTGGTGGTTTATTGACATGTCTAGTTCTATTGGAACCCAGCTGTTTCAGAAGCACCTGTTTCCAGCGACGCATCTTGCAGAGAGCTACGATAACGACACCGCCTTTTTGCCACGAATTCCCTTATTGAATCCAATAACTCGACATGCCATGTCTGAAACAGTATTCTCGCTCGTTAAGGACAATCCTGTTCAATACGAAATTATATTGAAAAATATATCGGATCTCGTGCCATACGATGACGCTATTGAAGATGGTACGTACGAGCTTATCCAAGGAAATAACGCAGCTGACGTTCGACAAGGGCCATATCACTATGACTTGCCTTATTTGTTTGATAGGAGCAAATCTATTAGATCACCCACCGGTTATGTGGGATTGAGGAACCTCTCAAATACCTGCTACCTCAATTCTCTTTTTACGCAACTTTTCATGAATGTTCCCTTTCGAGAGTTCATGTTGAATGCCCTAGTTGCCGATGGGGGTGCTTCCCAGAAGCTGCTGTCTGAGACACAGATACTCTTTGCAAATATGCAGAACAGTCTTACGAGATTTGTGGATCCTCAAAATCTTGCTAGCTCCATCCGTACCTACGATGAGACGCCCATAGATGTGACTATCCAGATGGATGTCGATGAATTCTACAACCTCCTCTTTGATCGTTGGGAAAGCCAGATCCTCGCTTCTGAGGCAAAGAAGAAGTTCCGATCTTTCTATGGTGGCCAGCTAGTACAGCAAGTCAAGTCGAAGGAATGCCCCCACATCTCTGAGCGACTAGAGGTGTTTTCAGCGATCCAATGTGACATCAAAGGCAAGAGCAGCTTAGAGGAGAGTCTTCAAGCTTATGTTGATGGCGAGATAATGGAAGGAGACAACAAATACAAGTGCTCGACGTGCGATCGACATGTTGACGCTGTTAAGCGAGCATGCCTGAAAGACATCCCAGACAATCTGATCTTCCATTTAAAGAGATTTGACTTCAACTTGAGAACTCTGCAACGCAGTAAGATCAACGATTATTTTTCATTTCCCAACAAGCTTGACATGCGACCCTACAAGGTGGAACATCTCATGGACAGCCCCGAAGACATCCCAGAGGACATATTTGAGTTAGTCGGTATTCTGGTCCATGCTGGAACCGCCGAATCTGGACATTATTACTCCTACATCCGCGAGAGACCTTCGACCGGCGACAAGGACAACTGGGTTGAATTTAACGATGACTCAGTTACCCCATGGGAGCCAAGTTGTATGGATAACTCTTGCTTTGGAGGCATTGACTATCGCAGTTCTGTCGATAACGGCAATATGACGTACGACAAAAATTATAGCGCGTACATGCTGTTTTATCAGCGGTCGTCTGTTCTTGCTGCTCAAAAGCAGACCCTGGAGAAGTCTCAATTAGCAAGTCCTATTCGACTACCCCTACCCGCAGGGATTTCTAACCAAATTTCAATGGAGAATGAACTGCTAATGCGGAAATATTGTCTCTACGATCCATCACATATAGCATTCGTTTCTAAGATGCTATTGAACGTCAAGAAGCTTGGCGGTGGCCAGTGTTCTCTCCAACACCAGCGGGAGCGGACCGCCATGTTCGCTGCCCTCAATCACCTGGATCAAGTCGTTGCTCGAACTAAAGACATTCCTGATTTTCAGACTTTTTCTGTTGCGATCAGGCAGGTGTGCAACAGCTGTGTAGAGTGTACTCGGGACAACCTGGAATGGTTTAGTGGGTATCCCGAAGCGCTTCGCCATCTGCTCCTACGAAACCCCGATACCGTGGTTCGCAATGAGACTGCTTCTTCCATCCTCGCGTCCTTGATCAAGGTAAAAGCAGAGGCACCTTATGCGTATGGATTCAATGAAGATGAATCTGTCTCAGAGGAAGAGGCAGACAATGACCCACAGCTCATCCAGGGAGTCGTCGGGGGTCTCAACCGACTCTGGGATATGTTTCATTCCAACTGCCGTGCTTGGCCAGAGTACTTTGGCCTCCTAGTTAGCATTGCTACTCTTGGGGAATTAGAAGCTGCCCTCCTCTTGGACAGGGGTTATCTTCGGAGGACTCTAGAGATTGTTAGTGCTGATCCTCTGTTGAACCTTACGCCTCAGCTCTCACGGATGCTTAATATCATCTCCAAGCGCGTAGCTACAAGACCAGTGTCGTTTGATAGTGTCATTGGACTTCTTCATAGGCTGTTGGAAGTTTGCGATTTCTCACAAGACCCGCTACTTGACCATGCGCAACGTTTCGACCTAGCAGCCAATGGGGAACCGATTCCACTGACTACCATGGAGCGCGATTATCTGACGCAGCATTGGACCAAAAGTAACTCGCATATCCTTGTTGAAAAACTTCTACAGATCAACCAGAATCAACCGGCGACCAGGAGCATCCTCATCATGTTACTGCTGTGGCCAGAAGATGATCTTGATGTCTTTATCCACCAAGCTATTATGCATGGCATCAGAAAGGGGACGACCGGGATTAGCTGCGGCGCATTCCTAAGAGCAGCTCTGGTGTATTGTGAATATTCGGAGTCATCTAGGTTGAGTTACTTGATACAGCATATATCAAAGATTGCGAGCCATCTTGACAATGCCGATGGCAAGGAATTTTTACGATTCTTCCAAGGAATTGTTAAATTGCCGTCTACCAGGAACATCGACATCCCGCCCAAGCTGATCTTCAAGCTTTGCCTAGATGAGATTCGGTATTGGGGCCCAGGTTTGCTGACCTACTATGACCATATTGTCAGGACCGAGACGGAAGAGTTTCTCCAAGAGCTAATTTTCGGACAAGGAGCTGATACTGCCTATGGATCATCTCTTGAAGACGCTGAGATGGCAACACTGGTTACTGAAGCGGCGCAGAGGCTCGGCATCGCTTGTCTTGATTACTTGAACGATGCCTATGTTCAGCCACGCCAGCAAGCTGTTAGGGCGACTCTGGTCAGCATCTTGACCGTGATTGAAAACTGCGAAATGTTCTTTGATGAGGAGAAGATGGATCTTCTGACGCGTCGGTTCTACGACCTCAGAGCATGTGAGTTATTTTCTCAGCGGCTCTGTTGTCACATAGCTAATGAACAATCTACAGCTGTACTTCCTGCTCTCAAGAAATACACTGTCGATGAAGCAGATGAGGAGGTCTCTGGTAAGTGTAATATTGTATCTAGATATTGCGGCCTGTGTACTAACATATATCACTAGACTGGGCCGGATCAGATGATGAGTATGGCTCATCTGAACCCATGGGCGAAAGCATCACTGAGCTCTGTGCACCTCTCGCAGATGACCTCAATGACGCAGAGGTTCAGCTCTAAACTTCTGCACCTAATTTACGGCCTTTTTTCTAAACACAATCCAAAGCGTACTTTTTACCGGTCGTCCTAAGGATCGGATTGGCAAATTGCCCGGAAAGGAAAAAACTGATAATGATAATCTGCTGGATTGCATAGAACTTCGGTGTTGGGCGTACTCGATTGATCCTAGGAAGCTTAGCAATATGTGTATTTGGGGACTAGTACCATTGGATTTGCTAGGCATATGGATGATAAGCCGAAACGGATGGATTACATGGCCGGAGATGGAGTTTGCTGTGTTTCCGGGTTGACTTGTTTAATTAATGTTTGGTGTTTAGATGTGTCGGCTGGCGTTTTTTTCGGTGTGGCGCTGGACGAGATGGCGCAGATAAAGTATCGAGTGTTATCATCACGGCAGACTGGCAGACTGGCATGCTGATAATTAAATTGTTCTCCATACTATGCGGTGTGGAGTGGTTTCTGCAACTTGTGATATTTGTTCTATTTCAAATTTTAGCGAGGGGCTGAAGACTCTTAAAAGATAGTGTTGAATCCCCAAGGGGTCTAAACCCTTATGATTCCTGTACCATTGTTGGGTCACTTCACAATCGATATGCATGTTCAAGAGTAAATTTTAATGTTTAATTTGCTTCATTTTTTTAATTGCCCCGAATTTTATGCTATTCCAAACACCACTTCGCTCGCTATGCAGATGCAACTCCATGTTACGAACCAAAAATGCATCAAGGGAGACCGATCGCAGCGCTTGCTTTCGGATCCCAACTGCTAGTCCAATAATGCCCAATATGCGCCTTTTTATAAACATTTCGTGATATATCATAAATAAAAGTAGACCAATGAACTTCGAGGGATCATTGACTAACAAGTCTCCACAGGTCCACGTCTCACATTCCCAACCATCAAAAAACACCATTCTCCTTGAGTCACAGGAGTGATATCTTCGAATGTATTCGGTGTAAGAGGGCCGCGGAGGTGAGGGCCGCGGTTCTCAACGGCAGCGGCGACACGCTCGAGATCGAACTGGCAGCTGACTGCACTCAGGAGATCTGTGCCCTTCGCGCTCTCGCCGACCTCGACGACGCTGAGGGGTAATGGCGTCTCATCATCTTCGCTGAACCATGAAGCTTCACTCTCACGTGAGCCCACGATGCTCATCCTCACGGAGAACGATGGCACTGCTGTGGGCTTGGTGAAGCTGGTTTGCAGTTGTAGCTGCGGAAGCTGCTTCTGTGTGCGTGTTTCCGGTTCTACTACCTCAATCCCGCCCCTCCGTTCGCATCCTCCGTATGCGGTCTTGTACCCTTCGTTGACATCTACTAGAGCTGCAAGACTCACGCCGAGCCAATCATAGGCGCGCATCAGATACCCCTTGGTGATTCGTCGACCTTGCTGCAATAGCACAAGGCGCTGGAGCTCGTCGACTGCGAGGGTAAGGTCTGAGGGTGTGAGGGTGCGCGAGTAGGTGTGGAGTTGGCACTTGAATGTGTAGACATGGTCAAGGGAGAGGAGACTGAGACCTTCAGAGGAGAAGAGGATCTCATTTTGCTGTAGTGAGCGGCGGATGAGGTCGTTGGTTGCGGCACATTTTGAGGAACTAGTGAGGGGCTTGGGAGAGAGCCAGCCGGATCCGATGGGGAATTTCTTTTCGGCTTTCAGGATTGTTTGGCGGAGAATCTTCTCGGCCTTTGGTGTCAGACTGCTGGCATGAAGGAGGGAGATGCCATATTGGTTTGGGGCTGTTGGTGTACTGCATGGTAGGGCTGGTGACGAGGAGGATGGGATGCGGATTCTGGGTTTGGGGACTGCGGTGGAGTCTTTTGGAGAGGATGGGAGGCTTGGATATTGCGTGCGGGAGAGACTGGACGAGCTGGAGCATGTAGAAGAGGAGAGGGAAGAGCAACTCGAGGAGCTGCCGAGGGAGCGCGAAGAGGCGGATGATGCCGATGATGAGCTCCGACTGAACAGTGATTGGGCAGCGGAAGTAGTAACTGAGCTGCTCGAGTCTGACGGGGTGACTGGGACTTGGACTTCTTTGCGGATGACGATGAGGGAGATATGGAGACGCTTCCTCGCCAGCCGACTCGAGACGTACTCCAAAGCAGATATCAAAACTGTTGGCAGCTGTTTTGCGTCGAGGAGGGAAGACCCAGCCTCTAGCGGCGGCGAGATACAATCCTTGATGATAGGCATTATAGTATATGTTCTGTTTTGATATAAGAAATAACCTAGCCAAACGCCTTTGAATAAGGTTGAGGTTGATGGACAAGATACGACACCAGTGACTCGGACGTGAGAAGATATACATATGAAAACAAAGCTCTTATTAACGCTGTTCCCCAGAATAAACTTGGGGAGCTGCATCAAGATCCCTTACCTGCGCTACGGTGAGACATTCGAAATAGAAGCCGTGGCTGTAGACTTGGGCCATTGGGAGTCGTTATCGGGAGTTGTAAGCGCTGGGCGTTGAGTCGGCGATTTTCTGTCAGCGCCACGCAGCCGATAATTGGGCAATTGTCTGTTTATCCAAGCGGGAGCGGGATTCGAGATACCACAAATAGAAACAAACTGCAGGGACCCGGATCTTGCATAAGCGAAAGTTAAAAATACATGAGGCGGCCGATCGGTGTGCGATGGAAGTCTCTGAAATTGATAAACAACTCTGCAAAAAGGGCTGTAGCCGCCATATTGAGTGCGTAATAAGGGCCGGGAAGGGGCAGTCATATCGCTCGTCCATAGCTGGTTCCAATCCCTCGGGACTTAAGGTTAATTGAGCCCAATTACAGCATGAATGTTTGGTTCTATCTCAGGTTCACGTGGCTGCTGGCCCACTGAGTGGCTGGATGTTGCTCGACCTCAAATGTGACTGAAGTGCGTATGTACATATACATGTACATGTGTTCAAGATTAGACCTCTGAGCCCTGCATTGCAGCACTTAATTGATAAGGACGTATCCGAGCTGACGGTGTACAGAATCTATATATGGCTGAATATTCGAATGTTTCACAAATTTTGACACTCTGGGAAGTATGGCCTTCGTAGGGCACTATTGCCAAAAAAAAAACCACCGATTTGTTCCTATAATGCGCCATATCTATATACAGCTGAGCGGCTCCCCGAAGCTTGACCCCGGGGATGTTACTCTAGATCCAGGTGAGCAGCTCGGTTGCGTCGAAGTGCTGACCATTCGTTTTGGGACAATGGCGGATTGTGTTTTGAAACGGCACATGTGACTTTCTTATATCCGCTCATAGCTAGTGATTCGAAGGGAGATATGCCGGCTTATCGACCTTTGTTTCGAAACACTATGCGAGATACAGAGATGGGTAATGTCGTGCCGGTGTAATATAAACAATGTTTCGAGATTTCGAGAAGGGGGTGCTCTTGCCGAGAGGACACGGCGCCATGCCTCTTTCCAAGCCTCTTTCCGTTCGAAAATGTGGATGGGGGAAGGCGAGCCGGACCTTGGTTTGGGTACCAGTACCATTTCTGGGTCGACCGATCCTTTCAGCCGTCACTCATGACCACTACTTCGTCTTCAAGCTTCTCGGCTTCGCACACCACTTCTTCCAGAGAAAGCCAACAATTGGAGAGAGGGTAGTACCATATTCTTCAAGGCGCCGGCATCCTCACTTAGACTCCACAAAATAGCTGAGACCTCCGTTGCGGCCATTTCCACGCACATACCGAGCAGGAAGTCAGCTCATCTCTCGATGAGTTGTCGGGGAGCCGTGAGCTATTAGAAGCTAAATGCTAGACGGCTCTAATACCAATGAAATAGAGCCGTGGAATATGAACCTCGGCTTAGCAGCTCAGCCTATGTCATCCGCTTCGTAGCTGAGGAGGTGACTGTGTCTCTTGTGGCACCTTAGAAGCGAACTCAGACGAGAGTTGTACCATGGCTGAAAAAGTGGACTACACGGCGCCTAAACATCCATCATCTTGTCATCAAACAATACACAGTTATAGCTTTCCCTCCCAGACCTATAACTGGAGTCCGCCATAAATTGCTGCATATCAGGAAGTTTGTAATCCGCAAATGGTCTACAACAAATATCATCAGCCATTGCTCAAATCTGGGGGTAAAGGGACATGTTCAACATACTTCCCTGCGCATCCTAAAATCTCTATATATTCGTAACCAAACCTCCCTCGCACGGCAACCACCATCTTCCTCGCAAGGTGGCTGGCTTTCTTCAACATCATCCATCGTGATATGCATCCACGGTTTCGGCAGAGGATGGTCGGAAAAATGGACCAGCTTCGCCTCTGACAACATTTTTTCGGGATCCCACTGGTGGCTTTCCCCAATTCCTAAATAACCGTCGTGATTCTGCTTCCGGAATTCGCCCGTCAACAGCGCATACCGCCGATGCGGCAACACAACACAGTCGGTCCCATAAAGGCGGTTCACTATCTCCATGTCGTAAGTCCCCAGGCCTGCTTTCTTTATGGCCTTATTCACTCGAGCGAATTCTGATGCCGATGGCTGGATGAGCATTATATGGGAAGTAAGAACAGGCTTTTTTAGCCAGTAGGCTCGGGGCATTGCTGCGCTGCAAGGTGGGAGGAGGAATAGCTCGTCCATAGGGGATAGGACTGTGGCGTCGGAGTCGAGGAACAGGACACGCGTGTATTGTGTTTGGTTAAAGACGAGGAGTTTGGTGTAAGAGTCTTGCCACAGATCTATATATCGTCGTATTGTTAGTTTTATAACCCATGACTCAACGGACCCTGTCTAGGTGCGTACGGTAATTCAACTTCTTGTGTATAACCTTAATCGGTACCAAATTTACTCCATATTCATCCCTGGCCTTCACCAACAACCTCCTATTCTCCTCAAGGCCCACGCCGTTTGATAGAGAAAACTCGGCAGTGTTGGGATATAAGAGTAACCGTGCTGCTTTACTCTCCATTCGGGCGAGGCTCTCAAATATCATCACTGCATTACACAGATACTCGCCGCCGGTTACATAGGTCGCGTAGGCGTTGGTTTTCCAGTCTATTGCTGTTCCAGAATTGGGGTCTGGCGGGACCACAGATTGCTTTGAAGCATCATACAAACACTTAGTGCCACCTCCAGGCAACAGGCCTAAACGCCCCAGTTTCTGAGACATCCTTTCTTCGGCTCCGTTCCATAAGAAAATCAGGAATGTGGTAAGAGCGACAGCTGTGAGCATAAGGCTGAGTACACGTCTGGATCGGAGAAGCTGTCTTAAGGTGGGCCGGGGCTGGTGCTGGTGCTGGTGGCGATGGGGTTCAAACTCTCCACTTGGTGGGAGGAAGAACGGCGAACTTTCGAGGAATGATGGGATTTCTTGGTCATACTGGGGAGGGGTGTCTGAATTGCGTCGTTTGTCGCTCCGGGGATTGACCGGCATGGCCAAGATATGGGTGAAGATAGGTCTATTTATTGCTACAATAGACAGTTGATAAGGCTGCTAGGAAGTAGTTTAGAGCATGGGAGACGTTACTGGATATATAGGTGTTTCGGCTGTTGTCACATGGACCCTGATGTTTTCTGCAGTTATGGATGTACAAATTCACAGCAAGATAGATCTGAGAAGGGGTATTAGCTTGTCCAACTACTATCTGGGCCTGAAAACATACACTCTTTCTTTTTAGGCTGGTGTCTACCGACGTGTAATGCTTGTTCTGGAACCGCTAGCTCAAATTTGAAGCACCCCCTTTTCAAAACCTCTTCGAATAGAAAGGTCTTCCGCTGGACTTTCTCCCCCTGGTGGTATTACGGTCAGGTCGCCACCGCCAAAATTATAGTATAGATCCAAAAATAGGGAAAGTAGGAATGCCAATGAGCGACTTGTTTATTATGTTGAACTGCGGTAAGGATATTGTTGCTGTGGTCGTTGATGTCAGAGATGTTCGCTTCTATACCGAGGTTTTGCCGGCTAGTCTGTCAGGGGGCAACCTTGCTAGCTTTGCACGTCTAACAGTCTTTATCAGGGGCTCTACTACCTTCGTAGTGTACTGTGGAATCAAAAGGATCAGGAGAATGGAAGAGTGATTGAGGGACCAGCTATATACAGGTGTAGACATAACCGAGATTGGCAATAGGCGTAGCCGAGCTTGATCTAACGTCTACTGAGTACCTATTTCGCCCGTTCCATTGAACAATTTGAGGATCTTATCAATTTCAGTCTGGTCGGTGTCTTCACCATCATCATGATCATCAGCGAAGGGGTGGGATTTGCCGAGTACCCTGGTACTTGCAATCAGAGAGTTTTTAACGTCGTGAAATGTGATATCCTTCTTGAGTTGCCCTACTGCGTCTAGCTTTCCTGACACCATCAGACTCCCCTGGACACGATGCTGGAGCTCCGAATTTGTGAGTCCTCCCACGAACTGGGATACGACATAGTATTTTGATTCCTTCGGGAGCTTTCCGGTACAGATTTTACGCCCGCTTAAAGAGCAACTTTTCCTTTTCCCTCGGGAGTTGCTTGAGTGTCATGACCTTCTGTTGCACCTCAAGTTCCCTGTTGCCCTCCTCCTCCAGTTCGAATGATTCCTTGAACTCCTTCTGTAGCTGGTTCCAATCCGCTCGGGTTGTACGTGTCACCTCGTCAATATACCAATTCTTGGCTTTTCCCTGAAGGGTTGCCTTGAATATTGCCTTTACGAATGTAATCTGGTCTTCCTTTGTGTCTTGTTCGTCTGCATTCCTCCGTATATATACGCTGATCTCGTCTAGGTATTCTTGAGGATCCTCATCCTTCCTACCACGGAACGTGGGTTAGGGTATTACCGACATCTTGTATTTTGACTTGATGTGTGGTAGTGACTGTTTCGGGTTTTCACTTGGGACGGTTTGTAGTGATTCGGTGATTCGTACTCGAGTAATTCAGACAGTGATTCGGTAGCTTGCTAGATTGATGCTTGAGCAGATATGGGGGAGTTCTCGACAGTGTACGCTGAGGTGTAAAGGTTGATTCGGATTCTTGCAACTAGTAATCTCCTGCCTACATAGGGCTGATGGTAGTCTGGTCTGGGACTAGGTATGACGATAGTGTGAGCTGATGCACTAGGAACCTTGGTAGGTAGTCAACCGTGCTCAGGGTGTTTAACTCGATCTTCGAAGGTCTTCAAAATAAAGGGCTACAGCACAGATCTGATTGGTCCGAATAATTCACTCATATGACATTATAATTTGCGGGGGAAAGTAAATTTCGGGTATCATTTGTATATAATTCATAATTAGCAGTCATGGACCCATGGCTTGAGATCTACCACCCATATCTACTACTAGCCTCGGCCCTATTGCTCTTTCCCTTCGCAAAACTCTCTTCCAGGGCATCCTTCTGACTCTGAGCAGCGTTGACCAACTGCTTCAAGCTATGCTTGCCAGGAGCAATCGCCCGTACGGGGTTATGTACAACCTGCTCTCCCGAGGCACGTAACTCTTCATTCCTCAGATATTCCTCATCGGTATTGAAATTGATAACTTTCGTAGCCGCTTGTACCCCCCGGCCCCCTTTTTGCCGACCAAATAGTTGCCGTCTTTCCGCTGCTGAGAGGTTTAAGTCGCCTGCTATATCATCTAATGATTGTGATACTGGGGGCGTGGGGACTGCAGGGGGAGCTATGTGTGAAGTGGTGGGTGTGTATTCTTCGTAGGTCGGCTCGATGGCGGATAGGTTTTGGTCTTCGGTTTGTGTTGATTCATTGAGTATCATGGGCTGATATTCTCCATTTGATGGAGTCGAGATAGAGTTCGATGTCTCGGACGATATTGAAAATAGGGAGACCTTTGGTCGAGCGCGGGCTTTCGCAGCACCGGGTTGGGGCGTTGATGGGTTGGTGGGAGGTGTAGGAGCAGTGGGAGGAGCAGAAGAGGCGGGTGATTGCATAATAGAAGTCTTCTTCTTCGCTGGTTTCCGCGCAACCGAAAGAGGTCTGAACATTAGGGGCTTTCCCACCAATTTCACTTCCTCAGCCGGTTTCTGTTCTCCATTTTGTGGTGGTATCGGAGGAGGAAGGTTCAAGCTATTCCCACCAGTTGTAGAATCGTCTGGGCTCACCCCATAGTTTTCATTATCCCTTTCGGGCCCTGGCTCTCTGCTAAACCCAGGCGCAGCTCCTGTCTTCAGACTTACTCCTGCCCCAAGACCACCCTTCCTCGCTGCGTTCCCCCCACCAAGTGTCGCATTCGTAACTTGTCCTGCCCGCTTTGGTGGAGGTAGGAAGGAGTTAAATCCGCTGAACGCTCCGCCTCCAGTCTTTGCGCGTTTAGTTGGAGGTTCATCGTTCTTTGTATCGTCCTTCACGGCAGCTTGCGGCAATGTGACCCTGATCTTACCAGGATTTGCACGGTCAACCACCTTTTGGAAGGCTGGTTTGGATGAATGTGATGAGGTCTTGACTGGTTTCGTCTCCTCAACATCTGATGTTTCGGAATCTGAGTAGTCGACGAGGCCCATCTTGGTGGAGGTAGATGGTCAAATGAAGACTGCGTTGGACGCGAAAGGTTCTGATTCTGATGCTGATGCTGTGGCGTTTTGAGCCGAGCTCTCCAAGCTTCGTAGTTGACTACGCTAAACTAGGGACCTTCCCCAGCTTCCATCATCCAGCAACGTTAATCGAACTCCCAAGCAACACTTCGTGGGAAATAAAGTTAGCCGTAGCACTCATTATCTTGATTCTTTATCTCTGGTGCATATGGTCCTTAGCTGGGTGGTCTAATTTGAGCTGGCGCAATGTCGGTCATTCAGGTGGAAGAGTACGTCCCAACCAGGACCCCGCGTGGCCGATACATGGGCAAATAACGAGCACCGCCGATGCTAATCTTTGTGGCAGTCTGGTCTCCTACCAATTACGAACAAACTATCTAAATACGATTGCGGATGGTGTCGGCGAACGCCTGATCACGATAAATGATTCCTTCTTGAATACAGCCGGTTTTAAAGCTGCTGGATGGCGACCAAACCCTGCGAACATTAAACGGACCCATTCTCCTCCCATCCCAACTGCGATAGCTTCCGAATATTTTCAAGCACCTCCAAGGTCAGCTGGTCTGGTCTCGGGATTTGACGATGAGATTGAAGAGGGTGGAATGATCACTGGTGGTGGAGCTGGCGATACTGTCGGGCCAGGCATCGCAACGAAGAGGCGGCGCCGACGAGAGCAGATGGAAGAAGAAGACAGTAGTGATCTAAGTGATGACAGCGACGAAGATACGGATCAACGAGCTGCACAACAGATCAAGTTTGCGAAGATGCCTATTCGAAATCGGTCTGGGTCGTCACCGATTCGCGGTTCTAACCTTCGGCAGTCATCAACCATCAGTTCGCCGCCACGCCCTGGTCACGGGCAGGCTAGGAGAGGATCACAACCAATACTGGAGGCTGTTAAAGAGCGTGCTAGGAGGGATACTGTCACTAGCAGTGAAATGTCGTCTGAAAACGAGTTTGATGCGTCAGCGTTTCAGAGACAACGAGAAGCGGCAAGAAACGCTACAAGAGCAACAAAAGCCCTTCATAGCCAAACCGCCGGGCTTGATGTTGGTCTCAGGAGACAAAAAGGTGATCTACTAGAAGAAGCGGAAGAGGATTCGGATGGCTCAGATATGGATTCGGAATTCGAGGGTAGCATCGACTCCACCTCCATTTTGAATACTGTTAGTGGACCAGTCAACGGCACGCCGACAGAAGCCATTGTTGGGACGTTGCCAAAAGAACTGACGCGCTCCCCGACAAGAAAAGCTAAGGCGCCGCCAGCACTACTTCAAGCACTTCCACCCCCGCGACCTATTAGTATGATCCAACCCAAAAGTCTTCTAACCGCCGCTATTAAAGCGAAACAAACCAAAGCTGCAACCCCATTTGAATCCTTTGCATCATTATCAGGGCAAGGCGACCCGAATCCTCTACATCTCCGCATATGGGCTCCATTTGCAACGTCGACGACCAAGCCATATGAGGTTCTTATCCGGAGGACAGTCCACATGAATGAGGCAAATGACCGGGAGGTGACTGTGGCTGACCTCATAGGATTAAGCCTCTGGAGATATGCAGAGGAGAAATTAGAACCTCCAGTTTCTTCAGAAAAGCTTAATGTTAATTGGTGGACCTTACGAATGGTTGAAGATGAAGAGGTGGACTATGACTTCCCTGCATTAGACCGCACCAAATCGCTTGTCGCGTTCACCACTGCCAACAATCGTGCAGTAAGGGCTAGGTCAAGCTCAAAGCCTTACGATGAATTTGCCCTTGTGCAAGCCACAGAGAGCCAATTTCAAGACAACCAGAACCTCACTCCCCAATTCAAACAAGAAGCCATTACTGCCGCTCCAATTGAAGATAGCCCTATGCCTCGGAATACTCCAATGGCACCATCTCCAGCCATGAATACAGCGCAGACTCGCCATAATCCTCTCTTACCGACCATGTCTACTGCACGACCAAATATGGCATTGGCGGATGTACCCACCATTGGCGGCGCCCCAACGCCAGTCTCTACGCGAAACGCTGTGCAAAAGCTGTTGAGGATTCATATTCATTCCGCCGATGCAGCTCCAGGGCAAATGATCACATTGGACATTACCACAGATACATATCTCGCAGACGTCTTGGATGTTGTCTGCAAAAAGAGACAACTTGACAAGGCTAACCATGTCCTCAAGCTTACCGGTTCAGGAACTGTAGTTTTGCTTGACCGAACGGTAGAGTCGATCGGAAACCGTGCAGATCTGGACCTGTACCGCCGAAGATTTGCAACCGATGGGCCGTTGACAATGTCAGGGTCACCAAGTAGCTCGTCGCCCAAGATGCCGATGATGGTAGACCGTCCGGAATTCCGCAAAGTTAGGAAAGGCCAGATGCTCGGAGCACATCCTCTGGCGCAAGAAACTGTGAAGCAAGATGAGCTTGGAAACTCTAACTATAGAAAGTACACAGTGTGGCGAAAGCAACCAATGAGATTCGTCGGTATGAATGAACGGGTGCTAGCTATAGATGGCGAGTATCTACATATCATGCCAGTATCAACCGGCAAAACAATGTTTGAAGGGCAAGGGAAGACAACTACGGTTCACTTTAGCAATGTTGTTGGTTGCAAAGTGATGCGGAGGCATCCGAATAATTTCAAAGTATATGGCGTCCTACCATTGTTAGTCCACGTTCGGAGCTGACAGTATACAGGTCATCGTATACAAAACAACCGAGACCAAGCGATATGATTTCGAAGCAAAGAGCGTCGACGAGGCCGCAGAGATTGTCTTCGAAATCAAGAAAGGCGTGTCGCCATACCATAATTAGGGCGCGTCAAGAGTATCGACATAGGTACTTGCATCCTATCACGGTTGTTCCGCAAGCTTAGTATAGCTACCAAACCCCTCCGCCCTAGCTTACAGTCTGGGCTCCAGCATGCTTGAAGCACAATGTCAAGACAAGTGACGGAGTACCGTATACACCACCCAGCGATCAGAAATGTTTCCGATCTACAAGGCACATATAACTTTCAGAGTCCCCAACGACCCCGATGTTTCTCAGCATACAGTCCAGGTCTATCATCCTGCCCTACAATTACACCATGATGCGTTATCGGGTTCTCGGTAGAACCACCATCCCAGAAATGGCGACGTCGTTGATATGAGTCTGGCACATAGCTCCCGCTGTCTCGTGAGACGACGGCATACGTGGTCATTAACACCATTTATTCTACTTTCCACCTTGAAGAATATTCCGACGCACTTCCATTGACTCTCACTACTGCTGATCTACCGAATCGCATCGACGAATATATGACAGCCAATTCCCATTTAGGGAATACCTGTAATCTTCCATATTAAGTTTAGTTGTGGCTGAAAATGTGGAGAAATAAATGTGAAGATCAGATCCGATGGCTAATGATCTATCAACGTTGCTTGCGGACACTGACTCGAGACTGATATGTTTCCAGCCTACACTACGTACATATGGATCTTCCCGCTGTCGATCCCGTCCGGACACCCCGGAAGCTCTTACGGATAAATTTGGTCCATTGATATTAGATGCGGGCAGTTCAACAACCACAACCAAATATTTGGGGGATTTATTTTCGAACAGGCGATTGTTGTGTAAAGTATATTTTTTTACTCGTTCCTAGGAAGGAGTTCGCCAAAGATGTTTATCCTGCCTCGCGGAAATGAAGTTATGACAACCTAAAAATAGCATAATCGAGGGTACTTGACTGGCTCCTTCCAACTTACAATTCAAGATGGCGTCAAGTTCCAAGCAACCACCCTAAGACTTGGTTTTAGCATCAGGTTATGACGTATATTCTTCAGTCGGGCAGCTCGGGACTACATTTAGAAATAAAGGCTGGTAACCGTCTACATTCCAGTGCTCACACAAGTTCATTGGGAGACAATTTATTATTACTACCTCTTGTTTCTGGGAATCCGATCGCCATACTATTCACAACAGCTGCCCAGCTTTCAAGCCGATTTCTGTCTCAAAGATTTCTCCTACGATCCACGCCTAACCTCCAACATGCAGATGAGGAATGTTATAATCCTGGCTCTTGCCTCCACCATGGCTGTAAGTTTGCTCCATCTGAAACATCTCCGAGACAGCCAATTAACCTTCCACAGGCACAAAATGGCATCGGCGCAGGCATCTCGGGCATCTTAGGCAGTGTGACGGGGGGTATAGGCAGTGCTATTGATAGTGCTACAGGAGGGGTAGGCAGTGCCATAGGTAGTGCTACAGGAGGCGCAGGCAGTGCCATAAACAGTGCGACAGGAGGTTCAGCGAGTGCGACAGGAACTAGCGAATCCTCCAGCGAGACCACCTCTGGAGCGGAATCTGGGGCCAGTGGTTCTAGCAGCGGCAGCAACGGCGCTGGGGGAGTTGGAGGAATTGGCGGCGCCACAGCCACCTCATCTCATATGTCTCCTACTTCGGGCTCTTCGAGCAGCGGCGGTTCGTCAACTTCTACCGGCTCTTCTAGTACCAGTAAAGCTGGTGCTGCTTACCAAACTGCTGCTGTTGGTGCCGCTGCTCTTTTTGGCGGAGCTGCTATCGCTGCTATCAACTTATAAGGCAATGATTAAGTGGCTATGGGTATGGATGGAGGAGGAATGAGATGAAGTGCGGATCATTCCGTGGATGAAGTCCAAGGAGTGGTGATATTACTCACCTGAATGTAACGTTAGATACGCTGTAATATAGTATATACGCTGTCAAATAAATCTGTTAAATTTGAATTTAAAAAACGGATACTTATATCAAAGACTAAGTGGATTCGGAAGTAAGACGAGCAACTTACTACTCGGGAGAGTAGGTAAATTAGATAGTAGAGGAATAGTGGGACTATTCAGAGCGAAACCACCTCTTCCGCGACCCTACAGCTTAACAGTCTTCCCATCCCATGAATACTCCATTTCCCATTCCACTTCCTCCGCAGCCTTCGAACCATGGCCACACGTCAAAAGTCATGATTCCAAGTTCACTATACAGGAGGAATATTAATATTATATGAAGATTTTTACTGCCCAATACCTTTGGGAGGGCGTGAAGTCTCACCTGGAAGAAAATACCTTCAGTTTTCTGTTATTTCACACAAAGTGAGTCAGTTGGTGGTGACGATTCTGTAGCCAGAGCAGACTCCTCCATGAGACCGGTCTCTAAGTTGAGTGATACCTAAGCTGGACCACCAATGTTCACCACCAATCTTCATATTATACTCCTATTCATACTCCCATAACGTCCTCGTTAACATTTATTTGATGTGGGATTGATCATGCCGCCAGACAAAGCCCGATAACTGATGCATCTCTCAACTTGCCAGTTTTGAGCTTCCTTTGAGAGCTGATTTATATGTGCAGGTGAAAGCAACGGGTTTGAAGCGCCATTTTTAGTTAAGCAACGATGAGTAAAAGGGAGCAGCACACTTCGTATAAAGACCAGATCTCTAACATTTCAAGCACTTGCATGTTTTCACTGATACTATGAAGCTGGAAGGAAACTTCTACAATGCCCCCATGCCTCAAACCCTCATGGGAAGGGGTAATTCATTTCAGCTCTCAGGTAACCCTAGCTCTATATATTCAAGGGACCAAGATACAGCCAAGCAATAAATATGAAAAGCTTTACTAAAATGGTGGCAGGGTTCTGAATCTAGAATTACTTATGACGCATCGCCATGAGCTGTGGTGCCAAGTTCACTAGTTACAATCCCGAGCTCAACAGGCGACCCCAAGAACTGGTATTCTTTGTCTACAAAAGGCATGTCTTGCTTAGCCTGATTTGCCGTGTTTAATCGAGAGTAGGTTAAAGTCCCATCTTCAACATCCAGAGAAGTAGCTGGTGTTGGTTTGGATTCTGACGTGGAAAACGGTTCCGTGGTTGCATTAAACAGGATCTTTCGGGTCACCACTTTCTCCAAAAACCACGAAGGTCACTTATGGCTGATACTCTGGCAACCCTCCAGCGACACTATCGAAAACACCCCGCCTTATGGTTTGCAGCTTCTCTCTTGCCTGCATCAATGTTCTCCTCCTCTCGTCCGCCACACCCTGCCAACGAACAACCCTCTGTTTAGCCTTCTGAGTCTCAATTACCAACTTTTTACTGGCATCCACAACCTGAGTAGTACTCTCTTTAATGAGCTGATGAAAAGCATAATCCGAGAAGACATTATCAAACAACATGTCGCTCATAAAATGTCCATCGGCAATAGCCATTGGCCCCAGCGGTGAAGTCTCGTGGCTCAGTTGCTGTGCCTGCTGCATCAACTGCTCGACCTGATGTACAGCGTCCCGCGCCCTCGCCAGCGCGGACCTCTCAGACAAATCAGCAAACGAGCCTCCAATTCCCCAGATATCAGCTCGACTGGCGCTCTCAGCATCGTCCATGTGGGATATAGCATAGTTCATAACCTGCCGCGTTCGTTCAAGGATCTGCACGACCTGCTTTTCATTGCTGAGTGCACCTTGGGCCTCATTAAACAGCTGCTTCGCGCTCTGCACCTCCTGCTCCGCTTGATCTTCCTCGGGGAACCCAGGCGTCGGCCCATCGAAGACAGAAGCGTACAGTTTATCCAGCGCCTCCGACGCAGCCTGGTGGGTAACCAAAACCATGTCCATCTCTTCTTTCGTCTGCTGGGCCTCCTTCAGATTCTTCTGGAGAGCTTCGAGGGAGCGACTAGCCTCGAACTCTGCCTGCACGGCTTCGAAGTAGTCTCGCTCCTCCTTTGCAGCCTTTTGCTCAAACTCTCCCCTTTTGCCAGACATCTTGTAAGCGAGGCGCCGCATCGTCGAGTCTTGGTACTTTTCATGAGATGATTTCTCTTTCATACGTACGGACGCGAGGGCTTCGACATGCCTCTCTTTATGGCGAATTTGGCGGGTGAGAGCTGCTATGTAGTTCTTATTCTGCTCGGCCGCTGCCGGGGCATAATCCGTTTCGGACACAGTCTTGAGGAGGGCATTGTTTTCGGTCGCGGCGTAATTGATGTGGTCGTGGATGGTGGGTGGTGGTGGGGGTGCTTCAGCCGCCATTCTGAGATTTGAGGATATACAGAGTAAGCTGGGCGCGCCGCTGGTATTTACTTATTTATCCTTCCATTTATTCGCTTCTTTTTAACACCGATTAGGAAGGAGGATCGAATGCTTGTGCCGCTGCCAAGGCATAATAAACAAGACGATTCTTGTGGTGTGGTGGAAAGCATGAAAGTTGTATCCAAGGGAGCAAGCCTAGAGTCTAAGCCTCAACTCGCTCCGACTATAAGTTCTTATAACCATATAAGGGCCCTGTATCCGCAGTGACGTACGACCAGCCCACCAGCACTACTAATGGAGCCACATTAAGTATTAGTAAGCGAACAACACCAAGGCGGCGGGGTTCACTTGTTAGGCAACGTGTAGAACTGGAAGATTGGGTTTCTACCAAGAAAAGATAGTAGCTATTTCTGGCCATATTTCCTCCCCTCGAAAGCATCGCCCTCAAGAATGTGTTTCTTGCCATTTAGGGGGAGCTTTTTATTAAGGCCGCACGTTTGAAAACTGAAAGCGACAAACGGTGGCTATTGACAGTTTCAATTCCATGCACAGCTCAACGTTTCAACTCAGTTTGAATATTTCTCAAGAGAGTTATTCCTAGGTATACCTACCCTATACATCGCATATCCCCAGTCAAAGCGCTTCCCCGCACATGCTCCTGACCTCTACGCCCATCCATTCACCGCTACCAAGGCAGGTATCAATGTAGTATCCAAAACGCAGTCCTGCCTATGATAAATGTTGTCTGCGTAACGTAGCGCAGCATCCTCTTCCATCACGCAGCATGACCCCGCATCCAAAAAAGGGACATGGATTGGGATAAATATTGCCTTGGATATATATATGCGGGAGGTGCTGATCGGCAGGAAGGTGATGAGTGATTCTAATGAATATAGACAGCCCAATTGGAGGGCTCGGATGAGGGTAATGCGATTTAGAAGTCCAGGAATAGTTGGCCATATCTGTTTACTTAGTATTAAAAAGAGTATACTTGGGATAGGGGACCTACTCGTCGTCACCGCCCTGCCCATATTGTTCTGTTTCTTCCGGATACTTGTCAAACTGACTTGCATCCCCAACACCCGCCTTGACTGGCGGGACGTATGGAGCATCGATATCTTTCTTAGCTAGCCGTTCCCAGGTGACTTCCACAAACCACGGGTGGTTCTTGACATCCTCGGACCCACCGTGTAGGTTTCCTAATCGCTTGGTGAGATCTGCCGTAATGAGACGCTGGAGCAGATCCGCAGCATCTGGGTGGATGTAGGGCGGATATTTCACTCGGCCCTTGAGAATATTCTCATAGATTTTCATAGGCGACCCTCCGTCCCAAAACGGCGTGAAGCCGCACAGCATTTCAAAAATCAATATCCCTAGCGACCACCTAGAAAACGTCAGAAATGAAGGCACCAGGGCTCCTATACATATCCTTACCAGTCTACCGACTTATTGTACCCTTTACTGGATACCACTTCTGGAGCTAGATAATCCGGAGTTCCGCACAATGTCCAAGTGATGTCTGGAACCTTCTTAGCAAAGCCAAAATCTGTTATTTTTAGATGCCCGTGGCGGTCTAGAAGTAAATTTTCTGGCTTCAGGTCTCGGTAGATAATGTGTTTCGAATGCAGGTACTCTATTGCGAGCGTGACCTCCGCGGCATAGAACTTCGCCACGGGGTTGGGAAAGCGCTTATTGGTTTTCAGCAACGTCCACAATTAAAAGGTCAAGAAGCCTACCTGTGACTTGCGCAACAGCGAAAATAGTTCACCGCCCTCTACGAAATCCATCACCATATACAAGTTCTTAGCGTCCTTGAAAGTTCCCCACAATGTGATGAGGAACGGGTGTTTCACTTCTTGCAACATCCTCCGCTCGTCATTTGTATGCTCCACCTGCTTCATCTTTACCACTTGCGCCTTCTTCAGCACCTTCACCGCATAGAATCGCTGGTTATGCTTCGATTGGACAAGGTGCACCCTTCCAAAACTCCCAGTGCCCAGCGTCCGCAGTATGTTGAAGTCCCCTAACGAATATTTCCCCTTGGTTTGTCTGATTTGGGTGGGTTGTTGGGCGTGTGAGGGTTGTTGTGCCTGGGGGACCTCTTTTGCCTGGTGCGGGGTACTCGAGGCTGGGGAAAGGACAGACGGGATGTGGGAGGCCATATTCGAGGGTGCCAGAGCCCCCGAATCTCCATGCTGCGGGGGGTTTACGAGGTTATTGATCGTGGGTAAGGTCTGCTGCTCGGGCGACGGTACCGGGTTCTGAGAAAATGCGCCATGGGAGCTGGCCTGCTGCTGAGGGGTTACACCTTGTGTCATTGGCTGCCGTTCGTCCACGGTTGCGGAATTGCCTTTCTTTATGGGAGTTGGAATTGGAATTGGAATTGGGGCTGCAGCTTGGGAAGTGGGATATGATTGCGGAGGTGGTGCAGTGGATTGGGACGAAATCGACGCAATGGAATTGTCGAAACCTCTGGGCGATGTTGGGGTTACCGGCGACGTGGGCTGGCTCGAGGTTGTTGAAGTCGGCGAGGCGAGGTCAGTCTGATTCTGCCCCGGGGACTCCCTCGTCCGTTTCTTCTTGAGGAAGCCTAATGATGGCATGAAGCAATTCAGCGTGGCGGATTGCTGCGCGCGACGCTCGACGCCGGCCAGTCAACAAGCTCCGGTATCAACGACGGCCGGGGGATACGGGGATCAAGAGCCGCGATCAGATATCGGGGAAGGGAATTGAGGGCGCACAAACTGTCGGAGTGAAGTTCTGGAATGCGTGGAATTGTCTCTCCTCGATTACGCGTGTGGCCTTTGCTTTGGGCGTTGCGATCCTCCAAGCCGCAGCCGATGGCCGAGAAGGAATGCGGCTTCGTGCAGTCGTGGGCGGGCACGGCGGTCTAGTTAGTTCCAGCTCCCTGCCGCAATGGAATGAATGGATGGGATCTGGAATGAGGCTGGCAGCTGGCGGTCCTATGGGTAACTTAAGCCGGAGGGATCGCCTTTGTGAGCATGCCACGGTGCGCCAACCAGCTAGCTGCCGTCGGAAACAAGAGCGCCAATTGAGCCGGATGAGGATATACAACAGGCGCCGAGCGTGGAGGAGAGGCGGAAGCGTGTAATGTAGAGCGAGGATAGCTGGGAATAACGGGGTTGTGCAATAATGTCACTGTCAGTGTAGATGTGGAGATGTAGGTGGAGGTGTAGGTGTAGGTGTAAGTGTAGGTGTAGGTGTAGGTGTAAGTGTAGGTGTAAGTGTAGGTGCACTGTATGTGGAGGGGGGGG